ATTAATATGACCTTGGTGTAACTTAATAGCAATTATTAACTTAAAATGGGCAATAGCTAAACATGTCTTGTGACATTGAAATTACAAATCTTTAATCATATTAACACTTTAACACCAAGCATCACCATATGAAGATTGCATAGCATGATTTTCAACATGTACAAAGAACATGTTCAATAAATAAAGAATATTGAAATTTTATCGATCATTTTGGTGATGTGTCGGACACAGAGAAGAATTTTTTTTTTTTTATTTTTACTTCTCACAATGAGTGATGATCCAGGCATTAATACATGGTTATATTAAAAGTGAGAGTCTTTTTCTTTTCTAGGCAAAGGTAAAATATTAGTTTTACAATACTACACTGAAAGAGATATTGTATTAACTTTTTTATTTCTGCAAAAGATCCGTAACTATAATGGTTACACCAAGGACAATAACTTTCTACTGTTTCTCCGGTATATTTAAAATATGAGAAAATTATCTTTCTCTGTATTAGCATAACTTACCCAACTATTTGTTAAGTTTAGATGTTTCTTGTTAAATCACTAAAAGTTGGAACTTTCAAGTTGTATTTTTGTTTATTCAACAGGACATAAAGGGGTAAAATTTTGATGACTCATACGCGATGATTCAGTGTATATATGATATAAGATGATGATGCAGTGTATATATGAGATGAGGATGCAGCATATAAACATGATGATGCAGTGTATATATGAGATGGGGATGCAGTATATATACATGATGATGCAGTGTATATATGAGATAAGGATGCAGTGTATATATGAGATGGGGATGCAGTGTATATATGAGATGGGGATGCAGCATGTAAACATGATGATGCAGTGTATATATGAGATGGGGATGCAGTATATATACATGATGATGCAGTGTATATATGAGATGAGGATGCAGTGTATATATGAGATGAGGATGCAGTATATATACATGATGGTGCAGTGTATATATGAGATGGGGATGCAGTATATATACATGATGATGCAGTGTATATATGAGATGGAGATGCAGCATATAAACATGATGATGCAGTGTATATATGAGATGGGGATGCAGTATATATACATGATGATGCAGTGTATATATGAGATAAGGATGCAGTATATATACATTATGGTGCAGTGTATTTATGAGATGAGGATGCAGTATATATACATGATGATGCAGTGTATATATGAGATGAGGATGCAGTATATATACATTATGGTGCAGTGTATATATGAGATGGGGATGCTGTATATATGAGATAAGGATGCAGTGTATATATGAGATGAGGATGCAGTATATTTATGAGATGGGGATGCAGTATATATACATGATGATGCAGTGTATATATGAGATGGGGGTGCAGCATATAAACATGATGGTGCAGTGTATATATGAGATTGGGATGCTGTATATATACATGATGATGGTGTGTATATATGAGATGAGGATGCAGTGTATATATGAGATGGGGATGCAGCATATAAACATGATGATGCAGTGTATATATGAGATAAGGATGCAGTATATATACATTATGGTGCAGTGTATTTATGAGATGAGGATGCAGTATATATACATGATGATGCAGTGTATATATGAGATGGGGATGCAGTATATATACATGATGATGCAGTGTATATATGAGATAAGGATGCAGTATATATACATTATGGTGCAGTGTATTTATGAGATGAGGATGCAGTATATATACATGATGATGCAGTGTATTTATGAGATGGGGATGCAGTATATATACACGATGATGCAGTGTATATATGAGATGAGGATGCAGTATATATACATGATGGTGCAGTGTATATATGAGATGGGGGTGCAGCATATAAACATGATGGTGCAGTGTATATATGAGATGGGGATGCAGCATATATACATGATGATGCAGTGTATATATGAGATAAGGATGCAGTATATATACATTATGGTGCAGTGTATATATGAGATGAGGATGCAGTATATATACATGATGATGCAGTGTATATATGAGATGGGGATGCAGTATATATACATGATGATGCTGTGTATATATAAGATGAGGATGCAGTATATATACATGAGGATGCAGTGTTTATATGAGATGAGGATGCAGTATATATACATGATGATGCAGTGTATATATGAGATGAGGATGCAGTATATATACATGAGGATGCAGTGTTTATATGAGATGAGGATGCAGTATATATACATTATGGTGCAGTGTATTTATGAGATGAGGATGCAGTATATATACATGATGGTGCAGTGTATATATAAGATGGGGATGCAGTATATATACATGATTATGCAGTGTATATATGAGATGGGGATGCAGCATATAAACGTGATGATGCAGTGTATATATGAGATGAGGATGCAGTATATATACATGATGATGCAGTGTATATATGAGATGAGGATGCAGTATATATACATGAGGATGCAGTGTTTATATGAGATGAGGATGCAGTATATATACATTATGGTGCAGTGTATATATGAGATGAGGATGCAGTATATATACATGAGGATGCAGTGTTTATATGAGATGGGGATGCAGTATATATACATTATGGTGCAGTGTATTTATGAGATGAGGATGCAGTATATATACATGATGGTGCAGTGTATATATGAGATGAGGATGCAGTATATATACATGATGGTGCAGTGTATATATGAGATGGGGATGCAGTATATATACATGATGATGCAGTGTATATATAAGATGGGGATGCAGTATATATACATGATGATGCAGTGTATATATGAGATGGGGATGCAGCATATAAACATGATGATGCAGTGTATATATGAGATGAGGATGCAGTATATATACATGATGATGCAGTGTATATATAAGATGATGATGCAATGTGTGTATTTACTTCATTTCGTGCCTTTCATTAATTCACAGAAGCTAGAGCCAGATTGATGAGATGTGCCCTGCTGTACCAGTAACACCACACAATGGTTCTGATTACACAAACTAGAATACAATGTCTCAAATTGTATACATAGTTTAGTGTGTGTATATGTAGTGCAGCATAAAGCATTCACTATAATAAATAAGTGGACCCATCTAGTTTTGTGATGATCCTGTGTAGTATCTTGGCAGAATAGTTTCCCGCTAGAGCGGATTGAGAGGATTGGGTGGTGCCAACACTGCAGTGGACCAATCTGTGAAGTGACATGACTGAAATACTATCCCAGTTTCCTGGTGGATCGTGTACACCTACATATTGAGACATACAAATACAGTGTGTTTATCCCTGAATAATTAAAACTGCTTGGTGTTTTTCTGCTGCTAAATATTTAAGTCACATTTGGCAGCAGGTTGCTGGAGACCTTGGACTTTCAGGTTATTGGTCATGTGTTTACTCTGACCACATGTTATGTCATCAGATCAGCATGTTTTCACCTCATTATGATATCTTAGAGGCATGCATTTCCCCTAACCAAAGATAACAAAGCAACCTTGATCATGGAGTGAGTGAGTGAGTGAGTGAGTATGGTTTTACGCCGCTTTGGGCAAATTTCCAGCATTATCAAGATGGGGGAAACCACAAATGGGCTTCACACTAGATCATTGAGAGTAGTTCAATAGGTGTCCTCGTTTGGCAGCGTAACTCCTGAGAGTTTCCAGGGCTTCCATCCTGCCCCACACTGAAGCCTATATAACACATGTGGTGTCACCTGAGGCAAGTGACTTTGTTCAAAATATGCCTCTATTCACCCTACAGTGAATGGGTACCCGGTAGCATGAGATGGTAATGTGACAGCTAATCTTCTTGCGCCTTACAGGCCGCTTGGGTTGTGTACTCCAAGGGAGCTGAAAATGAAAATTGAGTGACACTGATCCTTTGTCAGGGTTAATAATGTAGAACTTTAAACATACTTTAGGGTGTGGATTTATTATGATAGATTATGGTATCAGACTTCAAATGCCTTGAGGCATATCATGATTTCTGGAGCCTTCTAAAAATGGTAGTGGAGGGGCTACTTCTGTGTTTGCAAAGACTTGCAATTAGTATTCTAGTTTGTCCATTCTTTCTGTCTCTCCTTGGGTGGCATGTAGTTGCTAATGGTTCTTGTGAGGTCTTCCTGGTCACACAGCTGGTCAAGTCCACATAATGGTCTCTCCTTGGCTGGCATGTAGTTGTTAATGGTCCTTGTGAGTGAGTGAGTTTGGTTTTACGCCGCTTTAAGCAATATTCCAGTAATATCATGGCGGGGGACACCAGAAATGGGCTTCACACATTGTACCCATGTCGGGATTCGAACCCGGGTCTTCGGCGTGACGAGCGAACGCTTTAACCACTAGGCTACCCGACCGCCCCTCTTGTGAGGTCTCCCTGGTCACACAGCTGGTCAAGTCCACTTAATGGTCTCTCCTTGGGTGGCATGTAGTTGCTAATGGTTCTTGTGAGGTCTTCCTGGTCACACAGCTGGTCAAGTCCACACAATGGTCACTCCTTGGGTGGCATGTAGTTGCTGATAGTTCTTGTGAGGTCTTCCTGGTCGCACAGCTGGTCAAGTCCACACAATGGTCACTCCTTGGGTGGCATGTAGTTGCTGATAGTTCTTGTGAGGTCTTCCTGGTCACACAGCTGGTTAAGTCCACATAATGGTCTCTCCTTGGGTGGCATGTAGTTGCTAATGGTTCTTGTGAGGTCTTCCTGGTCACACAGCTGGTCAAGTCCACATAATGGTCTCTCCTTGGGTGGCATGTAGTTGCTAATGGTTCTTGTGAGGTCTCCCTGGTCACACAGCTGGTCAAGTCCACACAATGGTCACTCCTTGGGTGGCATGTAGTTGCTGATAGTTCTTGTGAGGTCTTCCTGGTCACACAGCTGGTTAAGTCCACATAATGGTCTCTCCTTGGGTGGCATGTAGTTGCTAATGGTTCTTGTGAGGTCTCCCTGGTCACACAGCTGGTCAAGTCCCCATAATAGTCACTGTCCTTTAGGAAGAAAATAGAACAAAACACTTCCAATTTTTAAGATATTTTAATTTTAAGGCGAGATTGAGTAGAATAAAAACAAGTTATTGATAAATTTTCAGGAGCACTTTAACATGCTGAAAAGCCTGCCAGTCATCATGAGGTGGCTGCAATGTTTGATTGTTTGAACTACGTCGAACATGGACCACTGATCACTGTCTCTTTATAAGGTGGGAATGGAGGGCGACAGGGTGCCCTTCTACATCCTATTGTTTCTATACATACCGCACAACAAACAGTGAGGAAGCGGTCAACACTTCAACAACACTAGTATATATCTACAGGTCAAGATTCTAACAAAAATGATTATGAAAATTTAGTCAATACATTGAATGCAAGTTGTGAGCGAACATAGGACCTAATATATCAACAGAATCAAGAGGATGTTTTCTCAACAAAAACACCTTCCTGACAAATGTGAAAATTTACAAATATAACGTGGATGTCATTATAAATATAAGATCTTATATTTACACAATATACAACAAGTTTACAGTTGGTATGATCGTCACATTCACTGTTTTTTTCAGAAACTCACAAGAGAAAATTGCATAGAAAACCGTATGGCAAACACATCCATGCAGCAAAATGTATAAGTATCAATAAAGGTAATAATTGAAATAACAAAATAATATTACTAAAACTGTAGTTGAAAAAAAAAATCAGCACATCATAGCGAGTGACTGTGCAAGATTATTGACTAATTTCAACAGATATACAACTGTTAGTATTTCTTAATTTTTATTTTGAAAAAAAAATAGTAAAAAGAAAACACCATCTATATACAAATGAACAAGTGACTCTATGCTATGACAGTCATCATACATGCATGTCGTTTCATCAACATGATTAAAGTATTTTCCATATCACAGTGTCCTTGTCGCAAGACTTGTTTCCTAACAGATGCTGATAATATTGTACGTTTGTAGTTAATAGTTAGAACTGGTAATATAACAATCTGATAATGCATGAACCAGCAAACATCTGTAACAACTAGCTGTAGGTTCTGTGGAAGAAACATACAAAATGAGCTAACAACACTAGAAACGGCTCCTTAACATGCATTCACATATAACCTACAATAGAAGACTTCTGATATTATTTGTTAGAACCAACAATCCAGTACAGGCAATAGGAACTGTGTAACTAGGCCAACAGAAGCTGCCTCGGAGATGGAGACCTGTGGGAATACTCTTCTGGAGAAAGTGAGTGTTTACCATTACGTGTGTTTATGATGGGAGCACCTGGATGGACATCAGCCATAACCAGCATCAGCATCATTGAGAGTCTCACTTCTACTTGACCTATTTATTGCCTGATGTTGGAGGAGCTGGTAACTAGGGCACAGTACACTGTGTTGTAGGACTGGGTGGATATACATGAGCATGGCACCGCAGTCCTCATCGCTGCACACTTTCCAAAAGTTCTATATCTGGGGCATGCTACAATGTAATGGTCATATTATTTTAATACTCAAAGTCTAAATGATATGAATTAGCAGCTACCCACTAGGTTAAGACAAAAAAGTCCTGACAAAAGGGTTTGTTATGAAACAATATTTCTGAATGTCATTTACCATAAACCACAAACAACTGTTATGATATCGATGTATGAGCAAGATTGAATTTTCAAATCTTCCTTACTGCCGAGTCTTTTACTTTGCAGACCAATAACTGAAAGACTTCCTCCAAGATATAAGATGAAGCCAAACACTGTGAACATGTACCTGTTTATGCAAGGTGGCCAGTTTGGGCACACAAGGGGATGGTCAATCAAAGGCCTGGTTCTAAAGGTTGTGTGCTACATTATAGTGGCCTGGTTTACAGCAGTACAACTGTACAGTTAGTGAACTGCAGACATGGGGTGTGATACAGTTTCCTCCAGTGAGTCCACGTGGGTACACGAACCCAGATCACCAGGAGGGGTGTCCCTGCTAGCCACTACACATTCACCTGCTCCTAGTGTCAAGCATTGGAGATAATTTAAGAAAAAGGTGTATCATGAACAATGAATATATAACTATAGGAATCTTCGAATTTTAAATTGAAATCTAGCAAATTCATAAAATCTGAATATATTTCAACACAATTTTAAATGTATGACATCATGTATCTTTGTGAGTACCGTGTATAGCAATGAGATCATTTAACCTATGACAAAAGAATCCATTGTCCAACTGACTTTCTAGGTGGACTAGAAGGGCTATATGTATATCTTATATACAATAACTTGGGCTACACATGAGGCCAGCTCACAAAAAGGCACAAAAAAACACCATGTGATAAAACATAATACATCTGACAATAAACAGCTGAAAACCTGAGGTACAATAAATAAATCTCTCATGTAAACACAAACACAACTGCTTCTGAGAGTATTTTTATTACCATGCTACCATGGTACTGCTATCGGCTGTGTGAACAACCACATCTGCTTGGACAGCATCTACATTTCCATGCTCCCGGCTCCCGGCTCCCATGTGTTTCTGAATAACCAATGCTTCCTAGCCCAAGCATGACAACTCTGCAATAGTAATTATTATTTCCAAAGAGACAAGTTCCTGAATCATTGGTTTAGTAAAGTTAATCATGAAAACTTTTTCATTTCAGCATGTCATTGCTTGTTTAGTTGAGCCATTAGATTGTCATGACTCACAATCACTATTATTCCTATCTCAAGTAATTTCATTTCAACTTCATAGACTATCATCACCCAGCTTGCTAGTAGTAGAATCTAGAGTGATATGATCTTGTCAAGTACTATTTGTCTAAAAGAGCCGACACATGTACACATGAATATAACCAAGAAACAGATGTGTTACGGTTTTGAGTGGACATGAGAAAGTCATTTATGTCATAAACTCTGAGTAACAATGATTAACAGTCTGGGAGACAGTGACATATATGACTAGTTTAAACAGACATGGAGAAACAGAGAGTGATAGGTGGAACAGATCTGCACAGTCCAGAATAGTGAGACTGTGACAGATATGATGTGGCTGGACAGTCTTGAAGAATGATATTGTAACAGATATGACTTGGCTAGACAGCCTTGAAGTATGATATTGTAACAGATATGACTTGGCTAGACAGTCTTGAAGAATGATATTGTAACAGATATGACTTGGCTAGACAGTCTTGAAGAATGATATTGTAACAGATACATGTATGACTTGGCTAGACAGTCTTGAAGAATGATATTGTAACAGATATGACTTGGCTAGACAGTCTTGAAGAATGATATTGTAACAGATATGACTTGGCTAGACAGCCTTGAAGAATGATATTGTAACAGATATGACTTGGCTAGACAGTTTTGAAGAATGATATTGTAACAGATATGACTTGGCTAGACAGCCTTGAAGAATGATATTGTAACAGATATGACTTGGCTAGACAGCCTTGAAGAATGATATTGTAACAGATATGACTTGGCTAGCCTTGAACATGAGATGAACATGAGTGATCTGAACAGCCTCAGTGATGAGACAGTGACGGATATGACTGATTTGTTATTCAGCATAAAAGAGATATACGTTCAAGAAGGTTGAAGAATTCTGACACATCACAAAGTTTAATATCACCCATTACCTGTTACAAGTGGGAATCAAAGTTGTATGAACACCATCTTCTTCTACTATTTCAACATCACATTGAGTCTGCTGGATCAGCATCAAAGTAAGGAAAATGTAAATAAATTTAAAAACGAAAAAAAATGACAAATTCACAAAAATTCCTGAAGTGAAAACCTGTGCATGGGAATAGTATATGACTTTCAACCTTGTAACTATGTACATCACCTGCATCTAGCATTAACAAGGTCACCTCCAACAAACACTGTCAGATGACCTTCTGAAATATTGGAACATGCACATTCACAGGAAAGTTGAATGTTGACTGTTTCCTCCACTGAACACTACCACTGTATACCATCTTTATCATTTTCGTAATACAGTCGCAATATGGCTGCAATATTGACGATGCGATGTAAATTTTATTAACTCAGAAAAAAAGTTTTAGATAACAATAAGTCATTGTTATAGTTTGTGAAACAGCCTTTACAACATAATTTTGACATTATAAATCCACTTCTTATATATATTCCTACTTTTGCAAGCATATCTACATGAGCAAACATGGGGTATATTATCTGCACGGTCAGGTCCTTGTGGAATGTAAAACTCCCAATATGATAGCCATTTCTAAACCATATTTTCAGCTAAATAATTGGTCTCGAAAGTTATTGGTCAGAAACAACTTAAATGTTAGACAACATGTACATTTACACATTTTGTCATATCACCAACATGCACCTGTATAACATGACGGTAACAATAGTACTGAATATAACAGTATCCAGCATGCTACACAACTGGTGAAAACTGGTCAGATTAGCAACATGAATTGTCGTCGTCTACCAGCGGGCTGTCTGGTGCCACTATCGGTGGTAGAGGCAGTAGTTGCTATAGTACACGATACACACTAGGAATTAGCCTGGTAGGAAGCCAGTTGACAGGATCTACACGATCAGTGTCCACAAGAAGTAGTCTGAGTGTGAATGTTGACTCTCGTCTCGTTACTAGCTAGAGGACTGATTGGACAGACCTCACTATGAGCATTGCATCTGAGCAGTCTACGGCTATCTGTACGCCATGTACACTGTACGTAATTCACACAATATACGGTATCCACACCCACAGTTGTCATGGAAACACACGTAAGAGCACATTATGGAAGTGGTTATGAAGATATTCCATTTTAAAAAAAAGCAGCATTCATATCAGTTGGTCTTCACATTGTCTTGAATGATCACGCATAGAAAAGAAACCGGAGACCACACGCTTCTTTGGTATCCATGGTAACCAAATGGTCTCCAAGGCAACCAGAATAAATTGGAAAATCCTAATTAAGCACAAACGCTAACACCAGTCATCCTCTTCATCAGATTCATTATGCAAAGGAATGTTACTATCACTGCGAAGTTCATATTTTTCGGGCTTCCGTCCCTTACCCTTCACCTTGGGTTTAAAACCATTTGGAAGGGTAGCAGCAGAGCGAGATCCCCGCCCACCTCCCCCTGTCTCCTGGGGTGGAGTATCTTCAAACTGATTGGCTAAAAATCTACTCCTATCACTGGCATGAGTATCCGGTGCTCGGCCAGACTGTCGGCCTCCACGGTCAGCTCCATGGTAGGGTGAATCACCATGGTAACCACTAGTCCTTTGAGCGATAGGTAAGGTGTGAGATTTAGGGTCACTAAGTTTGTTGAGATTGTTTCTCTCTGTGGGACTATAAGGCTCGGGTCTCCCAAGCCGGCCTGGTGGAGGCACATGATGCGACGAATGAGGCGGGATGTTCAGTTTGGGGAGGTGTGTTGGTGATGCGTTCAGCTTGGGAAAGTTAATGCTCCCTGGGCTTTTTGGTGGCTGTGGAACTGTTGGAGACGGCATAACCCTGGGCATGCTTTCTTTCAGTTTCGGTTGAGCAAGATTTAATGATGATGGTTTTGACACGGGCACCGGTGGTAACTTTCGCCCAACACGTTTAGGAGGTGACTGGGCAGGGCTTGGACTACGGGATCTGTCGGTCAGGTTGGCTGAACCATAGTATTCTAGCTGGGACTGCGACAAGTTAGGGTTAGGTGAAGGGCTCCGAGATCGGTTTTCTAATGATGTGGATCTGTAGAAAGTGGACTCCCTGTTTTTACGGGGTGGTTTGGGACTAGGATGGGGGGAGCCATACACTGGATACTGCTGCGTTAGGGGAGGGCGGATGTTTCGGGAATGTGTCCGACCGCGCATCTGAGGAGAGCTTGGAACACTCAAACTGTCGTCATGGCGATGACCTGTAGAAGAAAATATATCCACATATCCAATAAATATGAAATTACAAATTCAATGTTTTAAATCAATTACTTTGTGTAGGAGACTGGATGATGAATCTGAGATAAAAAATTTAAATTGTCTTATTTACGAAAATGAAGAGTGAGTTCGTTTCATAAACACAGAGTTACATTCATATGTATTGTCATCTATGGAAAAAACTCAATATTCAACAGTATTCATACTGTTGCTGATGAAATTTGATTCAGTAGGCTTCAAAGACACAATGAACCAAAACTGATGGAGGAATAAAAACATACAAAAACATAAATATAACAAATTTCTTGTATCAGTAGTAGCATTCAGTTGCATTTGAAAGACTACTGTAATAAAAACCAAGCAATTTGGCACTGTAGCTCATCTGAAATTGTTTGAATTATTGAAATAATCCTGTAGGATTTTGCACTTGTTTTTAGAATTTTGGAGTTAAATTATAATTTGCAATTAAACCCGTTTATGTTCATGAGATCACCACAGCATAAGCTTACTGTAGGATGCCAAGTTATTGTTAATAAAGCCTTCTACATTTTTAAATTGAGTATCATTAAAGAGAACATCGCACTGGTATTTAGTCAGTTTCATCATTTACTTTTCCCAACATAATGTATACTTGTATTATTGCTAGTTTGCAATTCATTGGAATCCAGTTTGTACTACCAATACCATTACCATGTATCTATCAATACCATTACCATGTATCTACCAATACCATTACTATGTATCTGTGTATGTTGGTCGGTGGATACAATGCTAGCAAGTTTACAGGAACCCTTCTTAGCACGCTTACAGATGTTTTGTGTCAAGAGGGGTGAAGTTCTCAGTCTCACATAGAAAAACTTGACCTAAAGACAGTGAAATGATCTAATTGTCAATATGATCCCCTTCCACACTCATGCACTTTTGTCAACAATATTGGAGGGATTTTATCCTATTTTTCTGGAAGTCTTTCTCTTGGCTGTCCAAAAATCAGCTACTGTGATTTCATTGTTCCAGTTTTCTTCATGTTTGGAAACAGATGGAGGTTTGATGGAGCCAGATGTCAGAATAAGGTGGGTGCTGAAGGACTTCAAAGCCACACTCATGGATTGTAACCATGGCAATTACTGTTTTGAGCAATGGCGCATTGTCCTGATGTAAGAGCACACTTTTTCTCAGATCCCTCATCTTAATACCATCACATAATTTCCTCAAACTTCCTAGAAGGTAATCACTCCTGGGAAATGCCTACTGAACTAGCAATATGATGCTCAGTCACTTGCTGGTCGGTCACCATATTGTGGATTCTCTGGATCATTTCTGGTGTTGCTGACGTGAAAGGCCTTCCACGACAGTGGTCATCCACAAGGCCCTCCTGCCACTCTTAAACTCTGCCGCCGACCTCCTTATGGTGGCATCCTTCCCTAGTGTTGTACTCATATCTCCATGGATGGCTTTGGGTGTTGTCGCAGCAAAACAATATGCTCAATTAACTCAGTGTGTTGTGGATATATCTCTATTATGTCATGTTATTTCCACAACAAAAGATTTCACTATGATGCAGTTCCTTCTATGTGAGGCTGAGATCTTGTCCCTCAACCCTCGTATCAACTTGATGAGGGCAGAATCACACCTTCAGACTGTTGCATTAATCTCTTAATATTTCTCACACAACCCTGAAATCGGCTTCAGCTAGAGACCTCAAAACATTCATCAGACTTTGTGTCACTGCTAAGTGAAAGGACACATGACACTAAATATAGTGTCTAGTCCTAAAGTGGAACACTGAGCAGTCTCACTTTAAGTCTTTTCATGGGAAATTCATGATCATTTTAGTGGCTTGTTCTAATCTATCACAGCATCAAGAGGAGGGTTTCTATTGGTCAGGTTCCACTGAAACCACCCCAAGTATCTAGAACAAAGTCAGGAGAGTGCCCAGGTCAATGAAGCGTTTATTATACCCTATTTCAGTGTGCTACTGTAATATATTTAAATGAATATTTTCATATATTTAGTAGTGAGAAACTTTGCTCATTTTCTTTTTATCCATATACACACACACATGTTCTTTGGTAGGTCTCAAAATATTAATACATACATTAAACTTCAATTTAATTGCCAGTCTCTGTTATAAACATTTGAACTATCATGAAAAAGTGTTTCCTCAAATGTGAACATTTGCTTAACAAGCACAGTGCTTTTACCTACACATTGAGTGTCCTCTGTATGAAGCCATTGCATGGCCCCTATTCTGAACCTTGCCTCCCATCTCCATCACTACAAGCAATGTTACCTGCATGGGTGGTTGAGTGTTGTATTCTTTACTTGAGGTTGATGTTTCAGCAACCTCATTACAATTTACTCTGCTACTATACCTCTCTGCTTGAAGGTCTGAGGACACCTCCACAGCAGGCTGTGTCAGGTGAGTCCTGAGTGAACATTCACCGCCCAGTCCAAATAAGGGATGTGTGGTTCTTGAGAATACATTGTAGCTTCAGATGAGCTTTCTATAATGATTCAGTTTCCAATTTAATTCAGAACTTTTGATTTGTTCAAATGAAAACCCACACAGATAACCAAACATTTCCTTGATGGTATTCAGGTGTAGATGCCATGGCGCTCAGAAATGACAGGGTGTATTAAATATCCACAACAATATAATGGCCCAGTCTTATTTATCTACATTTGGAACTTGTTTTTTTAGTTCATTTTCGAAATACAGACTTGTACCAAGAATTTAGAAGCATCAACACTGATTGGCTGATTATAAAGTTCACCTGATGCATTATACCTTGGAGATGTCCTCAGATCTTCACTTAGAGGATATCGTATCAGAGGGCAATATCAGACTTTAATGACACTTGAGTCATAATGGAAACAAATCCATGCAAATATATTTGTGAATATATTCAACTTTGTTGAATATTCATTGCATCATGGGCTTTATGAATGTGTATACCTTATAATTGTACTTATATTTGTATGTCTAAAATGTACAATCATAATATTTGCATTATTACATACTTTTCATTGTGTTCATGAAGATTCCCGACATGGGTACAATGTGTAAAGCCCATTTCTGGTGACCCTGCCATGATATTGCTGGAATATTGCTAAAATCAGCATAAATCAACACTCACTCACTCATAACACAGTTGAACAAGAGCGCTATTTGTTCCTGTGATTCATGATTATTTGTAACAGTTGAACAGGAGCGCTATTTGTTCCTGTGTTTCATGAATATTTGTAACACAGTTGCAAAGGTGCGCTATTTGTTCCTGGGATTCATGATTATTTGTAACAGTTGAACAGGAGCGCTATTTGTTCCTGTGTTTCATGAATATTTGTAACACTGTTGCAAAGGTGCGCTATTTGTTCCTGGGATTCATGATTCAACAGTGTAACACTGTTGAACAAAATAAATCAAGCACAGAATCTAGGGTTACTCTCCATAACATTCTTCTGCATTGATTATTCAAAGTTAAAAAAACCTTTCCCAAAGTAAGACAAAAACTACTTTCAAAGAACTAATTATAACCTAATAAATTGAAACAATAAATACATGTAACAGAAAATATTCTACTTAACTGTCCAAAGATTAAACAAACAAGTGGTAACATATATATGGTGTAACTACATGTAGCAATACATGATGTCTTCAGATTTAAATTTGGAAGAAATAATTTTAGAAATCATAAACTCTACTCACTGTAATTTCAAAGAAGACATTTAGGTATTATGCACATGAAACAATACCTTGCATTTTTAACTAACAAGCATAAGAAAAGGGTTTCAACAATGTAACTGACAGAAATTAGATCTGTGACAAATTCGTAAAAAATGTGCAATGGCTCTGTAGCTCAACTGGATAAAGGTATTCATGCAAAGAAAGGTTAAATGAATATGTGTTTTTAATTGCATTTAATTAATTATTGACGTCTATTATTAATATAGAATGGAGTACACAGATGCACATGACCCTTCTTGATCAAATGTGGTATCACAATGTTCAAAATTACATGGAAATCTTGGATTCCAGACTTTAATGTTCTTCATGCATGCTCTCTGCATCAATGCAAGTGTCATGAAAAAGGTCACTGAGTGAGAGAGTTGTGTGAATCACAAGATTATGATCAGTTTTTATTACAAAGACAGGTGGCAGACAAACCATTTTTTATTTAAGATGCCTTTGTTATTTATGATGTTATATTTGCTAATATATCACATTACAGCATCTTATTACCTATTATATCAGCAACTGGAATTTCTATTTCAAATCTTGAAAAAAAAACCATAGGCTTCATGGCAAGAAAATATTATTGAGATTGAAGGGATAATTAGCTAGAACTGGGTAAAAAATCAAGATTTACAAAAAACATGTTTTAAATGCTATGTTAACAACATAAAACTGGCTACATGGAACCGCAAGAACATCTTTAGATGACCACATTGCTTCAGTGCAATATTGACCTTCAAAGGTGTTCAAGAGAATGACGGACAGGCCATGACACAAGCTCACTTGGACTTTCCATCCAGGTGACAAAAAAAATCCATCCCAGTGAAGTTCGTAGAAATGTAATGTAAATTAAGATTTAGGATTTGGAAAGGGCTAGGTTTAGTGAGAATAAACACCATCTTAGAAAACCCTTTTGAATCTTTACCTTGAATAACCTTATCATAAATAGGACCGTTTATCATAGCCTGCAAGTAGAGCCAATTAGGAGACATTATTAACTATCACATCACTTAGTTATTCACAACCATTACGTTTCCATCGCCTGTGAATGAAAGAACATGTTATAAGTGAATATCATCATGCTAAGCCACACACTTGAGTGATAACCAGGCTGTAAATCCACAATTACCCTGCTACCCTATCTGGAACACTTGAAGATCACTGTGCATTACAATGTTTTAGAACAAAAGAACCATCAAATTGTGCAATGCTTTTTTTGTCAATTTCATGAGAACATCAATTATTGTGGGTTGCCTCTCAAGTGTGTGTGATCATGTACACAAAGTCAGTGTGCTTAAGGCAAGTGCATAGTCCCGACTATCTACAGTGGAGCTGAGACAGAATGTCCCGGGAAACTGGGTGTCTGGATGTGTGTGAGCAGATGACATCAGAAGCAAGTCCCAGCCACCACAATAGATTTCAAAACCACCAAAGCCACTTAAAAACTCTAATCTGTCATGGTTATCAAACATGTCACACTTGGGTAGTCTTTAATCATAGATGAGTTTGTCTCCAGTCACAGTTGAGTTTGTCTCCAGTCACAGTTGAGCAAGTCTCTAGTCACAGTTGGGTTTGTCTCTTCTCACAGTTGAGCAAGTCTCCAGTCACAGTTGAGCAAGTCTCCAGTCACAGCTGAGCAGGTCTCTTGTCACAGTTGAGTTTGTCTCCAGTCACAGTTGAGCAAGTCTCTAGTCAGAGTTGAGCAAGTCTCTAGTCACAGTTGAGGAAATCTCTAATCACAGTTGAGTTTGTCTCTTGTCACAGTTGAGCAAGTCTCTAGTCACAGTTGAGTTTGTCACTAGTAACAGTTGCGCAAATCCCTAGTCACAGTTGAGTTTGTCTCTAGTCACAGTTTGTCTCTAGTCACAGTTGAGCAAGTCTCTAGTCACAGTTGAGTTTGTCTCTAGTCACAGTTTAGCACATCTCTTGTCACAGATGAGTTTGTCTCTAGTCGCAGTTGAGCAAGTCTCTAGTCACAGTTGAGCTAGGTTCTTGTCATGTCACAATTACATTTGTCTCTCTTCACAGTTTAGCACATCTCTAGTCACAGTTGAGCAAGTCTCTAGTCACAGTTGAGCAAGTCTCTAGTCACAGTTGAGTTTGTCTCTTGTCACAGTTGAGCAAGTCTCTAGTCACAGTTGTGTTTGTCACTAGTAACAGTTGCGCAAATCCCTAGTCACAGTTGAGTTTGTCTCTAGTCACAGTTTGTCTCTAGTCACAGTTGAGCAAGTCTCTAGTCACAGTTGAGCAAGTCTCTAGTCACAGTTGAGTTTGTCTCTTGTCACAGTTGAGCAAGTCTCTAGTCACAGTTGAGTTTGTCACTAGTAACAGTTGCGCAAATCCCTAGTCACAGTTGAGTTTGTCTCTAGTCACAGTTTGTCTCTAGTCACAGTTGAGCAAGTCTCTAGTCACAGTTGAGCAAGTCTCTAGTCACAGTTGAGTTTGTCTCTTGTCACAGTTGAGCAAGTCTCTAGTCACAGTTGAGTTTGTCACTAGTAACAGTTGCGCAAATCCCTAGTCACAGTTGAGTTTGTCTCTAGTCACAGTTTGTCTCTAGTCACAGTTGAGCAAGTCTCTAGTCACAGTTGAGTTTGTCTCTAGTCACAGTTTAGCACATCTCTTGTCACAGATGAGTTTGTCTCTAGTCGCAGTTGAGCAAGTCTCTAGTCACAGTTGAGCTAGGTTCTTGTCATGTCACAATTACATTTGTCTCTCTTCACAGTTTAGCACATCTCTAGTCACAGTTGAGCAAGTCTCTAGTCACAGTTGAGCAAGTCTCTAGTCACAGTTGAGTTTGTCTCTAGTCACAGTTGAGCAAGACTCTAGTCACAGTTGAGCTAGGTTCTTGTCATGTCACAATTACATTTGTCTCTATTCACAGTTTAGCACATCTCTAGTCACAGTTGAGCAAGTCTCTAGTCACAGTTGAGCAAGTCTCTAGTCACAGTTGAGCTAGGTTCTTCTCATGTCACAATTACATTTGTCTCTATTCACAGTTTAGCACATCTCTAGTCACAGTTGAGCAAGTCTCTAGTCACAGTTGAGCAAGTCTCTAGTCACAGTTGAGCTAGGTTCTTGTCATGTCACAATTACATTTGTCTCTAGTCACAGTTTGGTCACGGTTTGCGTGTCTTTTTTGGTAAAAAAGACAGACAGTTGTCCTGCATGGTCAGTGGAAGTTAAGAAGAGTTGTTAATCAAAAGAGAAATCATGAGTTTAAAAATTAATTGGTGCATTATTTTAACAGAAAGGTTCATGAAATAGTTCAAAGTGCACAACACAGAGAACCATGCATCACTTGTAATGTAGAGGTTTTGAAAGACGGCTTGCGTTGCTTCATGCTGACAGACAATGCCCAACCACACATATATACTCTGATTTCAGTTGGATCCCAGGGTTACATACAACTTAATGTGGTTAGAAAACAGGTAGACCAGATTTCAACAAACACATTTAAAAAGTTTAGGATGATGCAGATTTCCTACTCCAGAACAGCATATTTTTTACAAGCAAAACTTCAAAGTTTTAAAAGTGAAAAGACACAAAAACCCTGCTATATTTAAATACATAATTTTGAATTTCAAATTTCAGGCTGTTGGTTTGCTAAGATTATATTTAACAGATAAATCAAATATACTCTTTTTTTTAACGTTTTATAAAAACCCATTAGGATTACCAAATAGGTTAAAGAATGTTTCAATCAAAGCCAAACATTTACATGAAACATAACTGCATAAACAGCACTATAGACAGGGTGTAGTTAAACAAGCAAGCTTTTGCTTAGATATGAGGTAAGACTCATGCTGTTTCCACGCTCCACTGTAGGTACAGAAGTAGCACTCACCATGGTGCTTACGTCTATCCTGCTCTGCAATGTGATGGGCTTGATCCACAATGTTGGACACAGCAGATGCGAAGCCCACGTCAGCGCGTCTCGGTGAGGGGGAGCGGCGGGATGGGAGAGGCGATGCCCGGGGGGACCCATAAGGACTGTGTATGGGGAGGGGGGAGCGGGGAGACATTGGTGACACTGGGGAAGAAGGGGTGTGAGCCCCATGTCTCTGGACGTCCAACTGGGCTGAACGCGGGGCCTGGAAGGAGAAGGCAGTAGTGTCAGTTAGGCTTGGGCACCTTCCATACACTACATCAGTGCATAAATCAACAATCTAAAAGCAATCAGTTCAACATGCTTCAAGAAAACTGAGACAGTTCTGGGAAAGGCTTCTGAAGTAAGAGTTTTCATTATGCTCAAATGGGCAGAAACATATTTCAAGTTATGGTGAGCGGGAGAGGAGATTCTGACATGTTGGGGAGACATCATGTATAACTGAAGGCTTTATGGCATCAACTGGGTGTCCACCAGCATGTTTATTGGCTATTGACATACCTCATCAACCTTACATGGCCAGGAAGTGTCTCAACTTGTCATAATTGTTTGTGCAGTTAAAACTAGATATATTTGGACTAATATCATAAATATATATATTAAGATTATGTATAAAGTGCAAGTTCTTTAGAAAATGTGGTTTGATTATAGTCATTCCATACAAAAAACAAATCTTTTAGAAGATTACAGTTTATCATAATACAAAATAAGAAAGATTTGAATTCAAAATTCTGATATTAACAACTACATTCAAATAAAAGCATTCCAAATGAAAATAAAGGCTTAAGAAAAGACAAAACTTATATGAAAGAAAAATATAATTTAAAAAAAAGGAAAACAAAGGCATTCAAAAGAAATGAACATAGTCATTGAAAAAAAGTTCTTTTATTAAAACTTGAACAAGTGAATACAAATGAAGAGTTTGTGAACATGCGTGTGATGTGACATCACATACACTAAACACCCCACGACATGTCAGCTGTCAGCTAACAGAGAAAGTATCTACACACAATATTCATATCATACAAACATGAGGAAATTCACATAAAACCACCATGTCAGGGTTGGATGCAGAGTTCAAATTTCTTATATTTAAAAGGTGCAACTGAATTCAAATAAACAGTTTCTTTAAAAAATCTCACTAAATCATAACATAAATTTCAAAGTATTAAGTCATATCTAAAAGATATCCAATGATATTCAGGGAAAATTGATAATTTGTCAACAGTACATGTATTTTGTGCAATCTATTTGTTGTCATTAATGAGTCAAGGACTGTTTATAGTGTACATTATTCAACAAACGTGAGGTATCGTTTCTTTAGGTGCAGAAAAGATGATCAGGGGGTGACCACATGATGACCAAAGAGCCACATACACATCACATGACACTGGGGATCGACCAATCAGAGGTTGGAATAGAAATATCACCTCATTCAGCTTTGATAAGGAAGCTGTTATTTGATTGGCTGCTAGTGCTATTAGTGAGTTATCCCTACTGGGCAGGTTCGTGCTAGATGCACTTAGAGGTACATCTCTCAATTCCAAACTCTACAAGAAAAAAACAGGTATTGCTAAACTCCAACAAATAATTTATCTGAAGATCTGATGTAAACTATTGGTGCCATATATACTGGTGATATTTCTCACAGATGCCTGCTTTTGTAGTCATATATCGCTGTAATATATATTTACTACTAACAACTATTATATGCAACAATAAATGATTCTTAAATATGATTTTTTATGCATATGCATATATATGAATTGCCCTAATCGAGAGTGAGTGAGTGAATGTGGTTTTACGCCGCTTTGGACTTCACACATTATACCCATGTTGGGAATCGAACCCCTGTGTTCGGCGTGATGAGCGAACGCTTTAACCACAAGGTTACCCCCCTGCCCCCAATGGGAATGAACACAAAAAAAGATTTATGATATTTTGGTTAAGTATATGTACATGTATATTAAAAGAGTATATGTTACAAAAGAGAAAAAATAATTTGAAAAACTCCTGACCTTCTTCAAACAAACACGTTCATTCTCTCAAGGCCCAGACATTACTGTACATGTTATCATATCACAGATGAAATGGTGAGTCTCAGATCTATACAATACACCGATGAGCCCCAAACAACATACTGATGGAAGAAGACTGAAGAGAACAACTGTGCTTTATTTGTCCCATCTTCTATCAATGTTGTCAAGGGCGGATCCAGAATTTTCAAAAGGGAGGGGTCCAAAATAGCAGAATCCGCTAATAATAGTATTACTGCCTACAACTTACTACATTTAGTTTTAAAAGAGGGTCTGGACCCCGTGGACCCCGTGGACCCCCTTCTCTGGATCCGCCTAGGTTGTAACCCCAGGCTGTAAGATTAATACCTTGTCCTCATTCAGTACAAGGTAGTCACACAGTACTACGTGAATGTCAAAGAGGACAAACATGTAGAATGTTTAGTAAGGGGCATAAGTTTGTCAAACAATGATGCACAACCCACAACTGATTCTGTAGCCTCCCTTTATCCCATACCATCACCAGATATAAAGAAATCATATCATAGAGGAGCAAAGATTCTGTTTCCATGTCTTGAGACAACTTAGCCCATAGCCCTCCATCAAAAGCAAAAATAAAGCAATGAAAAAGAATCCCTTGTTTAAAAGCCCCTCAAAAACCATCACCTCTTGCATCAAACCAAAGGGAGATAACTCGGTACTACCTCTGCGTCTAACTCATCTTGTTCATCAATTGAAAATGAGTTATTAACCACCCCAGCAAAGCGCTTGTTGTGTGCCTGGGGAGGGGGTGAAAACATCATGTTGTTTGACATATTGACAGATTCTTAAATACAGATAGCACATCAGTTCAGGTTTGGAGAATGTTTAGTAAGCATGTTTAGTAAGCATGTTTAGAAAGCATGTTTAGTAAGCATGTTTAGTAAGCATATCTAGTAAGCATGTTTAGTAAGCATGTTTAGTAAGCATGTTTAGCAAGCATGTTTAGTAAGCATGTTTATTAAGCATCAGTCAACATTGTAGGATAGAGTAAACAGGATTTCCTTGCATACTTAGCTCAATACAAAACATTTGGATCGTTGGAAAGGCCTTTTTGTGAATAAAAAAAAGTGAAGTGCCCTTTAGATTTAAAGGTAACAAAAAAATCTATCCTAGATTTGGAGGGGGAAAACTGAAAAATATGCTGCAGAATATTTTACGGACAAAATTTTATAAATAATGATGAGAAATGTTGAAAGGTATGGAAACAGCAACCTGATAAAATATTAGTCAAAAGGATCTAAAAGACTAACGCAGAGATGTTTTTGGTTTAACGTCACGCTCAGCAATATTTCAGCTATATGCCGGTAGTCTGTAAATAATCGCATTTGAACCAGACATTCCGAGGATTGACATCAAGAGCATCGATTTACGAAACTGAGATACAGTGACATGCATCAACCCAGTGAATCTAACCACCTGATCCCATTAGCTGCCTCTTACAACAAGCGTGGGTTGCCAAAGACCAATTCTAACCCGGGTCTTCATGTGGGTTGTGTCTAGTTCCGACTGGTGTGTTCAGATAATGGGTTGTGTCTAGTACAGACTGGTGTGTTCATATAATGGGGTGAAAAGTGAGACTGGATTGGGGTGACTCATTAGTGTGCTTAAAGTTCTTTAGTCCCTTTGTGTTGCCGTGGTAACATTAGTAGACTTGTTTACTCTGCTGCAGTCTGATATATCAGCCAACATGGCTGCCTAGCTGTGGGGTTGCATCCCTATATCATGACAAGATGTCTTGTTTTACTCTGAACTAACATAGTTCATTAATCATTCTAGACTAGAGAAGCCTGTCAGCTAACAGAAACAACTTTATCCAGCTGCAGCTGCCACAAAGCTGTTCAAATCTGGAGTAGACTAACAAAGGGCTGATAATGTGAACATCCATTGTTACTAGGATCAGTTAATTCATACAGGGGGCCTGAATATGAAGTCATATTCACCTTACAACTGTCACAATTCCTATACTTAAAATAGACTTTGGGATTGGATTTATAGGTAGTCATTGAGAGCGTTAAGGGATCTCTGGTGGTTCCTTTCGAATGCACCCTTCCACAAGTAATCATCAAGCTACAATAGTCATATGGAAGCTGATATACCCAGAATACAGAGACTGCTTTGTAAAACTGGACTCTGGCTGAGACAATGCCAGCTACCCATCCTCATCCCACGACAGGGAGACTGGGCATCGGGAATAGAAGAGACTTTAAACTGGGAATAAAATATTTGTATAGAGATGAGATTATTTGTTAACTTTGATAAGATTGTGAAATTGGAATGAGACTGTCCTTGAGGACATCGTGGTACTGAAGACTTAATGTGGAAATCCAACTGAAAAGTAGTTTTAGTGGAGTACAGTTTACCCATGTAACCATGTCATGATACACCAGTTACTGCAGATACTGATAGTACATGAAGTGTATATGAATAATTATAAAATTATCATAAGCAGGCATTTAAAAAGAAGTTATTTAAACATGCAAACAAGCGAGAAGGTAAAGAAATTAAAGGGCACACAATTTTTTAAACATTCACCCGGAGAAAAATGGCAAATATTGAAAAATTGAAAATAGCTAGGGAAAAATGGAAGCAAAAGTACTAATAGAAGCTTTAAAAATATTGATGGCAAAATTGACATTGTAATTGTATGTTTTTAAATGAAAAAAGGCCTTAGGAATCCCAATGTTTTGTATTTTTTGGTTATTCTATGTGAAAGGTACCAACACGTATTTAGAGGTATCATACAGTGTTATCCTAGCAACAATATTACGGTTCAGTAGTGGACCAGCACTCCCACATGAATATCATGGTTATGCAAGGGGAAGGTTTTACTGGTCTCTGTTATACAGTGTTTAATATCTCCATCTGTTCTGATAGATACCCAGGATCCAGTTGCCACCAGAGCTTCATTTTAGAAGGGATAACAGTCTCCATCTCTCTTTTCACTAACTCAGCACAGAGCAACTCTGGCAATGTATTAGTGTAACTATACTGGACGCCTTTGTTTTACCAGCATGTAACTTGAAACAGAGTTATTGCAGTGAAATGGTTCAGACTATTCATCACAATAGAATAGAAATAAACTACCCTGGGTAATAGAGGATGACTTTTTCCTGATTCAAAGGTTCATGTAATTAAGATTTTCAACAGTTCATCAGATAACGACCATGATTTAGATCTGATACTAAATATATCCTATACCGGTTATGAGAAATCTGTTTTAAAGAAAGTTTACATTAATTTCAAATAATCAAATTATATCAACAGCTTGCATCATGAGATCATGCTTGACTTGTTGAAATACAAAAATATATAAATATGAAAATATTACTCATAACTTTCAAATGATGAACATATATAAAAATAATATGAACATGATTCTCAAGAGTCAAAGTAATGCATTTTAAAGCAAGTTTAGATTTGACATATTGCCCTGCTCTAGTTTTAAATCAATCTTACAACAATTTGTTAATATTAAACATTTTTGTCATCATGTTAGGTGCTGCTATACACATGAGAGTAGAGTGCCACTGGCAGGTGCCCATGGGCTGGCTCTCACCTGTACGCTGGAGCTGTCACTGTGGGGGTCTTTCTTCCGCTTACTGCTGCCTCGGCGCAGAAAGCTGAATGACCGATTCCATGGGTGACCTTTGTCAATACTGCAACATAAAGACTTACACTGTAAAAATGTGGACACAATTATGAAATGAATCAAGTGCACAATATTTTTTGCAGAAGATATCTCTGGTAATCAGTGTTATCATCAGTCTAGGGTCCCATATTGGGGCAGTAAGCTGTAAAAAATGTGTTTTGAGCGATTTGAAAAATACCGTCACTGTACTGATGCACTGTCTCTCAATTTGGAACATTGACGCACTGCACAGCGCTGTTGATGCACTGTAAAATAATGTCCCAGGAGGGAGACAATAAGCCTAACTAGCTCAACTTCTGTTACTGTAACTTCTTCCAACAGTTAACAGTAATTCCAGGAGAACCAACAATCATATAGAAACATGACTGCATGGTTCTTTTTCTAGCTGATCTAGCTGTAGTTAGAGAGTGTCTACATTTCAAATTAAGCTAGAAATAACACTTGTCTTGTTATTTTCAATTTGTATTTTTTGGGAGTGGGTTCTGACCTGTGACCTCCCTCTGAATCCCTCTCGCCATCAGAATGTTCGGAGTCCAGTGATTGGCTGGATCGATTGGAAGGTGTTGTTCTCAGGCCACCGATCAAACGACGGAACAGAGATGGGGGCCGCTGAAATTGACAACCTCAAGCATAAACATACCTCATATTCTGGATCTGGGATCTATAAAAATCTATCTTAAGACCTCAAACTTTCTTTCATGGAAATATATAATGGACAAATATCCCATCTCCACCAAACACACATTTTTTATTTTGATAATTAAACCTACAAATATATGTTTTATAAATATTAAACAAAAATACCCTTTCATATGATAAATAAGTATTAAAAATTAATTTCAGTTAGTATCAAAATTGCTTGAAGCATATGGTTCCATATCATAGATTACAGTATGATATATGTTAGTCAGACTATTGTTGACAGACTGGACAAATGACGGCTGAAATGAACACACATCGCCACAGTGTCATGCTATGCATACAGAATTCAACACGGACATTCATAGACAGGAGAGAGTCGAAGATAGATACAGCCTCATGTCATGGTTATTCTTATCTGTGAGCTGTACGCACAAATGTATTATATAGTTTCAAGATTAATGTAAGGAAATAATCTGAAAAAGAAAATCTGAAAAATAATGCTATGTTGAGGTGTCCTCTACCACATTGTTGCAGGGGTCAACTGATTACCCGCATTCATCCACTGTTGTATACGGGGTGCATGGCTTGTCCGGAAGGAAGGCCGTGGCAAATAGGTCGCATTTAACATGATCTATTATATAAGCTCTTTATCATACTAATTTTATCCTTTGTATCCAAAATTGGTGACTATTAAACTGATATTGATAAGGACGATGTTTAACCAACAGATATATCTGCTTCTTGGCACTTCGTCCAGCTAATCATGATGTTCATTTTAGTCAGGTTAACACACCATCAATGATGATAAGAAGAATTGTTCCCAATATCCAGGGTTTAAAGTGTAGGATACATAGGACAGGGATCATGAACATCACGACTCTTCAGTATTGGAAGTAAGGAGGAGGTTAAACTCCTCAGGAGGAGAGAAGCTGTAGGGACGAGAAGATACATGGCTTTGTCAATAGGGACGGTGGGGACAACAGTGAGGGGGCATTGCTTCATGACGTGTTCAAGAAGAACTTTAGTTGTAAGAGCACAAAATATGGGGCAAGAGATGTTATGTCATTAGTAAGTTCAAACATTTAAGAAAGAATCCTCATAACCACTTTATTAACCCTTCACCAACAACAACCTGTTACCTCAAACAATCTGTTATCTCAAACAACCTGTTATCTCAAACAACCAGTTATCTCAAACAACCAGGTATCTCAAGATATGATGGACATAAACAGTTTTGAAGTATCATAATTATGAACTCTCAACATCCCCACTTGGAGACACCAGTCTCTGCAGCATGAGGCTGGGTTAGGAACATACTCTCTACATCCTTACAAATATTACACCCAACTTGACATAAACAGACAATAGAATATCAAATGTCAGATGTCTATCTAACAATGCTACTGTGAATCTAGACTGTAGACTAGCTTTGTCATCTCTTATTCCTTGTAGTTCCTGACAGATTCAAAATTTGAAATACATTTGGCTGCCATGTGTTGGAGGATTTGAGAAAAAAACATTTCTGATGATTAAAGGATTATTCCATAAAATTCATAACAGAGGATACCGTTTCATGATATATAAGTTTCTTTTAGTTCTAAGATTACATGAGTTTATAGTATTTCATCCTCTTAAAACATTTGATAGCGCTAAAAAACTATTCTTATTTGTCTTCATGTTGGAATATTCTTATCACAGTCATGTAAAGTCTTTATAAGTGTTGGCACAGTTCCAGTAAATAACAACATATTGATATTTAGTGCAGGTGTACTTCAGTCAGGGAAGGGATGGGAATGCTGCTGAAGAGCATGGAGAAAATGGAGAAAAATGGTTTTTATAAATGGTTATATAAAATATGGAATAAGCTGTGAACCAAGATACAATGGATTTGGTCATTTGTTGTGGATAAATATAAAACTGGGATGATATTCTACAAGATGTCTTGCCTCTGGATCCTGAGATAAAGCTGAGTGGAGAAAACTAGCTAGAGTACTTCTGGTTGGGATGACACTCGGCTGCAGCGAAAGAACACTCTTTGTCAACATTCAATGTTTATCTAGCAATTCTAAAACACTAAAAAGCTGAAGAAAAAATATTTTTTGTGTTAATATAATGAAATGAAAAATAAACATCTTTGAAATTCAATATTGAGGATAATTTGTAATTACAAACAAAAGAAATCATTAACAGATTTGAAGTTCAAAATCTTTTCTCCGTGGATCTTAATGTTCTTAAATAAATTAACTTTTTACCTTTTGCAAAATGATCTTCAATTAATTTAAACAACCATATTGCTGAACAAAGGTCACAAAAATGTCAATTCGTCAAAATTTAAAGATGCTATAAAACAAATAATATCATGGGAACATTTGATGTTCCTGATTTTGAAAATGAACATTAAATAATGCTGGCTATTTCAAGGGGAAGTAACTCTTGCCTCATTGGTTTCGCTAGTGACTGTTTCTGGCGGGATGACATGAGTAGATGGAATATTTCCATTTACTGATGGGCGTCGGTCTTTCTGCATTAGTAATAAAACAAAGGTCATCCACATGATTTGTTGAAATATTCTAATATACAAGCTGTTCAGATCATTGATAAAGTAAAATTAAACTGTATTTTGCAGATTATTCAATTATCTCCATATTAGAAAAGAAATGAGTTCAAATAATGAAAGAATACAAATGTCCTCAATAAAATAGGATAATTTAATTCAACGTTTATTAGAATATATAAGGATCTCTTAAAACTTTTCACTATTGTGAAAAGTGAATGAAAAATGGTAAAAAATTAAATGTAAGATAGACCATCTGATTCTGAACTTAATCATTAATGATTGAATTAACTCACCAGAAATGTTTAAAGATAAATTTTAAAATAAAGAGAAAAGATATTAACAGGAGATATTTTTGTTAGGTTTAATCAAAGAAAAGAAAAGACTAATATACGATGATGAGCAAACTACACATTCTGTATGTGATATTACTTTAGCATATAAGGAATTAATGTCTTCCATTGACTAGTTTGAATGATACTGACGCATGCTTCATACTACTTGAAAGTGGAATTCTACTTGACTTAACATCCATTCATGTTTATGCTGAACAGTTCAGAAAAAAAAATCATTAAGTGCTGCTTCTAATCTCTTGTGAATGGTTTAAAAAGAAATCGAAAATGCATATATTTGAAACTGAGAATCTAATTGCACTATCAAACTATTTCATTCATTGTAATCAAAACGGAATGAACCCAAAGCCAATATACAAGTCTAACCTATTAAGAACTGGCTAAATAAAAAGTAAAGCCAATAAATGATCTATGAAATCGTCAATCTAGGAAGTTGATGCTGTAGACTAGTCACTACAAGCAGAACTCGGTGGACTATTCAGTCAGTCTACATCTCTTTGCCCAACTGCTACTCCTACTGGGAAAACTCTTGCCTTCTCCTCGGTACTGGGATCCATGGGTGGCAGATACCTAGTTGGTGCTGGTAGAAAGCTATCAGGTGGTAGAAAGCTATCTACCATATGCGATTTTCTTCTCTTTGGCTAAAGACATTGAAGAAAAATGGACAGTGTATAACAAGAGGATTATTTCTTAACACTTAAGAACGATGCTCCTTCATAGCTCTAACCTGTTTTAGCTAACAGTGCAACACAGTGTTTACTAACTAAAGTAATAGTTGAGATGGACTATAGTTCAAAATACATTTACAAAACAAATACCCGAGACTACTGATGCTACTAATTTATATATAGCGGTACATTAAATACAAACTGTCACATATCGCCTAAAGTTCAAACTATTTGGAACCATCTTTACAAAGGCAAAGCATCTTCTGTATTTCACACAGTAGGGAATACCCTTCATTATCAACACTACAAAATACCCTGCACAAATATCAATACTAGAAAGTGCCCAGTATAATCTTAACTACTAAATGTCATGTTTTGTTTATGTACAAAATGTCCTGAGTGATTCATATATAACATGCCCTGTATAATCAATATACAAAATGCCCTGTATAATCTACATATAAATGCCCTGTATAATCTACATACAAATGCCCTGTATAATCTACATTTAAATGCCCTGTATAATCTACATATAAATGCCCTGTATAATCTACATATAAATGCCCTGTATAATCTACATACAAATGCTCTGTATAATCTACATACAAATGCCCTGTATAATCTACATACAAATGCCCTGTATAATCTACATACAAATGCCCTGTATAATCTACATATAAATGCCCTGTATAATCTACATATAAATGCCCTGAGTATTCAAAGACTACAAAATGTCCTGGTTATTTACCTATAATTTTTTGTACAAATGCCCTAATTAATTCTATGTAAAAATGTCTGAAAACGCTTTGTCTAATGTATGTACAAATGTCTGAATACTCTTTGGACAAATACCCTGTATAATCCATGTAAGAATGCCCTGAATATTCTATGTAAAAATGCCCTGATTACTCTTTGTATAATCTATGTATGAATGCCCTGTATAATCTATGTACAAATTTTCCTGTATAACTGAACTGTACAATCTACGTACATACTGTCCATATTAATCTAGGCAGATAATGCCCTGGATAATCACTGTACAAATTGTCCTGTATAATCTAGGCACTACATACCATGTATGATCTATGCACGAATTGTCCTGCATAATCTAGGCACTAAATGCCATGTATGATCTATGCACGAATTGTCCTGCATAATCTAGGCACTAAATGCCATGTATAATCTCAAAGACAACTGGACAAAATACATGTAATCTACATAAGAAACTAGTTGGTATATTCCATGTACACAATGACCAGCATTTGCACAGTACACATTTCCCTATTAATAATCTGTGTACAGACCTGTAGTGTTCATTGTACAATATGACCTATATAATCTATGTGTAAATTCCCCATATTATCTAGATCACAAATGGACCTGTAGTACCAGTACATGTACTGCTATGAGGTTTAGTCAAGGTAGATTTATCTATGGCACAATACAAAACTTGTGTTTTCAGCGATATAAAAATCTGTCATCTGACAGAATGTCCATCATATCATATATGTTGATCTACTTCTGTCACCACGTCTTGGAACCCACAGGGGAACACCCTTTCTACCTTACTCCAATAATACCCAGGTATCCCTTGGGTGGGACTGATGGACTGACTGATCATGACTGATGTCATCAGAAACTATGTATGCTATCATTTGAAGACGCCAGGGCAATGTCACAACAACCTGATGGTCTTGTTTGTTATAAACATTTGACAGTTAAACCCACCCTCCACCAAGTTTGATACTTAAACCTTATGTTTGTGTGACCAAGTAGTGGCTGTGTTTGCCTTCATGCAGGAGATCCAGGTACACATGGATACACATGATGAATTCTCTTCTTGGTATTCCCTGCAGTGCTACAGTTTAACAACACATCTTTAATGTCTGGCTGTTAGTATCTCAGTCACCTGCTTCTCAATTACTTGTCAAAATGAACCATTTTGCATACTTGACAGAACATCCCATAGCTTTTGTTGTGTATCTGGACATGGGGAATCCTACCATGCTGTTACAACTAGAGGTCCTGCATAATTACAAGGTGGAAACAGACTGCCATGCTCCCCCCTGGGCCCAAGACTGTGGTGCCAGTCACTGAGGTATGTGGTCAATCATGTTAGTCAAAACTGTACAGAGACAATGTAAAGCATGCAAGAACAGCAACAGTATCACACATTCCCACATCAAGAAATAGAAGCACATTGTCTCCATTTATAGAGAAACTTACTGGAGAACACTGTTTCATCTTCATGCAAAACTTGACTAAAGTACTGTCTAACGATTCATGTAATCATATCTTTACCTCACAATTCTAGTAATTAATCAGCCAAATAACTTGGACCAATTTGACATTATTTCCACTATGAAGTGAAGACTACAGACAGAATCTGAACAACATGTGAAAGACAAACTGCTTAAGGACATTGCTCATGGAGAACTGTGGACATAGTGGACAAACTACCCAAGGAAACTGTCTTTACACAGACTTCACAAGGAAAATGTCTTTAGAAAAGGATGGATAAAGGACAAAATACCCTGTGTAAACTAACAAACTGTAAATTTTCCAAATTCCATGTGATATCAGGAACTGTAATCAGACCAATGTATATGATATCCTTCTGGAATCTCTCAACATCACATATCCACTGACATTTCGACCTCCACAGGTTCCGGGTTAGATTCCTGTTGTATTTTCTATCAGATTCTTCTACTGTTCTTCATGTCAAGTCTGCTGATCTGATTTCAATATCTTGTCAAGCTACTGAACTTGGAGGAAATGTTACACAACACTGGGTTTTTTCAATCCTTTATGTGCTAGTATGGTAAGGTCTAAATGTAACTTATTGCTTATTTTAAGAGGGTGTACATTCATATATTTTTCACAAGCTGTACTTTCTATTAGTGTCAAAATGAACATGCAATTTTAAACTTGCCCCTTCCTACTCTGCTTCCTGCATAGTACCACTGTTATAAGAGGACATCACAGCTCTCACTTACACAATTGACAGGCACAAAACTTGATTACTGCAAATTGCTATACAAAGACCATGCTACAAGACCTTTGTCTCATGCTTCTAGCACGCTCAAGTAACTCTCCTGCTGATTGATAATGATGCATGCAGTGTCACCTCCTGAGCAATGTCTATGAGGGAATTGGGGAACTCTGATTAATATACGACATGATGAGACCAGATGGAGAGTAGATATGATGTGTGATACAGGTAGGTGTTCAAGATATGAAATATACGATGTGCAATATTTTGGTAATAAGATCTGGGTGATGTGCAGTAATTGTTAAGATCAGTGTGTAAAGATTGTTTCAAAGGGGTAAGAAGGTCTCAGTTGAAGGTAGAAGATTTCTAACCAGGAATTAACAAATTAGAGAGATAGTGTTTGATTTGTTAAAGAGCAGGAGTGTGTATAGGTTGTTTACATTTGAACCATCCTCAACACTCAGGGGAATATTAAAACAAATCTCCATGTTGTACCAATTAATAGCCTTACAAATGTATGCACATACCAATACATATTTATGATAAGTGAGTGAATATTCATTTGCCTCAGCATGTTTGCACAATAAGAGTTTACCCTCTCAAGGGGAGACTGCTCTGTCGTAGAATCTCTAACAGGGTGTGGGACAGTGAATATCATCAGTCTTCGGATATGTACAACATGACAATTTGTCTTTATGTGTGTGTAAATCAGTATTCATAAATGCAAAAATATATTACAAACATATTTCATAATATATATCATAATGGATGTCTAAAAATATGCGAACAACTGCTTCTTAATCTGTTGACTTCCAATAGTTTTTGAAAAAATATGGCATCTCATTTAAAACTGTACTTAAGAACATCATGTTCTGAAACCAGATAGTATTATGGTGGCTGACTTTTCATTCTTGAGTTACGGTATGCACATGACAACATTGTACAATGTAGTTTCACCATGCAGCATCAAAGCAGCTTATCCCTACATTTTAGGAAGGGATAATTTGTAAAACGTCACTGTAGACATGGTAGCTTGGATGTCCAATTCTGCATGGTTCTCTGTTAGAGGGGAGATAATCGAAACAACATGGTGATGTAAACTCCCTTGCAATGTGAGGATGAGTTGTAATAGGTGCAGTGTCAGTTTGGAAATGTTGGAGCACTTCTATGAAATATATGTGATTATAATGTCTAACATGCACAAATAAAACAAATAGATTTCAAAGATGAAATGTTGGAAGCATCTTGAATTACCTCCTCATCTTGTGGCTGATAATGTAAAGAATACAACTGGTTACAAGTGTCAAGAAGAGAGCTGCACACTTGCACACCAACTACGCAACACCGAAATACACACATGCCAGCACGAAATTATCAAGTACACATTTCAATATTTCATTATTTGCTACACTCTTCCAGCGTATAAAACATATTACTTATAGCATTGGATTATAAAGGTATTCAATTTCTTAATAGATATAAATGATTGTATTTGATACCAGTACAAAAGAGTGCATAACATAAGTAAGAAAAGCATAAGATTGTTGACATGAAGATGACAGGAATATTTGTTAATGACCTGGGCCAAGGGGAGTAACTTTTGGGAATATCAGTTTGATGTGAACACATACATAAGAGCAACAGATACTGGTGAATTTGTAAATATGATTCATGCAACTATAGCACTTATAAATGACCTTACCATTATTGTATTCAATAATATTTAAATAGATTTCTTGCTACAACCAGAGATAAAAAACTGTACATGGTCTGTGTTTTTAAAGCATTAATTTTTCAACAAATGAATATGAACAAGACCTACTACTTAATGGATACTAATGATTGGCAACAACAAAGGATGAAAAGAACGACTGAAACTGGCAGGGATGAAAATGACAAGGTACGAGTGGTATGAATGCTGAGCAAGCGACACACCAGGTGTGGATTGCATGTCAAGTTGGTAGTGGGTCTTCCGCCAGGGCAAGACACAACACTCTCAGTGCAGCAGTCTGTGATTGAAAGGTGCCAATAACATCAGCTGATGTTGTCCATTGTACTCAACATGTGTTTTGGACAGTGGAAGGAAAGGTGAACCACATCATGACAAATACACACTTAGGATATCCAGTTTCCTTTTAATTCCTGGAATATTGTCCATTTAAGATGATCAGAATGTCAAAATGCATATGCAATTATATTAAACAAATAAAATTTACGAAATAATCTTTGTTAAAATATTGGTAAAATTCTAGTCAATTTTTGTGAAATGAATCTAAATGCTCTATTAAATGTTAATTATCTTTTTCATGTCTGAATTATATACTTCTGAAACTGAAGATGTGTAAGCTTTTGCCTCCCTAATCTGTATTTGCCATAAGAGTATATATTGTAAAATGAATCATAATGATGAAAATGTGATAAGCGTGCCAATGTGCACCCATCAAATCTTGGCATGCGATGTTAGCCATTGAGAAAGGTCAAAGTTGAGACTAATTGTTGCTATGCCAACACTACTAACCTCCTCTTTTTCTTCCTGCAATGATCATAGGAAAGAAAAAATGATTCAATGATTTTTATGATACATTGAAGAAATCAAAGAAATGAAATGAAACTTTAATTTCAATATAACAACCGAATTCAGCATCTGCAAACAAAGACCAGGTCTAAGCTGTCACTCTCCACAAGAAATACAAAACTCAAGGAAACCATACTTGTCATTTTCACATTAACACAACAGAATGACATTATGTCACATTTGACTTAAGGTGAAAATTGAAACGATTTAATAAACTGACAAATTTCACATAAAACCCACTTTTACTTTAAAAACAGTTTCAACTTCAGTTTTCCATTTGATATTTACAAGTATATGACAAGTATATGACAAGTATATGACAAGCATATGACAAGTATATGACAAGCATATGACAAGTATATGACAAGTATATGACAAGTATATGACAGGCATATGACAAGTATATGACAAGCATATGACAAGCATATGACAAGGATATGACAAGCATATGACAAGCATATGACAAGTATATGACAAGCATATGACAAGCATATGACAAGGATATGACAAGTATATGACAAGTATATGACAAGCATATGACAAGGATATGACAAGCATATGACAAGGATATGACAAGCATATGACAAGTATATGACAAGTATATGACAAGCATACGACAAGTATATGACAAGTATATGACAAGCATATGACAAACATATGACAAGCATATGACAAGTATATGACAAGCATATGACAAGTATATGACAAGCATATGACAAGGATATGACAAGTATATGACAAGTATATGACAAGAATAGTTGTGATACTCGGGCCGTCATTATAACTTGTGTCAAGCGACATGTGAAATGAACAAGAACGTGGACAACAGTGAACTACACTCTGCCGCTAGGACAGTGACTGACTGCACAGGTAATGCAGCCGTGTCGAGCTACGTACCAGCAACTCCTCCTCACAGAGTGCCTCCCTATTGATGGAGGTACTCGAGGTATTGTTCCAAAACATGGTATTAATACCCAAACCCGCCTAGAAAGACAAGACATAAAGTGAGCATGGCAAGTGAGCATGGCAAGTGACCATGACGACTGGGGGTTGTGTATATCCATCTATATCATGACATGTCTATTACACATGGATGTCATGCCTCACACAATCTCCACTCAACGGACCATCAGTTATTACATTAGGTTATAACACTAAAACATTTGTGACCCAGTAATCATACCGATGGTTCCGTAGAACTACAGGTATTTGAATGGTGTTGCTAAGAAGAGGAAAATACAATTCCATGTTCAGGGTGCCAATACACGCAAGTGGTACATGTATTACTGTAGTATCTGATGGTGCTATTACTGCATTATCTGATAATGGGTTTACTGCAATATCTGATAATGGGTTTACTGCAATATCTGATGATAGGTAAGTGTCTTGAGTTGCTAAAAACACTGTGGGTGGACACATATAATACAATGTAAAACATTCTGTTATATTTCAAGGACAGGTTACAGGCGATTAAAGGATATCTAAACATAAACATACATTATTGTGATTGGGACATGATCAACAAACATTGTACAGGGGTGTCTAGTGAGGGACAAGGGTGTCTAGTTAGGGACAAGGGTGTCTAGTTAGGGACAATGGTGTCTAGTTAGGGACAAGGGTGTCTAGTGAGGGACAAGGGTGTCTAGTTAGGGACAAGGGTGTCTAGTTAGGGACAGTGGTGTCTAGTGAGGGACAAGGGTGTCTAGTTAGGGACAAGGGTTTCTAGTGAGGGACAAGGGTGTCTAGTGAGGGACAATGGTGTCTAGTGAGGGACAATGGTGTCTAGTTAGGGACAAGGGTTTCTAGTGAGGGACAATGGTGTCTAGTGAGGGACAATGGTGTCTAGTGAGGGACAAGGGTGTCTAGTGAGGAACAATGGTGTCTAGTGAGGGACAATGGTGTCTAGTGAGGGACAAGGGTGTCTAGTGAGGGACAAGGGTTTCTAGTGAGGGACAAGGGTGTCTAGTTAGGGACAATGGTGTCTAGTGAGGGACAATGGTGTCTAGTGAGGGACAAGGGTGTCTAGTGAGGGACAAGGGTTTCTAGTGAGGGACAAGGGTGTCTAGTTAGGGACAAGGGTGTCTAGTTAGGGACAATGGTGTCTAGTGAGGGACAATGGTGTCTAGTGAGGGACAAGGGTGTCTAGTGAGGGACAAGGGTTTCTAGTGAGGGACAAGGGTGTCTAGTTAGGGACAAGGGTGTCTAGTTAGGGACAAGGGTGTCTAGTGAGGGACAAGGGTTTCTAGTGAGGGACAATGGTGTCTAGTGAGGGACAATGGTGTCTAGTGAGGGACAAGGGTGTCTAGTTAGGGACAATGGTGTCTAGTTAGGGACAAAGGTGTCTAGTAAGGGACAATGGTGTCTAGTGAGGGACAAGGGTGTCTAGTTAGGGACAAGGGTTTTGAGTTAGGGACAAAGGTGTCTAGTTAGGGACAGTGGTGTCTAGTGAGGGACAAGGGTGTCTAGTTAGGGACAAGGGTTTCTAGTGAGGGACAAGGGTGTCTAGTGAGGGACAATGGTGTCTAGTGAGGGACAATGGTGTCTAGTTAGGGACAAGGGTTTCTAGTGAGGGACAATGGTGTCTAGTGAGGGACAATGGTGTCTAGTGAGGGACAAGGGTGTCTAGTGAGGAACAATGGTGTCTAGTGAGGGACAATGGTGTCTAGTGAGGGACAAGGGTGTCTAGTGAGGGACAAGGGTTTCTAGTGAGGGACAAGGGTGTCTAGTTAGGGACAATGGTGTCTAGTGAGGGACAATGGTGTCTAGTGAGGGACAAGGGTGTCTAGTGAGGGACAAGGGTTTCTAGTGAGGGACAAGGGTGTCTAGTTAGGGACAAGGGTGTCTAGTTAGGGACAATGGTGTCTAGTGAGGGACAATGGTGTCTAGTGAGGGACAAGGGTGTCTAGTGAGGGACAAGGGTTTCTAGTGAGGGACAAGGGTGTCTAGTTAGGGACAAGGGTGTCTAGTTAGGGACAAGGGTGTCTAGTGAGGGACAAGGGTTTCTAGTGAGGGACAATGGTGTCTAGTGAGGGACAATGGTGTCTAGTGAGGGACAAGGGTGTCTAGTTAGGGACAATGGTGTCTAGTTAGGGACAAAGGTGTCTAGTAAGGGACAATGGTGTCTAGTGAGGGACAAGGGTGTCTAGTTAGGGACAAGGGTTTTGAGTTAGGGACAAAGGTGTCTAGTTAGGGACAAGGGTTTCTAGTGAGGGACAAGGGTGTCTAGTTAGGGACAAGGGTTTCTAGTGAGGGACAAGGGTGTCTAGTGAGGGACAAGGGTGTCTAGTGAGGGACAAGGTGTCTAGTTAGGGACAAGGGTTTCTAGTGAGGGACAATGGTGTCGAGTGAGGGACAATGGTGTCTAGTGAGGGACAAGGGTGTCTAGTGAGGGACAATGGTGTCTAGTTAGGGACAAAGGTGTCTAGTTAGGGACAAGGGTTTCTAGTGAGGGAAAAAGGTGTCTAGTTAGGGACAAGGGTGTCTAGTGAGGGACAAGGGTGTCTAGTGAGGGACAAGGGTGTCTAGTTAGGGACAAAGGTGTCTAGTGAGGGACAATGGTGTCTAGTGAGGGACAAGGGTGTCTAGTTAGGGACAAGGGTTTCTAGTTAGGGACAAAGGTGCCTAGATAGGGACAAAGAAGGGGTCATGTGTCATCATTATAGGAATTAGTCGGATACCATAATAGACCTTCAGTTCAAAAGGGTTGTAAAACAACTTTTTCACCTATTCCAGAGTGATATTCATAGACATAACAAAACAGTAATCATGACTGTAGTGACATAAAGTTTTACAATTGTGACAAAGTGCATGTATTTAAAACATATTTAAAAAAACAACCAGTCATGACATGGAAATATACTATTATTTATGGAAACCTTCAAATTTTGATGAAATGTTTATGATTTTAAGTCCAGCACAGCTACTGAATGACATGACCACAATGTGCCTGGGACACGCCCTGTTGAACCGAGATCTACCACCTCCAGAAGGCATGTCTGCTGTACGTACCATTCTAATACTGGAAGCCTGTGTTTGACTGGCTTTAAATGCTTTATAGTTTTCTGCTATTAAAAGTGATGCATATATTTTCCCCACTGTGTTCTTGCCATCATTCAGTTCTGAAAATAAATAATTCTACATTACTATCATTGACAGGTGGAAAAATGACATTTCTTGCTTAAATTACATTTTTGTTTCTTACACATATAGAAAATAATTTAATTAATTTTCTTATTTGAGACTTTCAAATTACTCAGTGAAAGTTATTTCATCTTAGGTTTCAATACTTAAACCATGAACCAAATAACGGTCATGTGCACCATGAAAATGATAAACCCTTTCCATGATCAGGAGAAATCACAGCAAAAAGCAGAGTTCATTGTATGATTAAAACACATATAATGTTTATGAATCACTATCAAATAGTGCTGATACGTGATGTTTGCGTTTATGTTAACATTACTTGCCCCATCAGTGGCACCTGGCACATACAAAACACATGCAAAGGCAAGTCAATTATTTACCTGACCAAAAATAGGAACATATGGTCAAAATAGTGCATTGCATCAGACAGTATCTTGGTCACTGACACATCACATGTCCACAATATAGAGTTTTAAAAGGATTGCTAAGGCATTGAATGCAATAACCCTGACAAAACACAGCTTGTTTAACACATATGAGCAAAAGGGGATTTCAAATGCTCAGTCTCTGATGGAATACAACCATGACAATCAGGTGAAGAGGCATGCAGACTGACCATCATTGGGAGGCATGAGAATGTACAGGATCTTCTTGGCGTAGTCGGGCCACAGTCGGCGGATCACCTCGCACATCTCCTCATCCTTCTTGTCCATCTCCTCCGCTGGGAGAACAACATATGTCATGGTCATAGCAACATGTGTAGAGAGTTTGTCATAGCAACATGTGTAGAGAGTTTGTCATAGCAACATGTGTAGAGAGTTTGTCATAGCAACATGTGTAGAGAGTTTGTCATAGCAACATGTGTAGAGAGTTTGTCATAGCAACATGTGTAGAGAGTTTGTCATAGCAACATGTGTAGAGAGGTTGTCATAGCAACATGTGTAGAGGGTTTGTCATAGCAACATGTGTAGAGAGTTTGTCATAGCAACATGTGTAGAGAGTTTGTCATAGCAACATGTGTAGAGAGTTTGTCATAGCAACATGTGTAGAGGGTTTGTCATAGCAACATGTGTAGAGAGTTTGTCATAGCAACTTGAGTAGAGAGTTTGTCATAGCAACATGTGTAGAGAGTTTGTCATAGCAACATGTGTAGAGAGTTTGTCATAGCAACATGTGTAGAGACTTCGTCATAGCAAAATGTGTAGCGACTTTGTCATAGCAACATGTGTAGAGAGTTTGTCATAGCAACATGTGTAGAGAGTTTGTCATAGCAACATGTGTAGAGACTTCGTCATAGCAAAATGTGTAGAGACTTTGTCATAGCAACATGTGTAGAGGGTTTGTCATAGCAACATGTGTAGAGGGTTTGTCATAGCAACATGTGTAGAGGGTTTGTCATAGCAACATGTGTAGAGAGTTTGTCATAGCAACATGTGCAGAGCGTTTGTCATAGCAACATGTGTAGAGAGTTTGTCATAGGAACATGTGCAGAGCGTTTGTCATAGCAACATGTGTAGAGGGTTTGTCATAGTAACATGTGTAGAGGGTTTGTCATAGCAACATGTGTAGAGGGTTTGTCATAGCAACATGTGTAGAGGGTTTGTCATAGCAACACATGTAGTAAGTGATGATAACAACATATGTAGTAAGTGATGATAACAACACATGTAGTAAGTGATGATAACAACACATGTAGTAAGTGATGATAACAACATATGTAGTAAGTGATGATAACAACATATGTAGTAAGTGATGATAACAACATATGTAGTAAGTGATGATAACAACATATGTAGTAAGTGATGATAACAACATATGTAGTAAGTGATGATAACAACATATGTAGTAAGTGATGATAACAACATATGTAGTAAGTGATGATAACAACATATGTAGTAAGTGATGATAACAACATATGTAGTAAGTGATGATAACAACATATGTAGTAAGTGATGATAACAACATATGTAGTAAGTGATGATGACAACACAGCATATGTTGATATCCCCATAAACCAGAAGTTGGCTGATTATATAATACATCACATGAATATCAAATAGAATTTTTCAACCATTACAAATAGCCAATCTGATGTTGCACCCTTAAATACAGAGGACTGGTGTATGTTGTTGATGGCTGTCTAATGCTATAGCTCACCTGGTCCCATCTTGATCATCAGTGATTCCCGGATAAGTGCAAACAGCGTTGTTGTGAAATGGACTTTGTCCTGCATGTCCACAGGCATGTTCATCCGTATTAGTTTCTGAAATAAAAACAAACAACTATACACTTGCTGAACAGACTCTTACATGCGGATGAATGATCATGAAACGTTGAAGCTGAAGAAATATTATATCACCATGCACGTTATGAGTTGTTGTTTCATGTTCAGCGCACACTCAGCAATAATGCAGCAACATTCCATCTCCATGGCAACCAGTAATACTCATCCAGACCAGACAATGATATTGATAGTACGAGCAAAGTCCCACACCTTCAGAGTCCGCTGACTTGCAATTAACAGTTTCACCCCCGGATGCATTTCTAGTCCCCTCATAAGACAAGTGCAGGTTGCTGGGCACCTACTCTAACCCAGAAGGGGCTTGTTATGAGGCTGAAAGAGAAGAAAGCTGGAAGGAAGTGTACTCACCCTATAAGCTAATCTATACGGACATTTCTTGCCAAAGCCAACTGGGGGCTCCATGTTTCGTAACATCTCGTACATCTCCGAGTAGGTTATCCTACCACTGAAAGATAAACGTGACAGTTGACAAAAACTACATACTGATTTTCTGCTTTGGTTTCAAATATGCAGTGAAGCCCTCAAGACAGTATCCATATATCAAACTACATGTAGATCAAGGGAAGGGTGCTCCCCTCATTCCATCACCAAGCCAGAATTAAAAACTTCTACTGAACGAATTAATGATAGGCAGCATTCACTTGAGCTTCTGCCCTAGTAGGCTGTCGATAAATCATGTTGCCTTTCCAGAGTCTTCACCAGGACCGTGAATGGCGCATGTATAGTCGAGGTATCAAAATAATGATTATTTCTTTAAAAAAAGAAACATATGTTTAAAGAGATTCTTTTCTGATGCTTATGGAAGTAATACAGTGTTAACCCCAAATGCTCTCTTGTGTATGAGATCAAGACTTTCTCATTAAAAAGGTTATTTTAGTTTCGATACTGAAAAATACTCATCTCCTTTTACTTGTGTGTGTGATGAGATGGAATGTATACACAGAGCCTTATGACTTGCCTATACACAGAGCCTTATGACTTGCCTATACACAGAGCCTTATGACTTGCCTATACCAAGAGCCTTATGACTTGCCTATACACAGAGCCTTATGACTTGCCTCTACGCAGAGCCTTATGACTTGCCTATACACAGAGCCTTACGACTTGCGAATACACAGAGCCTTATGACTTGCCTATACACAGAGCCTTATGACTTGCCTATACACAGAGCCTTATGACTTGCCTATACACAGAGCCTTATGACTTGCCTATACACAGAGCCTTATGACTTGCCTATACCAAGAGCCTTATGACTTGCCTATACCAAGAGCCTTATGACTTGCCTATACCAAGAGCCTTATGACTTGCCTATACACAGAGCCTTATGACTTGCCTATACACAGAGCCTTATGACTTGCCTATACACAGAGCCTTATGACTTACCTATACCAAGAGCCTTATGACTTGCCTATACACAGAGCCTTTTGACTTGCCTATACGCAGAGCCTTATGACTTGCCTATACAGAGCCTTATGACTTGCCTATACGCAGAGCCTTATGACTTGCCTATACACAGAGCCTTATGACTTGCCTATACACAGAGCCTTATGACTTGCCTATACCAAGAGCCTTATGACTTGCCTATACCAAGAGCCTTATGACTTGCCTATACCAAGAGCCTTATGACTTGCCTATACACAGAGCCTCATGACTTGCCTATACACAGAGCCTTATGACTTGCCTATACACAGAGCCTTATGACTTGCCTATACCAAGAGCCTTATGACTTGCCTATACACAGAGCCTTTTGACTTGCCTATACGCAGAGCCTTATGACTTGCCTATACAGAGCCTTATGACTTGCCTATACGCAGAGCCTTATGACTTGCCTATACGCAGAGCCTTATGACTTGCCTATACACAGAGCCTTATGACTTGCCTATACGCAGAGCCTTATGACTTGCCTATACACAGAGCCTTATGACTTGCCTATACACAGAGCCTTATGACTTGCCTATACGCAGAGCCTTATGACTTGCCTATACACAGAGCCTTATGACTTGCCAATACACAGAGCCTTATGACTTGCCTATACACAGATCCTTATGACTTGCCTATACACAGAGCCTTATGACTTGCCTATACACAGAGCCTTATGACTTGCCTATACACAGAAGTTTGTGTATAGTCATGTTTTTTTTCTGCATGTACAAGATCAATGAAGTTGAACTTCTGCGTTGATCACCTCAAAAATGGTCTCTCTCAAGTTTTTTTAGTACTGTTTAGTTTCCATGGAAAACATATGAAAATATTTTTGGTTACAGTTCTTCCATCTCCTCAGATAAATGTAAATATATTGAACATAAACAGCATATGTTTCCCTTTGGTCTAATTGTAGATGATTGTAACTTTTCTTTCAGTAGATGATTGTAACTTTTCTTTCAGTAGATGATTGTAACTTTTCTTTCAGTAGATGATTGTAACTTTTCTTTCAGTAGATGATTGACTTAAAGTCAGGTGACCTCCAGAGTCTGCACGTTCTTGTTTCTCAACATGACCTTGATGTGCAGTTACCTTAAGTATCTGTCCTGTGAGGTACCAAGAAAATAATCACTTGATCAGTTCTTTAAGTAATCAGAAGATTAGAACAAGTGACTTACGTGGCGCCGGGATCATAATCAGCCCACACCCGCTTGTACTCATCCAGATGATGCGGGCCCAGGATGGAGGAATCTCTTGTCAAGTAGTCAAAGTTGTCCATGATGACAGCAACAAATAAATTCAACATCTGAAACAGACACAAGTATTCTAGTCCTCACCAAACTGTATCTCACATCATCCCATAATCTGAGATGGTTGATAATCACACTTGCATTAGATCCACTTGTTGAAGACTGAGCTGAATATAGTGTGACAGTGGATGAGCTTAACTCCCACCAAACCATATCAACAACTGTCATTTAAATCAGTATCAAGATGTTTACATTTAATCTCAAAGACATTAAAAATAAACTTTTCTCATCTCCAGGAGCCAATGTTACCATGCATCAGCACATTGCTCTCTCTGTGACAGCTAGCAGGATCTACATCCAGTTGCCATGGACCGTCACATGACCACTACTGATGGCTATTAATACATCCAGTTGCCATTGACTGTCACATGACCACTACTGATGGCTATCAATACATCCAGTTGCCATTGACTGTCACATGACCACTACTGATGGCTATTAATACATCCAGTTGCCATTGACTGTCACATGACCACTACTAATGGCTATTAATACATCCAGTTGCCATGGACCATCACATGACCACTACTAATGGCTATTAATACATCCAGTTGCCATTGACTGTCACATGACCACTACTGATGGCTATTAATACATCCAGTTGCCATGGACCGTCACATGACCACTACTGATGGCTATTAATACATCTAGTTGCCATTGACTGTCACATGAGTACTATTGATGGTTATTAATACATCCAGTTGCCATTGACCGTCACATGACCACTACTGATGGCTATTAATACATCCAGTTGCCATGGACCTTCACATATTCTGCTACTGTTGGCTATAAGTACATAGAGTACAAGAGACGCTCACCAGCTCTGTTGTGTTTGTTTCAAAGGGAGTAGGTGTACTTCTTAACTCACCAGGAAGGAACAGAGGAAGATGAAGGAAACAAAGTAGAAGTAGGCGATGCTCAGGCCACAGGCGTTCTCTCGCTCCTCCTCCTCTATGGGGTATGATTGTGGGTCACATGGTCGCCCAGGGAGACAGGAGAACATAATCTGCTGCCAGCTCTCCCCTGTCGCACACCTGTAACAGACCAGCAAATATACAAATCCTTCAGAGCAGCTCAGGTAAGATTTGCATAACAATGGACACACCTACCACAGGTGCCAAAATCATCTTTAAAAGCATTATCATTATTAAACTATAAAGGGGGATGACACTCAGTCCCAGCAAACCTGATCCAAGTCTTTCATTGCCCCAATTACACATCTCTCGGTTTGCCACAAATTACTATGTGTGGCATAGACTGTAGGCTCCAGACTGTGCATCACTGGTTAACGGAAACATTAATGGACCTATAATAACAAATGATGGATGAATGACTGTTGGAAAAAATGACCTTGCAAACTGTAATCCACAACCCAGGTAAACAAGAGTTTGTATGCTTGTAAGAATGTTCTCAACAATCTTTGTGAACAAGAGTACTAGGGCTTGGAACAACGCTCTCCGCAACACAACAAACAACAGAATTAATATGACCAGGAATGTTCTCAACTACTCACCTGAACAAAAGTGTTAATGCTTCAAAGAATGTTCTGAAGTTATTGTGCCGGTTTATGGCAGTCTGGGAGTCGAGGCGGATGTTACCAAATACCTGAAAAAAAACCCAGTTATTGTTATGCGGCAGCCACTGTTGTTCTGACAACAGAACTTATCTAGTTTCAGACACCATATTGTGGTATTGGATAATAATAGACAAGAACTGGGCAAATCAGTCCCACTATTCCCAGACAACATGGAGGATATCTTGATGTGATAAAGGACTGGGGGGTAAGTATCTGTGACTCACCTGCATCCCTATGATGGCGTAGATGAAGAACAACATGAGGATGAGCAGGCACACATACGGCAGAGCCTGAAATAAACAACCCATCGTCAGCCCTTGATCTGAAGGACATATGTCAACGCATGGAAGCATACATTGTGCTGAAAATACACTTTTTGAACAGCAAAATTAATTATGCCATGGGGGTGCTAGGTTTGTCAAGTGGCAAAGAAAACTCTGTGTGTTGCTTGGATATTAATTTTTTCAGATTTAAATAATCCCTGACATACTCATGGTCAAAGGTAAGACAGCTCTACAGACATGAATGTCTAATGTCCTATGGCAATATATCAAACCATAAACTGCATTCAAATGAGAGGCATCAGCACCAGAGAATACTTAGAAACTGATCACTCAGTGAGTAAGTTACTTTGGCCCAACAACACTGTTTCAGCTATAGCTCGCACAGGTGGATCCAGGCCCCCCCCTCACCCCACCCCTTTTGAAAACCAAATGTAGTATGTTGTAGACAATTACCCTCCTGCGAGATGATTTTTATAATTTTTAAAATGCTGAATCGGCCCATAGCTTGTAATTCAATCAAGTAGATGGCAATGGAAGCATCACTTGCCCAAGGTTTTTCCCATTGTTAAGCTAACACAAAATAATAATTAAAATAATAATAACAAAAACAACCCATGTATGGTATGCCATTAATGTATGTATAAGTTCAAGATGTAACTGTAACTATTCACTCAAGCCCATACTTTGTGTCAGTTCGCTAATATTTTCATTGTACCTTGAAAGACTGGAAGAATGTCCAAAGCAGGAGACGTATGGTGTACCCTTGACGGAGCAGCTTGACCAGACGAGCAGCTCGGAACAAGCGGAAGAAGCCGAAGCTAACAGTAGCATCCTGTAACATACATGTCATTACAGTGACATCATCATGTCATTACGGTAACATCATCATGTCATTACGATGGTGTCATCATGTCATTGCGGTGACGTCATCATGTCATTACAATGATGTCATCATGTCATTACTGTAATATCATCATGTCATTATGGTGAAGTCATCATGTCATTACGGTGATGTCATCATGTCATTATGGTGATGTTATCATGTCAAAATGGTGACATTGTCATGTCATTACAATGATGTCATCATGTCATTATGGTGACATCATGTCATTACAATGGTGTCATCATGTCATTACAATGGTGTCATCATGTCATTACGGTGAAGTCATCATGTCGTTACGGTGATGTCATCATGTCATTATATTGATATCATCATGTCATTATGGTGATGTCATTTGTTCATAACAAAGTGGGCATGCTTGTACTTCTACAAGTTCATGAAAAGGCACAGTAATAAAGTACCTACCATGACATAGTGATACTTGGAATATAACCTGGAGGAATATCATATGTTCTTATAACTAAGTTGGCCATATTACAGCTATATCATAGAGGTCTGTCAAGTCTGGAGGAGGTGACCCAACTGTATGCTATTGTATTCAGGTACTGGTATGTCATGACATGATAGCAATGGCAGAGTAGAACTCATGACAGCACTGTCCATCTTCTACAGCCACTGAGACTACTCAAGTACTCAGTGACCACTCAGGGACTGGCGGGGGTCACACAGTGACCACTCAGGGACTGGCGGGGGTCACTCAGTGGTATGTCATGACATGATAGCAATGGCAGAGTAGAACTCATGACAGCACTGTCCATCTTCTACAGCCACTGAGACTACTCAAGTACTCAGTGACCACTCAGGGACTGGCGGGGGTCACACAGTGACCACTCAGGGACTGGCGGGGGTCACTCAGTGGTATGTCATGACATGATAGCAATGGCAGAGTGGAACTCATGACAGCACTGTCCATCTTCTACAGCCACTGAGACTACTCAAGTACTCAGTGACCACTCAGGGACTGGCGGGGGTCACACAGTGACCACTCAGGGACTGGCGGGGGTCACTCAGTGGTATGTCATGACATGATAGCAATGGCAGAGTGGAACTCATGACAGCACTGTCCATCTTCTACAGCCACTGAGACTACTCAAGTACTCAGTGACCACTCAGGGACTGGCGGGGGTCACTCAGTGACCAGTCAGTAACTGACCACTCAAGAAGCCCTAAGGGATCGCAGTGAACATGTACTCAGTGGCCACTCAGGCAACAATTAGTGATCTTCAGTGCCCACTCAAGGACCACTCAGGGGGCACTCAGTGACCTTTGGTGCCCGGTTTGAGGCTGGTAAGGTCTTCCTGACCCCACAGAGTAACGGTAACTTGATAGCGACTTACAGAGTACTGAGTGATGAGGACGTCTATGATACTGCCAAGTACTGTGATGAAATCAAACACATTCCAAGGGTCCCGGAAATAGTTCTATAAAAATAGAAATAAATCAATAATTAGAAAATACTGAAAGAGACATCATTGTTAAAAATATTCGACCAGCATTTACAAATTATCATAATGCACTTATACTACTGTCATTGGAAAGTCACAGATTTGCACGCTTATCTTTATGGAGTAAATTAAATCCATTGAAAAAGAGTAAGAAATTGATGTCCTTGAATTTTAAATGTTATGTTTCATTTCCAATATACATCATTTATATCTCCAAAAAGAAGTATTGTTGCATGGAACCAGTCACAGTTGCAATAAAAAGTTAAAAACATCACACTATAACTTGTTTTATAGCTTTTACACAGTTTCACTACAGAATATAACAGATGGAAACTCAGAATCTGTTTGCATATCCCTGACAACTTAGTTCTAGCTGGTAACACAATATGATTAGTAGAAAATCTTAAAAATCAACTCTGCGTGAATACAAAATGTTCAAAAAACAATATATGCTTTTGTTTTGCTTCTGATGTGGACCTATGAGAGACGTGTGACAGGATGACACATCAGAGGGTTTGCACTGTTTACACTGAAGACATACCAATACTAATCTAGAAACATCAACTAAAACATGAAATCATTATCAATTTCTATTTCTTTATATGCTCAGAAGCAAAACCTATTGTTTAAACAAAGTTTGCTTTAAAAAAGCTCATGCATAAAGTCATGCAGGTTAAACAAATATTTTGGGTGCACATTCAAGGATGAAAAATGATTTTGAAAATATTGCACTTTAACTGGTTGATGGAGAGGACACCTTTGTTGGGATGTTTCATGTACTGTTTCACACCATTGTGTAAGATTGCATTATAAAATTTCATTGTTTCAAACTGTTTCATGATCAGTTATGATGAACTAGAGACAGATTTTTATCCATTTATCCATTCCTGAACACATACCTGATAAAGGGATGCTAATTTACAAAAGATTTATCTGTCTGAGTATTGTAACTGTGGGTTCCCATCAATATATAAACACTGTTCATCATATTTTTAAAACTATTTTGTTTATTCATGACATAAACAAAACAGAGGGGAAATAATTTTGTTATGAGACACATGAAATCTTTACTGTCATTTGGAAATGTACATCACCATGCATAGCTATCTACAACCACACCGCAGTACCAACTAGCCAACACGAAATCTACAACCTACAATGTACCATCTATAATGACTGACTCTATATCATTCACTCAACAAAAACTGACACAATTTGAAAGCGCTACCCAAGTGTCAATGCTAAGTAGTCCAAGTGAAGGCTGGACACTATCTCTATGATGGCAGGAATGTACATATGAAGCACGTATGTCAAAGTTAAACAGCTAACAATAGAATCAAGCATAATCAAAGGGAGCTACAAGACACCACCAGGGGAGACAACTCACACTGCACACAATCACTAGAACACAAATGCCTTGTTTCTCATACACAGTAATTAATTTTAAATCGAAAAGATATTGATGTACAGATATTGATCAATATGTTATTAAGTTATAGCTTTGGAAATTGCCATTATTCTTTGATCAGTAATAAATATTGTAGTCTAATTTCCCACAGATTTGTTTGGATAAAGGCAGCCAAATGTTTGATGTATACTTTGACTTTCAAATTGGGAGCTACTGTCAATGCTGAATATAAAAAGTAACATTATTATTAACATTGCTGATTTGACTTTTTAGATATATATATTGACTACTGAAGAGAGTTTTGTAAAGACATAACTATCAAGATAAACTGATTTTCTTTATTTGCTCAATTACAAGGTACCGGTATTAACAAATTTTGAAAATGTCCCCTTCAAGGCATAATTACAATAGGTAAATGCTCACAAGACAATGTACGCAACTAACAATCATAAGATCACAGAGGTCAAAGTTCACAAGGGGTCAATGTTAAAGGAACATGCAGAGGTCACCTATGCAATAATGAAATCATATGTAAACAAAATAAATTTGAAAAAAAAATACAAACTACCCTCAATAATATACTCAGGTTTCAAATCATCATCCTTTTCTGATGATAAATTGTCAAATATTACGTATAGTAAAAAAGTGACTTTCGAAGTTTTTTCAAACATTAACACAGTGTGAGTTTATGCTTTTTTCAGGGCGTTTTTGTGATGTGTGACACATATAAATGTGAGCCAAATTGCATAAGGTGACACTCCGTGACTGGACAACACTGGATCAATTTGGACTAGTTATTAGACAACAATGATGGATCTGATTGGTTCTTGCACAACAATGATGGATTTGATTGGTTCTTGCACAACAATAAAGTAATCTTATTGGACGACAAACACAGGGCAGACAACATGACATTGGCCAGATTCAAACCTTGACTCCAAAAGCTAGTAGTTTTAGTATGAACTCTAGCGAGTACAGTACGGTGAAGACAGCATTAATTATTGATAGAGCGCCTGCCATATCCTTCCCAATCTCAGCATTTCTCACGGATTGACCCGGTTCAAACTGAACCAAAAGTACGCAAAATGAAAGGGAAAGAAAAACAAAGATATAGAGAAAAACCATTCCCATTAGAAAATCATGTGATGTGATTCCAAATGCTTTTGGTGTGGAGTTGGCTTTAAAAAATCTGTGCATCACACTAAGAACAAAAATCAAAGAAATTGAATTTGTGATACAAAATTAGGATTCAACTTTGACCAAAAGCATAAGGAAAGGTTATTTCAATGAAAATGGAACAATATCTGTCACTTCCCTGCTGGCAATGTCTACAATGGGATGACATTAGCCAATCTGGCATCAGGGAGTAGGACCCATTGCACACGAAGAAGTAACAGGTATTGTTGAAGCACAAACTCCCAACCCTGCATCCACTCATAAATAAACTGGGTCAGCAAGAAAACAGGGGGTATTACATAATTGTGTCATGACATCTGTTGTGTGGAACAATTAATACCAGAAAGACACTTCAGTTTTATTTGGCTCTATGCAGAACACCCCCTTGGGTTCTTGTGACATGATGTGTGAGAAAATGAAAGTGAAGTTAGTTATGGAGCTGACTAGTCTACCCGGGGCACTGGTCATCGTGCGCGTCCGGCTTACCCGCGGTCCGAACCCTATCATCTTGAGCCCGCACTCCATGGTGAAGCAACAGGTAAACCCAATGTTTAGGTATTTCTGCACCTCCATATATAGATCGCTCTGATCATGGTACTGGCAAACAAGACAATAATAACAGCTGTACAACTACTCTCAATGCCTCCACAGTGGCATCAATGACTTGGACTACTTGATATATGAAGCTACTGTAGAGAGTGCAAAATGTTGCTGATGTAGCAATTATTTCATTATTTGACAATTTCAACTCCTTTTTGCTATAAAATGGAAAGTTATACTGACTGTCAATTTCTTCTATGTTTTAATTGCTTCAAATGCTAGGATGTGAGACTAGGACATGTCACAATGCTAGGATGTGTGACTAGGACGTGTCACAATGCTAGGATATGTGACTAGGACGTGTCACAATGCTAGGATGTGTGACTAGAACGTGTCACAATGCTAGGATGTGTGACTAGGACGTGTCACAATGCTAGGATGTGTGACTAGGACGTGTCACAATGCTAGGATGTTTGACTAGGATGTGTCACAATGCTAGGATGTGTGACTAGGATGTGTGACTAGGATGTGTCACAATGCTAGGATGTGTGACTAGGACATGTCACAATGCTAGGATGTGTGACTAGGACGTGTCACAATGCTAGGATGTGTGACTAGGATGTGTCACAATGCTAGGATGTGTGACTAGGACGTGTCACAATGCTAGGATGTGAGACTAGGACATGTCACAATGCTAGGATGTGTGACTAGGATGTGTCACAATGCTAGGATGTGTGACTAGGACATGTCACAATGCTAGGATGTGTGACTAGGATGTGTCACAATGCTAGGATGTGTGACTAGGACATGTCACAATGCTAGGATGTGTGACTAGGACGTGTCACAATGCTAGGATGTGTGACTAGGATGTGTCACAATGCTAGGATGTGTGACTAGGACGTGTCACAATGCTAGGATGTGTGACTAGGACGTGTCACAATGCTAGGATGTGTGACAAGGCTGTGTCACAATGCTAGGATGTATGACTATAATGTGTCACAATGCTAGGATGTGTGACTAGGACGTGTCACAATGCTAGGATGTGTGACTAGGACGTATCACAATGCTAGGATGTGTGACTAGGATGTGTCACAATGCTAGGATGTGTGACTAGGACGTGTCACAATGCTAGGATGTGTGACTAGGACATGTCACAATGCTAGGATGTGTGACTAGGATGTGTCACAATGCTAGGATGTGTGACTAGGACATGTCACAATGCTAGGATGTGTGACTAGGACGTGTCACAATGCTAGGATGTGTGACTAGGACGTGTCACAATGCTAGGATGTGTGACTAGGACGTGTCACAATGCTAGGATATGTGACTAGGACGTGTCACAATGCTAGGATGTGTGACTAGGACGTGTCACAATGCTAGGATGTGTGACTAGGATGTGTGACTAGGATGTGTCACAATGCTAGGATGTGTGACTAGGACATGTCACAATGCTAGGATGTGTCACAATGCTAGGATGTGTGACTAGGATGTGTCACAATGCTAGGATGTGTGACTAGGACGTGTCACAATGCTAGGATGTGTGACTAGGACGTATCACAATGCTAGGATGTGTGACTAGGATGTGTCACAATGCTAGGATGTGTGACTAGGACGTGTCACAATGCTAGGATGTGTGACTAGGACGTGTCACAATGCTAGGATGTGTGACTAGGACGTGTCACAATGCTAGGATGTGTGACTAGGACATGTCACAATGCTAGGATGTGTGACTAGGACGTGTCACAATGCTAGGATGTGTGACTAGGACGTGTCACAATGCTAGGATGTGTGACTAGGACGTGTCACAATGCTAGGATATGTGACTAGGACGTGTCACAATGCTAGGATGTGTGACTAGGACGTGTCACAATGCTAGGATGTGTGACTAGGATGTGTGACTAGGATGTGTCACAATGCTAGGATGTGTGACTAGGACATGTCACAATGCTAGGATGTGTCACAATGCTAGGATGTGTGACTAGGATGTGTCACAATGCTAGGATGTGTGACTAGGACGTGTCACAATGCTAGGATGTGTGACTAGGACGTATCACAATGCTAGGATGTGTGACTAGGATGTGTCACAATGCTAGGATGTGTGACTAGGACGTGTCACAATGCTAGGATGTGTGACTAGGACATGTCACAATGCTAGGATGTGTGACTAGGATGTGTCACAATGCTAGGATGTGTGACTAGGACATGTCACAATGCTAGGATGTGTGACTAGGACGTGTCACAATGCTAGGATGTGTGACTAGGACGTGTCACAATGCTAGGATGTGTGACTAGGACGTGTCACAATGCTAGGATGTGTGACTAGGACGTGTCACAATGCTAGGATGTGTGACTAGGACGTGTCACAATGCTAGGATGTGTGACTAGGACGTATCACAATGCTAGGATGTGTGACTAGGATGTGTCACAATGCTAGGATGTGTGACTAGGACGTGTCATAATCCTAGGATGTGTGACTAGGATGTATCACAATGCTAGGATGTGTGACTAGGACGTATCACAATGCTAGGATGTATGACTAGGATGTGTCACAATGCTAGGATGTGTGACTAGGACGTGTCACAATGCTAGGATGTGTGACAAGGCTGTGTCACAATGCTAGGATGTGTGACTAGGATGTGTCACAATGCTAGGATGTGTGACTAGGATGTGTCACAATGCTAGGATGTGTGACTAGGATGTATCACAATGCTAGGATGTGTGACTAAGATGTATCACAATGCTAGGATGTGTGACTAGGATGTGTCACGATTATCACGCCCGTTGCTAGGTGATATCATAGGATAGGGATAGGTGACCTTACGTTCGATAGTGATGTCATCTGGTTTGTTCTATGATGTTTCCATATTTGTAAAAGTGGGTCAGTGACAATCGTGTTGATTGCAGTAAATGTTCCAAAACCGATATTGTTGTTTCTTTTTATTTGATAACATATTCCATCCATTTTTAGCTAAAATAACGGTAACGCTATTTTTCAGGGTATTATCATTAACAGAAGCTGTCGGTCTTTTCAACTGCCCTCCTTCATCGGGCAGTTAATGGAAGACCTCAGGCTTCTGCAAAAAATAATGCCCTGAAAAATAGTGTTACTCTTATAGTATCTCTAGTTGGAAGAAAGATAATTTTTTCTGATATTTATTTATTGTTAAAGACAGATTTTGTACAATGTCACTGATTAAAAATATAGGCTTGTCCAAGAGTATTCATGCATTTTATACTAGTTTCATTGATATCCTTTAATAGTAATTTATATATTAGAAAGCAGTATTCATCACTTAACCTTGATACACCTATTTACAAAATTAAATGACACACATACATTGTCTTTAACACATCCCTACCCAAGACTTATCTCTCTCCTGTTCCCCACAAGAGAGATATACTTCTACAAACATCTCTACCCCAGGAGGGATTCACACAAGCAGAAATACATCATACATAATACTTTCAATGATAAGAACGTTTTAGCTGGCAGCATCACATATAAAGTGCTGAAAAAATGCAAGGCTGATTAATTTACCGAAGATTGCATTTTCAAAATGTCATTAAAATCATCATTTGACTCATGCAGAAGATGATAAAATGTGGACTTTATGAACAAAATACCATAAATCATATTAATGAGCCTTGGTATACTTTTATATTTGATTTTCAAAAATGCAATCTTCATATGTCATATAGTGAAGTAACAAATGTGAAATAAAATGTAAAATGTTGTAGATAAACTGAATTGAGTCATCAGTAAACTCTCACTCATGTCTACATTGAAACCAAAAGTCAGTGAGAAAATTGTGATGTCACTTTCAATTATTTGTTCAACATTGATACAACATTACTGTATTTTTTCTGTGAATATAAAGTTGGTTATCAGAATGTTTACAAACACCAAGAGCTATGCTAACATTGTTCTTTATTGATGTGATTCATTCATTTATTTTAATGAAAAGAATACACTCATCCCTCTGAACTATAAAAAGTATCAAATTCATTGTTAATCAACATGTATTGGTTTTCAGAAGATGAAATAGATCTCATAAACAGTAGACCAACCCTCGTATGATACATTTCACTTTGACCTGAAGTTACTGATACAATGTCATGTAGCAATACAGATACATTTCACATTGTTCGTTTCGCAAGAAAAACACCAAGCAATTATCTAATAATCAAAATATGTGACATTTGCCAAATAAATCAACATGAGGAATACATGTCCTACTGTTAAGGAGATCCACCAATGTGTTCCACGAGGGACAGTTAACTAGTAACAGCTGTATATGTGACAAGTAACAGCTGTATATGTGACAAGTAACAGCTGTATATGTGACAAGTAACAGCTGTATATGTGACAAGTAACAGCTGTATATGTGACAAGTAACAGCTGTATATGTGACAAGTAACAGCTGTATATGTGACAAGTGAAATGTACACCCACCTTCATCATCAGGACAATTGTGTTCAACGCAATCAGCGTCATAATGAAATACTCAAACTTGGTGGACACGACCAGCTTCCAGATCTTGTGTTTCAGTGAGTCCTTGGACTTGGGCATAAACCTACATTGTGGTTTAGCATGGATAGCAAAGTCTATACATTGTTTCTGAAAAACAAAAATTGAATTTGCATCAAAATGTGCATTTTTCTTAAAGGCATGTTCAATTTTCACCAATTTTCACTGATAAATTGGATATATCTCATTCAGCAGTAATGAATTAAGCATCAGGTGTGAATTAAGTTTTAAGAGAAAGGTCTACTATCCTTTTTAAAAAAGATTAAACTGAAGAAAACTAAATGGCCAAAGAGAATACTTATTAACATATTAATAATGATAACAATGAACAATTAATATCAGTGAAGGGTTCTTTTTATCTTTATTTCATTTCGTGCTAGCAATTGAAAGTTTGTTTTTATCTTCATTTCAAGCTGACTGTTGAAGGATTGTTTTATCTTCATTTCATATCATGCCAACAGTTTGAGGACTGTTTCCTATCTTCATTTCATGCCAACAGTTTGAGGACTGTTTCCTATCTTCATTTCATGCCAACAATTGAAAAATTGTTTTTCTCTTCATTTCATATCATGCCAACAGTTTAAGGATGTTTTTTATCTCCATCTCAGGCTAACAATTGAAGGATTGTTTTTATTATCATTTCATGCTAACAATTGAAGGATTGTTTTATCATCATTTCATATTATGCTTACCATGGTAGCATTTGAATGATTTCTTTAATCTCCATTTCATATGCATATGGACTATTGTTTAAAATCCTTATTTCATGTCATATGAACAAATAAGAGATTTTTTTTATGGGCATTTCACATCATGCAAACATCTGATCAATGATTAGGAGATAACACTAGTGTGTTTTCCATGTAGAGCATTCAAATATACTTGGTACACAGGTAATGTTTTCACATTTGAAACCACACACCATTGCATTTGGTGCTGAAGTTTAAAAAATTACAGGTTTCAAATCAAAGATTGAAACCTCTAAATTGAAAACACAGTTGGTTTATTTTAATCCTACCATGACACTATGACTTGGTTATAGCAGGAATGCTATGTCATGTCGGTTGCGCCTAATTTTTTTTTTTCAGTAGGTTGAAAGGACATATTCAGTGATTATTGAAGATCAGTTTTAATCTGCAAATGTGTTTGCTTTCATGTACCTATACCATAACTATCACCATAATACTTGAACCACTTCCATGTGACACAATAATATCAAGTAGGCAGATATCCTAATAGCATTATTCCAACTGATAGCATTATTCCAACTGATAGCATTATTCCAACTGATATCCTTAGAGAAAATGAAGCAATGCAATGAAGTTTTGTAATGTTTCGTTCTGAAGTACACACCACTATGATGACATCATCAAGTTGTCTACAATGCACTCTCTAAGAATTAGCACATCAACTTCAGAAAACTATTGCCACACTTTCTGTAAATAATGTAGGAACCAAACACCTTATTTAGCAAACTTAAGGTAAGATCAACATTTGATCAAATGGAGAAGTAAGATCAACATTTGATCAAATGAAGAAGTAAGATCAACATTTGATCAAATGAAGAAGTAAGATCAAAATTTGATCAAATGGAGAAGTAAGATCAGTATTTGATCAAATGGAGAAGTAAGATCAGTATTTGATCAAATGGAGAAGTAAGATCAGTATTTGATCAAATGGAGAAGTAAGATCAGTATTTGATCAAACGAAGAAGGTAGAGCTCCTAAATGAATATTTCTTTTTGCAGTCATAAAATTTCATATGGTCAAGAGCAATATCATAGTCTAATTAGATTCTATACTACGAGCAGACCAATCAGAAGGCAGGATTCTACAATGTCACGGCAGAATGTTGTATATCTTCATTACATCGCATTTAAAGAATGTTTGAGTGATCTGTACATGCAGGCAATCTCACCTGGGACAGGGTTAGACAACACTAAAAAAACAGAAACAAAACAAAACACCTGAGGATGCTCTACAGAAGTATACAATAAATTAGGTTAACAAATGAACAGGTGAATGTTGAATTATCAGCAGCTTCAACCCATGAGTAAGGAGTGATTAGAATGAACAAACTCAGCAATCATCCTACATGTTTGTGTAGACAAACATCCATTTTCTATGTGCATCATTATGACATTTGAAGATGATTGTAAATGATATCTAACTTGTGACAAACTGGTGGGTTACAGAGGGCATGTTAGTCTGGTGAGCTACACTGCTGACTTCCTGCTAGAGTCAATGCAACAAGATGACTTACCTGATTCTTGTCTAGATCTTGGTCAATGAGCTCGTTTTCTCCCTGTTCCTGGAATGTGATGATGATCAAGGCAACGAAGATATTGACAAAGAAGAAAGGGAACACAATGAAGAACACCACATAGAAAACAGCCATCTCCATGCTGAACCCAGGCTGGGGACCATGGTTCTCCGTTGTGGAATCCATTGAATGCTTCAAGATACTGGAACATACAAATATACAATACTGTAACATACAAATATACAATACTGTAACATACAAATATACAACACCGTAACAATTAACAATTAAATGCTTCAAATAAGATGCATTTTCATGATAAAGAAATTACACTGCACAATATCTTGAAAAATGTCATTGCCTGGGGACCAAATAGATTTCATTTTGTAGCCCCAAACTCTCCGAACATGTACATTCAAGACATCATCCAAAGATGTCAAAAGAGAAAAATACATGTAATAAGTCAAGTGAATTTTCAAAGAGAATTTACACATATCTAAAAATTAGATTTACCCTTAACATATCTTACCCTGGCCATCCCTCTCCAGTGGTGACAGTGAACAGTGTCAACATGGCCATAGCGATGTCATCATAGTGAAACTCTTGCCGCAGCCATTCACGATCCTTCACTGTGGGGACTTCCCCACCATCGTAGTCAAAGTACTGACCCCTGCACACACAACCCATTTGTACCTCAACATGTCACATAAACAAACATATCTTGAGCTACATGGAATTCCTGATAGTACATTACATATGTTTGTTTTTAGCCTATAAATTTTCAATTTTCTTTACAAAAAGTTAAGAGTAAAAGTCAAGTCCAAACTACTGAGAAATGTGTCATTATTTTCAAGCAGTATTTGTTTTTAATCTGAAAAATATAGAGGATAGGTTCATACAAAATTCAAGAAAAACATTTGGTCTGGTCTAATGATATATGTATTCCCTTTGGGGTCTTTGTGTGCGAGACTCAGAAGTCTATGTGTGAGAGATTTAGAAGTCTATGTGTGCGAGACTCAGAAGTCTATGTGTGCGAGACTCAGAAGTCTATGTGTGAGAGACTTAAAAGTCTATGTGTGCGAGACTCAGAAGTCTATGTGTGAGAGATTTAGAAGTCTATGTGTGAGAGATTTAGAAGTCTGTGTGTGCGAGACTCAGAAGTCTATGTGTGAGAGACTCAGATGTCTATGTGTGTTGGACTTAGAGGTCTATGTGTGAGAGATTTAGAAGTCTGTGTGTGCGAGACTCAGAGGTCAATGTGTGTGAGACTCAGAAGTCTATGTGTGCGAGACTCAGAAGTCTATGTGTGCGAGACTCAGAAGTCTATGTGTGTGAGACTCAGAAGTCTATGTGTGTGAGACTCAGAAGTCTATGTGTGCGAGACTCAGAAGTCTATGTGTGCAAGACTCAGAAGTCTATGTGTGTGAGACTCAGAAGTCTATGTGTGAGAGACTCAGAAGTCTATGTGTGCGAGACTTAGATGTCTATGTGTGCGAGACTTAGATGTCTATGTGTGTGAGACTTAGAAGTCTATGCGTGCGAGACTCAGAAGTCTATGTATGCGAGACTCAGAAGTCTATGTGTGTGAGACTCAGAAGTCTATGTGTGAGAGACTCAGAAGTCTATGTGTGCGAGACTTAGATGTCTATGTGTGCGAGACTTAGATGTCTATGTGTGCGAGACTTAGATGTCTATGTGTGTGAGACTCAGAAGTCTATGTGTGTGAGACTCAGAAGTCTATGTGTGCGAGACTCAGAAGTCTATGTGTGCAAGACTCAGAAGTCTATGTGTGAGAGATTTAGAAGTCTATGTGTGCGAGACTCAGAAGTCTATGTGTGTGAGACTCAGAAGTCTATATGTGCGAGACTCAGAAGTCTATGTGTGTGAGACTCAGAAGTCTATGTGTGCAAGACTTAGATGTCTATGTGTGTGAGACTCAGAAGTCTATGTGTGTGAGACTCAGAAGTCTATGTGTGAGAGACTCAGAAGTCTATGTGTGTGAGACTCAGAGGTCAATGTGTGCAAGACTCAGAAGTCTATGTGTGCAAGACTCAGAAGTCTATGTGTGCAAGACTCAGAAGTCTATGTGTGTGGGACTTAGAGGTCTATGTGTAAGAGACTTTGAAGTCTATGTGTGTGGGACTCAGAGGTCTATGTGTGTGGGACTTAGAGGTCTATGTGTAAGAGACTTAGAGGTCTATGTGTAAGAGACTTAGAGGTCTATGTGTGCGAGACTTAGAGGTCTATGTGTGAGAGACTCAGATGTCTATGTGTGCGAGACTTAGAGGTCTATGTGTGCGAGACTTAGAGGTCTATGTGTGAGAGACTTAGATGTCTATGTGTGAGAGACTTAGATGTCTATGTGTGAGAGACTTAGATGTCTATGTGTGAGAGACTTAGATGTCTATGTGTAAGAGACTTAGAAGTCTATGTGTGTGAGACTTAGATGTCTATGTGTGTGGGACATAGAGGTCTTTGTGTGGGACTTAGATGTCTATGTGTGAGAGACTTAGAGGTCTATGTGTAAGAGACTCAGAAGTCTATGTGTGCGAGACTTAGATGTCTATGTGTGAGAGACTTAGATGTCTTTGTGTGAGAGACTTTGATGTCTATGTGTGAGAGACTTAGAGGTCTATGTGTGTGGGACTTAGAGGTCTATGTGTGAGAAACTTAGAGGTCTATGTGTGAGAGATGTAGAGGTCAATGTGTGAGAGACTTAGAGGTCTATGTGTGAGAGACTTAGAGGTCTATGTGTGAGAGATGTAGAGGTCTATGTGTTAGAAATTAGAGGTGTTTGTGTGTGTGACTTAGAGGTCTATGTGTAAGAGATGTAGAGGTCAATGTGTGAGAGACTTTAAGGTCTATGTGTGAAAGACGTTGAGGTCTATGTGTTAGAAATTAGAGGTGTTTGTGTGAGAGACTTTGATGTCTATGTGTGAGAGATGTAGAGGTCTATGTATGAGAGACTTTGATTCTCTGTGTGAGAGAGTTGAACGTCTATGTATAAGAGAGTTAGGGCACAATATGTTAAAGACTTAGTTATGAGCCGAGACTGGTCCTTACTGGCACTCATCCTTCGTAGCCTTTGACTCATCGGTGCAGTAGAAGAACTTCCCTTTAAACAGTTGCACAGCGATAACAGCGAAGATGAATTGAAACAATGCATACACGATGAGGATATTGGATACGTTCTTCAGTGAATGAACGACACAGTCAAATACCGCCTGAAAACAAGGGGGTAACTCCATCAGACATAAAAGGCATTGGACATAGTCACAAAGAAAATTACTGTATGGAATTTCTGTTAATTATGAGAATAACTATCATCTACAGCAACACTGCATTTAGAATTTCTACAAGAATGGATTGGCATGACTAAGCTCAGAAATATGAAAGTAAGAATATATTTGATAAAATCAATCTCCATATTATGAGTAAAAAAGGAGTTGATAACACCAGGTGTTAGCATAAAGGTTAATCATGTCATGCAAAAGTTGAAATGATTGTTCTACACAGCAATATGTAAGTTGGTAAAACGTACGTTTTCATTTTATAAGGAATGTCTACCTTCCTCACTGCTACCTGTTACAAGACTAACCTTCAACTTGGGAACCCTGTTGATTGTTTTAAGGGGTCGTAACACCCTCAAAACTCGGAGTGACTTGATGGTGTTGAGATTTTTGCCTGCGTTGTCTCCCCTGAAAGTCACAAAAAGTGTGTAAGATGTTCATTTCACTGTTGAATGTACAGTTTGCATGGAGTGTGGAAATAATCACTTGTCAGTGGCGGCCGAGATGCATATATGATTGTTGATAGATCATGCACCACTAGAGATGCGAGATTTAGGCACTCATCTTATTATAAGCCAGAGGAAAGAATTCGTCTTATTCTTCACGTGATACATTTCATGCTTGGCCATTACTTGCTTGAGATAGTACATTGCATGCTGATCTCTAGATAATCATCCTATTTATGTGCGCAAGGAACTTATTGTCTAGACTATTACATCCATACTAAGGAGTATCTATATACATTGTATAATTTTGTGAGAAATAGTGAGTTTATCAACAGAGAAATGCTTCTTTATGTTCAGATTGTTCATATCAAGCAGTGTTCCTCATAGCATCTTAGTTTTATATAGGAAATAAATTGTTTGAAAGAGACGTGCAATTTCATCCTCTACTACATCTAGAAAAGAACATACTGAAAGCTCTAACACTTGAGTGATAATTCTTGAAATTCATTGAATAGTTGACTGAACTTCTTAAAATTGAAATGATATAAAACATTCCTGAGATTAATCAATGTGCATACTTCTTTAATGTGCATTACATGTACATGTCAATGGCAAACCATCACCGAGTTACGCATGTCGTGCAGTGCTTATAGTTGCTTGCTCTGACATTAGCAATGTACACCCTGTAGGAAGTGGAGGCAAGGAACGAAATAGACACTTGTCAATTTCACAAGGATGTCAATTTCACAGAGACATTACACTAATGCAAAATAAAAAAGAACCAAAATGAATTAATATATGGCATATCCAAAACATTTCAAACATTATGTACAAATATTAAAAAGCAATGATTTTCGAAATGTCTGTAACCCCCATTTCCCACTGTCAATATATACAGTGTACATAATATACGAGCTAACAGAAAATGGGTGTCAATCTCCAAAGATAATAAAACTCTTATAAAAAGGTGACAAAATTGGCACATATTTACAGTGAAACACAATGCATTGAGAAAGTATCGCATGAACGATAGAATCAAACAAGAAATTCATGTAAAAACACCGTCATAACAGTAACTGTAATAAATATGGGTATATGGCATACAGTAGACCTTCAATGCGTTGATTGCCACTAAAGGCGATATATACACAGCCAATGTGAGACAACTGAAATCATCTAGTATGTTGTAGGGACAAAACGTGGATATCCCTTCCAAAGGGCTAAAGAATGTGAACTGTGCCCTTTGCATTACACAAAAGAAGTGCATCTGCGCAGTAACCAAAATTGAGCATATCGCAATGAAGAGAGATATATATATATAATTATATATACTCTCCACGAGATCCAAAGCCAGCCGAAGGTAGAAATGCAGAAGAAATTCCACAAACTACAGACCAATATCTAGACATTCAGGGGCTAATCATGTGAATAAAATGTACACGAAAAATTAATATTTACAATAACATGCTAGGATTATATTTACGTTAACGTAATCTGAATTCTGAAAGAAACAGCAGAAGGTACGAATAGAAATTTCTAGTATAATAGTTGAGAACCAGGACGGAAACTAGAAGACTGGACTGAAGTGGCAAGATGATAGATTCAAATAAAAGGCATGTTTTAGTGACTTCACTTCTTCCTGACAAAGAAGCAGAAATAGTATTAAAGGGACAGGAATGGAAAAAGTTGAAACAAGAAAAAACATAGTCATCACAAGGAATTCTGAAAATCAAACAATAGTTATTTACTCTTTCGAACTGTTTATTGTTGTTTTGAATACTAAAATATGCCTTTATTTACCTTATCAACTTTAGTATATATTCATTAACCATTACCATTATTATGACAAATCAGTCGAGATAATCTGTATTTTATAGACTGGCCAATACATTGTCAATTAACTTGTAAAAAAAGTCATCAAAACATCATAGGTCATCTTATTTATATATAAACATATCACCTACAGAGTAGGTCGAGAATATGGCATAAGAAACATACTTCATTCTAAAATGAGAATATAGTATAGTTAATGTCAAACAGTGTTTCTTTAGCTCAGATACCATGCATCAAACTGTTGAAGGGCTTAAGGCCCGCTTTTACCACAAAAGTCAACCCATCTGAACACAAAGTCCTATACTATAACACTGTTCAACCACGTCAACCTGCTATTTCAAAGTCCATCCTTTTATCAGGCAATAAAAGTGACACATTTATCCCAGGGCATTGACTAACTGGTAAGTTTTCTTTTCAATATCATGACAAAAATACACACAGCGAGACTTCTGGGGCTTATGCTTCGTCTAACCCTGATCGTATCAGTTGGATCAAGCTGGACAACCCTCTCACTGGCCCCACCAGCTGCATTGTTTCAGGACAGAATATTGAAGATGGTGCATACATAAAATATACTATATTCTCATTTAGACACACAACACAAGCTGCTGCTAGGATCCTAGTGTTTAGCCTTGAATGGGAATTACAGGAAGAAATTAAAACTTAGTTGGAAAAAAGGAATTATTCTTATAAAAAGGTCAGTGTTATGGAAAGGAAGAAAGAAATATCTTCTGGCCTATTTCTATAGGAGCTGATATTATCTTCTAAAATAATTCTATAAAAATAAACATGTATGACAAATGTAAAACATCATGATAGGTATAGTATTCACAGCAGTAAATAAAAAGAATAAAATGGAAAAGAATTCAAACTAAAATTACTGTCTCATACAAAGTAAGAATAATTTAAAACCCAGTCAAGAACATCCTAAACAAAAAACACCCCAAACAAGTCCCTCCCAAATTCTGTACAAAAGGAAATCAGAGAACCCCTTTCCCATCCACCGCCCCCCCCCCCCCCCCCCCCCGCGACTGCTGTGAGGAGGATGTGTATCTATCATGATGTTTGTTGGCAATGATGAGTGTCTGGTTTGCACAACACTGACTCCACCACGTCTAGGCACACCCTGCAGCTTATAGTACTCAGATAACCGGCTGCCGCCCTGCACCATGCAGACTCCAGATTGTTCATCGAGGGATTCACTGCCACCGCTTGACGAAAACAATGAAATGTTTATTTCCACACTGAACCAACACTTTCAAATACCCAGACAAGTTGTCATCAGTAAATGGATAAAATAATGTTTAATTCGAATTTAAAAATATCTACATATATCAAAACAAAAAACAAACTTTGATTACTAGTCTATGGTTTCATAGAGTGTACCGTAAACGGAGTTGTTAAATTGAATTTTTGAAATGGTGAGTATTTGTGTTGGTTCAATGTGAATGTAAGCTCCATGTAGATAACCCCTCCAGTAAGTCAGTGAAAGGACCACTCACCCCTGTAGCTCACTCGAACTGTACACAAAGAGTGCTGACAATCAACATACAATACAATAGAAAGGCCACAAACACGCTGCCAGCAACTTCACACCATACCTCAAGCAGCTGTCCAACAGCTGGAGTCAAACTGGTCCCTCACAAGACAACATGGATGGAGTTAACCTGCTCTGTGTATGGCTTTTGCAAATATGTCAACATTTTACTGAATTGTTGAAATATTTCATTGTTAAAAAATGGTTGTGTGAATTTGCTGACATTTGTGATCATATTTCAGCCCTTAAAAGTTTGTGTGACCGAGAGTGAAGAGAGATGTGAAATTGAGTGTGAGTGGTGTGAGAGTTGACAGTGAATGATAGAGAGTTGAGAATGAGCTATTATTAGATACTGCAAGTAGTGAGAGTGAATGAGCTGTTATCAGATAGTGTGAGTAGTGAGAGAGTGAATGGGCTGTTATCAGATAGTGCAAGTTGTGAGAGAGTGAATGGGCTGTTATCAGATAGTGCAAGTAGTGAGAGAGTGAATGGGCTGTTATCAGATAGTGCAAGTAGTGAGAGAGTCAATGAGCTGTTATCAGATAGTGTGAGTTGTTGTCAGATAGTGTGAGTAGTGAGAGATTAGATGATCTGTTATCATATAGTGTGAGTAGTGAGAGAGTGAATATGTTGTTATCAGATAGTGTGAGTAGTGAGAGAATGAATGAGTTGTTATCAGATAGTGTGAGTAGTGAGAGAGTGAATATGTTGTTATCAGATAGTGTAAGTAGTGAGAGAGTGAAATGAGTTGTTGTTAGATAGTGGGAGTAGTGAGAGAGTGAAATGAGTTGTTGTTAGATAGTGGGAGTAGTGAGAGAGTGAATGAGCTGTTATCAGATAGTGTGAGTAGTGAGAAAATGAATGAGCTGTTATCAGATAGTGTGAGTAGTGAGAGAGTGATTATGTTGTTATCAGATAGTGTGAGTAGTGAGAGAGTGAAATGAGTAGTTATTAGATAGTGCGAGTAGTATGAGAGTGAATAAGTTGTTAACAGATAGTGTGAGTTGTTGTCAGATAGTGTGAGTAGTGAGAGAGTGAAATGAGTAGTTATTAGATAGTGCGAGTAGTATGAGAGTGAATAAGTTGTTAACAGATAGTGTGAGTTGTTGTCAGATAGGGTGAGTAGTGAGAGAGTGAAATGAGTTGTTATCAGATAGTGTGAGTAGTGAGAGAGAGAATGCATTGTGATCAGATAGTGTGAGCAGTGAGAGAGTGAAATAAGTTGTTATCGGATAGTGTGAGTAGCGATAGAGAAAATGCATTGTTATCAGATAGTGTGAGTAGTGAGAGAGAGAATGCATTGTTATCAGATAGTGTGAGTAGTGAGAGAGAGAATGCATTGTTATCAGATAGTGTGAGTAGTGAGAGAGAGAATGCGTTGTTATCTGAGTACTATGAGAGTTGAAAGAGAATGAGATGTTATGATATCTGATAACATAAGTAGTTACCAGATAAGAGTCGAATGGAAGCATAAGCGCGAGTTGGCACAAGCACAGATTGTTGGAAGAAATTAATTGTTCAGTTAGAAAACTCTGCTCTTTCTAAAGCAGGCCAACGTTTGACTTTGTGGTGTTGACGGTCACTGTGGGAGCTGTTATCAACATGGCTGACGGAGTACTGGCACTTGACATCACAGCAAGCATGGGGACAAAGACGTCCTACCCGCAACATCATCATCAAATGTGACACACATCATATGTACCAGAATTAAAAGACTATTCAATTCCGTAGGCAGAATTCATATCAAACCATTCGATGCCATCGTATATAAATGTCTGTAGCATTCAAAATTATTTTGCAAGATATATCATTCACGTTGAGCAAGCATGAAATGCATATATTTATCTTTCAATGTCTAAGAAAAGGTTAAATGTGGTCAAAAATGCATCAAGAAGCACTTTGTCAACATGCGAGATACCACCCTTACTATCACCATATCAATCATTATTCTGCTTGTTTGTTTTTGAATGTTTTTAGTTAATGCTAATTTTAAATAATTGATTTTTCATTCTTCACAGATGATGACAATGTGTTGATGTACATATACATTTATACACATACCGGTACATGTACACACAGGTTCACAAGATTTACCATTCTGTAAGTAATACCATTTCCACCTTAGCGCTATGATGTTTGCTCCACAGTATTCATACAGCCATACAGAAGCTATGTCGATCTTAGCACTAAGGTGGATTTCCAGAACAGACCAACAAGTATCACATGCCAAGCCTGGTGTATGCTGACCGCCATGTCATGGGCAACATTGACAACAATGCTTGTTTAATTGACTGATTTTGCATTTAACTGAAAGCACTTAAACGTTTGTTTCCTGGAGATGTTTTGAAAATATTTAATATCAAACTGTCGACCTAAAACCCTTTTTGTCATTGAGGGGTATATGGTATTTGCATTTGGTCAAGACAACATTATTACCACAAATCACAAACTCAACAATACAGATAATACAATGGAGATATACAACACAATAGTCATACAACATCCCGAGGTCCCTAGTCAGCTAACACTGGTACAACATGTCTCTCTGGCCCATCCTATATATGTACATGGGCCATATGCCTGGCATATTGCTTGTTACAACTAACCTACACCTGTCTTCAAGGATATTATGTAAATTATTGCCCTTCAAAAAAAAATGGTGATGCTTCTAAGAGTGTCTACCTGTGAACTACTTCACACCGCTGAGGCGGATGCTTCCATGGACCAGGCTCACACAGTGATAGAGTAGCCCCACATTCCAACAGAGTTGTGTTTATGTAATATTCCTACAAGCCTACCATTCTCAATCTCGCATTCAAAACTGAAGTAAAATGTCCTATTCATGCAGAATCAGTTTGTTACCAGTGATCACTAACAGAATGCATGAATGAAAAAAATGTCAATTACCTAACAAAAGCAGTTTCATGAATGTTATATAGGCGCTAACAGTGCTTGCAGCATGGTCATTCATTTATGCTTATTTATTCATGAACAATTACTTGTTACACCCATTAAACTTGCCAGTGGGAGCCTGAGTGGAGGCTTGAGGGATCTGAGGACAAGTGTACCGGTACTTACACAGAGATGTCATGCTTCACTGTACCATGACAACATGACCACATGACAACACTACCTATGTCTAAACATCGCTGTACAACAGTACAAATTCCACCACTCTTCACAGCATCTGCTTCCTTGGCCCATCTGTGGCTTCTGTGTCGTGGCACAACATAGAAACCACATAGGCACAACATGAAAAAAATACATTCGCAGGTTGCGCAAATAACACACTGAAAGGTTAGAGAATATTTCTTTCTGGAAAGTGTGGAGATGTGTAATCTGGATCAAGTTTGCAGCTGCACTGTGTCTGGTATTTCCCAGCTAATGGAGATGGGCTTGTTAGGGTTTTTACCTGAAGGCGAAGGCAACCAAGGCACAGATGACGACAGTGGCGTCGAGGATATTCCACAAATCTCTACAGTATGAGCCGGGGTGAAGTAGCACTCCCAAATCTACCACCTGAAACAGATGCAAGATAAAAAGTCAGAAATGAGGTACCTGATGGGTGAGTGAGATGGGTTAAATGCCTCTTTGAACAGTTTATCAGTTATACAGGAAAGCCTGATTCAGATCTTGGTGTAGGTTCACCACTTTGGTGAAACCAATTGAGCACAGATTTGAGCTGACGAATCTAGAAACAAAAGAAAGGTGAACTGTGATTCAAATTTACGATCATAGGTTCCTGGCATACCTAAGGGACACAACTCTTCACATGGAATTGTGGTGTCTTAGACGGCTAGGCCTCACTTGCCCCTTGTTCTCTGAGGGGCCAAGGAAGTTCTAAAGCTCGTTGTCCAAATTAATTTAATTTCTTCAATTACAAATCTTTTAAGTCATTTTAAATAGAAAGGATGAATGAGAAGTCACTGCTTTAAATATGTCATTACACAGAGAACAATGTGTTTCACAATGCGACAGCAGAAGACTATTTATTATACTGACTTACGTGCAGATGGACCTCAGGAACCTGTATTTCTTTATACAGGAATTACCTTTAGTATCATTTCTATTGTGAAGACTCCAGTGAAGACAAAGTCGAAGTAGTTGAGGATGATGTTGCGGAAACTGCCCTCATTGACAGGGTCCTCGGCTGCCAGAGCAACACTACTTGCACAGATGACAATCATGATGAACAGGTCGAAGTAGCGCAGGTTCACCACAAAGTGACAGAAACGGCGGATACTGCAGCAGAACAAACCATTTCTCAGACACACCACTAACACGTCCCAGCTCTCAGACACACCACAAACACGTCCCAGATCTCAGACACACCACTAACACGTCCCAGTTCTCAGACACACCACAAACACGTCCCAGCTCTCAGACACACCACTAACACGTCCCAGCTCTCAGACACACCACTAACACGCCCCAGCTCTCAGACACACCACTAACACGTCCCAGTTCTCAGACACACCACTAACACGTCCCAGTTCTCAGACACACCACTAACATGTCCCAGCTCTCAGACACACCACTAACACGTCCCAGTTCTCAGACACACCACTAACACGTCCCAGATCTCAGACACACCACTAACACGTCCCAGATCTCAGACACACCACTAACACGTCCCAGTTCTCAGACACACCACAAACACGTCCCAGCTCTCAGACACACCACTAACACGTCCCAGTTCTCAGACACACCACTAACACTTCCAAGTTCTCAGACACACCACTAACACGTCCCAGTTCTCAGACACACCACTAACACTTCCCAGCTCTCAGACACACCACTAACACGTCCCAGTTCTCAGACACACCAACCCGTCCCAGATCTCAGACACACCACTAACACGTCCCAGCTCTCAGACACACCACTAACACGTCCCAGATCTCAGACACACCACTAACACGTCCCAGTTCTCAGACACACCACTAACACGTCCCAGCTCTCAGACACACCACTAACACGTCCCAGCTCTCAGACACACCACTAACACGTCCCAGTTCTCAGACACACCAGTAACACGTCCCAGCTCTCAGACACACCACTAACACGTACCAGTTCTCAGACACACCACTAACACGTCCCAGTTCTCAGACACACCACTAACACGTCCCAGCTCTCAGACACACCACTTAACACGTCCCAGTTCTCAGACACACCACTAACAGGTCCCAGATCTCAGACACACCACTAACACATCCCGGCTCTCAGACACAATACTAACATTTCTAAGTTCTCAGACACACCACTAACACGTCCCAGTTCTCAGACACACCACTAACACATCCCAGCTCTCAGACACAATACTAACACTTCTAAGTTCTCAGACACACCACTTACACGTCCCAGCTCTCAGACACACCACTAACACGTCCCAGTTCTCAGATTTAACAATAACACCTGACGAAAATAGCACTGGGATTTGACATGACAGTTTACTCTGTTCACAAGCCAGTTACAGAAGTTAATGATCTGGAGTTCCTACAGAGTTGTCTTTGCACAGAAGCTGAAGAGATGAGCATAAATTAGTGTGGAACTGATGTATACATGTTTAATCTTGGGAATCTTAATTCAAGATAGGAAACATATGTAGATATAAAACGTACGGATTTGTTGGTCCGAAGATGAACATTGAGCTGTATGGCAACATGGGCTTGGGGCTTCCAAAAGCGTTTTCTTCCTGGTGTTGTGAGTGGGGTCGAATATCAATGGTGCTGTCACTGGTAGTACTTGCTGTAATACATACATCATATGTACAATCATGTCCTCAATATTGGTGCCGTGTCATTGTTGGCATCAACAACAGAGCTGTCACGTCACTCCTGACATCAACAACTGAGATGTAATGTCACTCCTGATATCAACAACTGAGGTGTCATGTCACTCCTGATATCCACAACTGAGGTGTCATGTCACTCCTGATATCATCAACTGAGGTGTCATGTCACTCCTGATATCAACAACTGAGATGTCATGACACTCCTGATATCAACAACTGAGGTGTCATGTCACTCCTGATATCAACAACTGAGGTGTCATGTCACCCCTGATATCAATAGCTGAGGTGTCATGTCACCCCTGATGTCAACAACTGAGGTGTCATGTCACTCCTGATATCAACAACTGAGGTGTCATTTCACTCCTGATATCAACAACTGAGGTGTCATGTCACTTCTGATATCAACAGCTGAGGTGTCATGTCACCCCTGATAACAACTGAGGTGTCATATCACTCCTGGTATCAACAACTGAGGTGTCATGTTACTACTGATATCAACTGAGGTGTCATGTGACCCCTGATATCAACAGCTGAGGTGTCATGTCACCCCTGATATCAAGAACTGAGGTGTCATATCACTCCTGATATCAATAGCTGAGGTGTCATGTCATTCCTGATATCAACAGCTGAGGTGTCATGTCACCCCTGATATCAACAACTGAGGTGTCATGTCACTCCTGATATCAATAGCTGAGGTGTCATGTCACCCCTGATATCAAGAACTGAGGTGTCATATCACTCCTGATATCAACAACTGAGGTGTCATGTCACTCCTGATATCAACAGCTGAGGTGTCATATCACTCCTGATATCAACAACTGAGGTGTCATGTCACTCCTGATATCAACAGCTGAGGTGTCATGTCACTCCTGACATCAACTGAGGTGTCATGTCACCCCTGATATCAACAACTGAGGTGTCATGTCACCCCTGATATCAACTGAGATGTCATGTCACCCGTGATAACAACAACTGAAGTGTCTTGAAAAAATACCTCATGTACAAATTTCACAATTTTCATAGTATTGAATACCTTATTGAATGAATTCCTACATTTACACTGGTTCAACAGTTTGTGGCTATGTTTTAAACTGTGGCCCCCCTAAATCTCTACAGGGAACACGCCAGCCATTAGAAGCAGCGTCCCTGAAGCCGGCAGCCACCAGGATCCCACGGCCGGCCCTGTTGCTGCACATGTATGTCACCCACCACCAGGCAATGACATCCAGGAAACAAACTGATAAACGCCAGGAAACAAACTGATAAACACCAGGAAACAAACTGATAAACGCCAGGAAACAAACTGATAAACGTATCCTTAAGACGACTGCTTGTTATTACAACATATTCAAACATCCTAAAGTCATCAAAATTGTCATCAAGATGAAAGTAAAACATTCAAGAGAAGAATTCTTAAATCTTAGGAAGGGAATTAAAACAAATGAAATGCCCAAATCCATGTGGGTCAGAATATGTATGGGTTGTCAAATGAGTGAGCAATTGGATGTTGATCCACAGAACTGGAGTATGATGGCACACTACAACCACCTGCATTGCTGCCTCATTGTCACTGGGAGGAGACACGTTGCGTTCAAGATTATTGCACTTATGTAGCAATGTGCACGCACATGTGTGTCTGGACTAATGCAGGTTTTATAGTGCTAGCCCACTGAGATACCATGCCGCTGTTTTAACACAGTACACTGAGTCCGAGCCGACCGGTCCTTGTTTTAGCCCCTTATTGCCGAGCGCCAAGCAGCGAAACAACAAGTACCATCTTTTAATGTCTTTTGGTATGCCGCGGCCGGGGATTGGACCACCGACCTTCCTCTCCCCAGGCAGCGCTCTACCACTAGACCACGGAGGCCTCCCATGCATCTTGTAACACACACTCCGGAGCAGTGCTGACTTAGCATCACACCACTGCCACAGGCTAATTTGCATATCATGTGACCAGACTTTCTCTTTTTTGTAAACAAACACGCTTTTTCAGAAATCAGAATAGAATGAACAAATGCAAATATTTGGGGGCGCTTTACATATTGTTTTGCAGAATTATATAAATATGCTACTGCAACTGCGACAGTGAGTTATATGACAATACATATTTACACATCAAAGTAACCGTATCGCTTTGATGACAGCACGTGCAGCCGTACAACCAATGTATACCTAGGATAACTACGCAAAGGTATATAGTTTTTCATGATTTAGGATATTTTCTCAATGAAAGTTAACCATTCTTTGACATATGTTTATAAAGATATGTAGACTTGTCAAAAATGAAACAGATGAAAAACATATGCAATATCTTGAATGGACTGTGTAAGATGTGACGAATCGTCACATGGCGCTGGCCTGTGGCAGAGGTACTATGCTGGTCGCATGGAACTCTGAGTAGGAGAGTGCCTGTAACACACAGCTGTGTTGGGCCCTAAATTCCACTTTCAACCAGGTACTGATGATAAGTACCAGGAACCTCTGCAGAAGTAGATAAAGGGGGATATGAAGCAAATACTACTGGATAACTACATACGTGTTTCATATACAACTCTCTCAGTCAAGCATTCACATTTACATGGAAAATCATTGTTTGGTGACATGAAACATCTTAAATTTAAAAACTGTTAGGATTTTCAAATTTAAAAAAGAATTCAAAACAATTAGCAATCTGGTTAGTATGATAGGCTGATTGAAAACATACAAATCAACAAAAGAGTTGTTTCTTGCTTTTTTTAACATAAGTCCATTTCTAATGTGCCAGATTCCATTCACCAAGTTAATGCTCATGGTGCTACAACATGGTTCCAGGTTATACTACAGCAAGGAAAACTGATGGGTTTATTCTGACTTGAGATGGGGGTTGGAGTTGTAAAAAAACGGAAAGACTGAGAAGTGGTGGTAGGGTGAAGCCAGGAAATGTTTTACCTCCTTTATTATCTATATCGTTCTCAGTATTTTGAACCTTATCTTCAGGTTCCATTTCTGTAAGGTAATACAATCAAGCTCAAAATGTTAAACTGTACACAAATGGAAAAGCACCTTTGACAAGATATACCAAGTGCTGAAATCGCAGGCAGTTTACATATGCAATGCACTATGGTTAAAATGTTCATGAGAACTTCAAACCATGCTGCTTTCAGAAAATAATTCAATGAAAATTTATTGAAAGATTGACATCAAATAACATGCTGTAGGTATTTGTAAGAATGTATGGCAAATGTACTTACAAAAGCCAATATCATCAAATTCATAATTTGTGAATAAGATCAGTAAAATTAATCTTAAAATTGCACTGAATGTTTATGAAGAAACCATTTTTTTTATTAGAAAAAATAATCAACGTGCCTGTGTTGATTTCTGATGTAAAAGCCAGGGGTTTTGAAATGTTTTATCACATTACTTAAAGTTTACACACATACATGAAATGAAGAAAGATTTACCAGGGCTTTACTGTCACAAGATATTGCATAAAAATTGAGAATGAAATTTACTCAGCGAGGCAAGGGGGATGCAAAAACATATAAGACTATTTCATTCATCAAAACTAGTCATGTTACATAAAACTGACATTTTTATCCTGGAAGGAAATACACCCAAAGTTCAGAGTCTGAAGGCTTCTGAGACCCACATGCTACTGTCTTGGGCCCCTGGTTATTACAGAGAGAAGATAGACCCAGGCATATACCTGGTACAAATGTTAACACCGCACTTGTTTCGAGAGATAATTACAATAATAATAGGATGCACCATGTCAGTGCCCTCTTAATTAAACCATTCACTGAATTCAACTTAACATAAATTAAGGATTTCTGTCTATACTGCTGTTTGTAAAGTTCTATTCATCTAATATATTCTGTTTTTCAGACTAATATTTAACAAATAAATGTGCATGAAGTATGTAGATAATGAATTTAATGGCTGAATAAAACTGCCACTCCATGCTAATTTCATTGCTAAACAGGCATGTTATTCTTCCTATGAGTTGCCTCCCTTTTGACTTCAAATGTCAATTACAAATGTATAAAGTTTTAAGTTTAACGTGATACATTTATTCCAAATTTCATCAATTGTTTAACTTGAAATTACATGTCTGAGTCTCAAAGGGAGACAACTCCCAGTTCCATCACCAAAACAAATCAATGAAATGGCAGGCATTACCTCCTTTGTATGGGCTTTTATGTTTAGCTGAAATAGTGGACCAAGATTGAATTATTGTAGACCATTAAACAGACATGGAACATGTATTGCAGGCTATATTTTGTTAACATGAAATGATTTGAAAGCTAACCAATGTAATCCATGCAAGAAATCCTACTTTGGACATAGAAAATACAGTGAAACCTCGTTACACCGGATCCTAATAGTCTCAAAACTCCGCTTTTCAGACAATTACTGTTGGGCTTGTTGCTCTTGGGTAAGCTGTACCCATGATTTGTTAATCCTGAAAAATGTAACAGTCTAACTTGGACCAACTGTGTCCGGTTTAACATGGTTTAACTGTATGGGTTACAAAGGCCTGTATACATATATGTACATATATATATACACTCTACATAGCAAATGTACACCGATCTGCTATTCTTGCCAAAAAAGAGAGGCAAGCTCTAGGACTGTAAAGCTAAGCTTCTCCAATCATAACGTATGCTAGTTTCCTGGTGAAGTATTCCAGTCATGCAAGGCAATGGTTTTATCCGTCATCACAGTTCATGGACATTTACATTCCACGATCGGTTGTGAAAAATGTGAGATAATATGATCCATTTATCTAAAAAAATAATGACTACATATTTGTGTCTTACGAGACAAATTGGATGAATTTGAGACATGGTTTAGTATTTCTTTATTCAATAAAATAAAGCATAGCACACAGGTCTAATTAAAAGTAGGGATGCATTGGTACGAAATACTATTCTACATAATACTTTCTCAGTAAATCTGATCTTGTATCACAATAAAGACGTCTTTCCATTAGCTCCATGTTTAAATTCACAGTTACCATGGAAACTAAATCAAATTTGTTCATGAGCAAAATTACTTACATTATTTCCATACATAAATAGGAACGTTAATTATTCCATGAAATATTGTACAAGTAAGGTTATTCTGGCTGAGTGTCATCTGACAAAAACAGTAAAAGCATTAGTGTGTATATATATGCATATAGAATTACATCTCCATATAATTGTATAGTTTTGATGGCAGCTAGTATATATACATAGCAGGCACTACCACCAAGCTAATCGTACACAACATGGATATATAGGAGAAATGGACAAGAAATTGACACTTTTGCAACTCACCGTTGTCATCATCGTCCTCTAGATTGTTAGCCAGATTTACATGGATTTGTTTGTCTCGATTGTCCTTGAGGTTGTTTTGACGTAGATTGATGTCAATGCGATTCCCACTACTGAAATTAATGCTGGTGTTGCAATAGGAGGTCAAAGGTCATATGAGGTAGAGAAACAGTGGCCATTGCAGTGACAGACTAGCTACAAGAAACTAAAGAAAGAACCAGCATGGAACTCAGGTAACAGAACCTAGCAAGTAGTTGTCAGCAAGTAGGCTATAGATGACAGTGTTACATGATACATACTTAGGTTAACAAAAATAATAGTCTTGGTTCTCAGGCACCGCCCGCATCATAATAAAGTTCGACGCACGTTTTGTCTTTATTTTCACTTTTGAAAAAAACACCAAAATCTTTAAATATTCCAAGTCTAACGGTAGTCAAATACTGTATTCAAGTATTTTACTCATCAAGGAATACTTTTATGTAGGGAGGCCCTTTCCAAGGTTGATTGTACACCACTGTTTATTGATAACACGACTGTTTATTGGTTACATACTAGTTTGAACATACAAAAAAAGACACCGCCCGCCCGCACTATATTTTCAAAAACCTTTGCCTTAGAACCAATTCTTTTATTTTTTTAAGCCTTATCTTGTATGAGCTTGTTTCATTTTACAAGATGAATAAGACCAAATCTGTGCAATGTTAATTCAACCTAATTCATATCATGGTCACAAAAATAAAACAACAACTGGGTCCTGAGTGGTGAGTCTCTTTGTTAGAATATTAAGAGAGCAACCATGGCGTTTGTATTTAACGTGTTTTTGTTAAATACAGAAGTCAACTGCTTTCCAGTGTGTCACTCAGGGTGAAGGATGGACCACTATTTTCAGCGTTGTGTCAGTTAGAAGCGTAGAATGAAGGCGTGGTAGCAGCTAGGTGCAGGGTATTTAGCATATACACAGACCACTGCACAACGACAGTACAGCCATGTCCTCTTTTGGGGATTTGTTCCTTGACCAAATACAGCTCATAATCTGCAACTCTTATCAGGGATTTATTTCAATGTATCGTTGTTCAAAAAGGCCATCATCCTTGTTAAGATTTCTGTCTAGAATTTGGAATGTTTGAAGAATTGGCTAATACCAGTCATGTGCTTCTGTGAAAGGCAGGAAAGGTGACCTAATCATAACAAAGAGTGTGCTGGAATTAGGTTCAATAGAGTCACAGAGATCTTGGATGGAAACTTTTGTCACCATGATCTCTCTATTTTAATTTAAAATGTTTTAGGACTAATTCATATTGGTAAGCAGGCTATGTATGAAAATTAATGCTTGCATATCCTATCTTAAAATTTGAAATGATAAAGTATGCAAATATCATCTGTTCAATTCTGAAATACAAAATATTGATTAATCTTTGGAATAAATGAAACAAATGACTGATTCTACTTTTGATTCTTAATGTAATACTTAATAGTAATAGCCAAGCACTGGAATAATCTTTTGACAGAACAAAAAGCTCTAATAGTACTTAATATAATATTATGTGTGTAGTGAAATATGAGGTAAAATACTAACTAGTTGAAGTTGGCCGTCTTCCCATCCTCGTTGTTCTGTGGAGAGGGGGGACAGATGTTGACCTGCGGTGGCGCTTGACCGGCCATCAACTCAGCAGCCTCCGCCTTCTCTCGCTCCTCTCTCCGCTGAGCAACAAGATGTACCAGTAAGTAAGAGGTTTTATCATGGTGGCAGCTTGATGTGTGAGGAAAGTGCTACAGTCTTACACGTTCACAAGTATTTTGAAACACAGAAGCAATGGTTTGGTTTTCAAAAACCTAGAAACATAAGCAGGGTGAAACTGGGATTTAAACCCACAGTCATAGGTTTCTTGCATGCCTGAGGGACATGACTCTGCACACTGAATTGTGGCGCCTTAGATGACTGGGTCACACACGAACAGACAGTAGTCTCTATGTACCTGGAAAAGTAACATAGTGTCATACTATAGACCACATCATCGTCTACTGGTTGTCATGTGGTAGAACATGAACTAGTGGACCTAAACCAAGCACAGGACTTAGTTCCTGCACTATTGAAGACTGAGTTCCTGCACTATTGAAGACTGAGTTCCTGCACTATCGAAGACTGAGTTCCTGCACTATTGAAGACTTTGTTCCTGCACTATTGGGGACTTGGTTCCTGCACTATTGAAGACTTAGTTCCTGCACTATTGAAGACTTAGTTCCTGCACTATTGAAGACTTAGTTCCTGCACTATTGGGGACTTGGTTCCTGCACTATTGGGGACTTGGTTCCTGCACTATTGGGGACTTGGTTCCTGCACTATTGAAGACTTAGTTCCTGCACTATTGAAGACTTAGTTCCTGCGCTATTGAGAACTTGGTTCCTGCACTATTGAGGACTTAGTTCCTGCACTATTGAAGACTTAGTTCCTGCACTATTGGGGACTTGGTTCCTGCACTATTGGGGACTTGGTTCCTGCACTATTGAGGACTTGGTTCCTGCACTATTGGGGACTTGGTTCCTCCACTATTGGGGACTTGGTTCCTGCACTATTGAAGACTTAGTTCCTCCACTATTGAAGACTTAGTTCCTGCACTATTGAAGACTTAGTTCCTGCACTATTGAAGACTTAGTTCCTGCACTATTGGGGACTTGGTTCCTGCACTATTGAAGACTTAGTTCCTATACTATTGAAGGCTTATTTCCTGCACTATTGGGGACTTGGTTCCTGCACTATTGGGGACTTGGTTCCTGCACTATTGAAGACTTAGTTCCTGCACTATTGAAGACTTGGTTCCTGCACTATTGAAGACTTAGTTCCTGCACTATTGAAGACTTGGTTCCTGCACTATTGAGGACTTGGTTCCTGCACTATTGAGGCCTTGGTTCCTGCAATACTGAGGACTTGGTTCCTGCACTATTGAGGACTTGGTTCCTGCACTATTGAGGACTTAGTTCCTGGACTGTAGAGGGGTTATTTCACAGGCTCTTGGGGGATATTTCCTGAAATGTTGAGGACTTAAGTCCAGGACCATCAAGGATTTATGTCCCTGGCCATTGAGGAATATTTCCTGCCCTTTTGAGGACTTAGTTCCCAGGCTAGGTAGTCTGCAGTGGGTCAGTCTGTACATACCATGTTCTCCTCTTCTGCCTGCTCCTCCTCTGCTGCGGTCAGCTCCTGGGCATTGGCCAAGTTGTCCACAGCGATGGCCAAGAACACGTTCAGCAGTGTGTCTGTGAAGCTCGGTCAAGGGTCTAAAACTCTACAGTCTCCATAAACTACCCAACCATTACTGAAGACAATGTCATGTTCACAATTTATTTCTAAAACCCAAGTTCCAATCTTTTTGTAGATTTTTCTGTAAACATTTCTTGGAAACGTTGATGTTGTTATAGCTTTAAAAAACCCATTATCATATACTTGCCACCATATGTTTAAACATCAGTTGACCAATACCAGCAGTTGGGTTTGAATGTTTGGAACAGCTGTTTTGTGAACCTCAATAATGAAGTCTCAGCTCAGCTTTTTAGGATGTCACCCTCTAACAGAGTTTATGATCAAATTTGCTGACTTATCTGAATAATTCATTTTCAGCATCACACAGTGTGACCTTCATGTTTGAACATATTTACAGGCCACAGTGACTGACTTTGTGCGTGTTGTCGGTGTGAAGGATACAGTTACCAAATAGCACCAGTATAATGAAGTACAACGAGAACAGCATGCCCGACTCTGTCCCGCCGTGAGCGCGGATGCCGTTGTACATCACCTCATTCCAGTCCTCCCCTGTCAGAATCTGAAACACACAGGCCATGTAGCAATTTCAAACTGTGAACCAAAGCCATGATATTCTTTAAAATTTTAAATTTAAATATATTTTATTATAATTAATTGTACAGGATATAGCAAATTAATAAAATAACTGTTGTTTTAAAATCGAGTGACAGGTAGAAAATGTTAATATATACTATTCTCAATGTTCATGGCTGACATGCCCTCTTGCAGCTGATGGACAGATAGAAGCAATGGTAGATGGCTGTCAGTGGCGGGTCGAGGGGGGGGGGGGGATTCTGGGGGTGGCCACCCCATCCTTTTTCACATCTGATAACATTTTGTGTGCGCCTTGCCTACCATGATTTCTTACTGAGTGAGTGAGTGAGTATGGTTTTATGCTGCTTTTAGCAATATTCCAGCAGGGGGACACCAGAAATGGGCTTCACACATTGTACCCATGTCAGGAATCAAACCCAGGTCTTCCGACCACCCCGATAACATATTAATTTGTTTGTTAAAGTCAAATGAATAATGGTTTACATATAGTGTTTGTGATTTTGGGGGTTTTGTTTGTTTTTTTGTATTTGGCTACTCTCTTGGCTGGACTCCCAGCACACTTCCCTTTCAAGTTATCATGGTGTTACAGATATAGTGAGCTAAAATGATAATATGAAAAATAATTTGAAAATACTTTAAGCTGTTTCCCTGAATCAATCGCACAACAAGATACTGTTGCACTGATAAGAAACACATGCACCAGCACCAATCTGGATCATCAAAACTGATTTGGATGATCTCCCCTTGACCGCGGAGAGCTGTGTTGTCTTGTCAGTCTTGCTTGACATTTGCCCACTTTTTGACTGACAATTTTGATATTCTGGTGGATTTTGAACCAGGATAAGATTGTTTTCAGCTACAGCTATAATTACAATTTTTTTGTTAAACTATGAGCTGGAATATTTTTTAAGAAAAACACATTGCTACAATGTAATTTTTGTGACAGGCAATATCTTTTTGCATAATGTTTTTTTCAAGAATATTCAGGGACAAGTCATATTTAAAAAAAAATCCTGGGCCCTACCCCAGAATACCAAATGGTTGGTCCCTAAGGGTTGTATCTCTAAAGATATTGCTTAAATTCTACATGACATCTTCTGTAATTTCTAGCAGGACTAAAACACCGTATGAAACTTCTGTTGACAATTTGAACCCAAATATCAGGTGGTCTCACCTGGAACACTGTTAGTAGAGCGATGGGAAAAGTATCAAAATGTGATGATGGCCTCCCTGATGGAAAGTTCATTCTGCAATGAAATATATATCATATAAAATATAAAATTCTATTTTCATATAGAAATTAAATATTAATCTATTGCAGAGACTATATATATGACACATTACTAATAACATGGAATCATCTCAATTTCAGAACACTTTCTTCAAATTACTGGGCGGCACATAAGCTTTCAACATGTTAGTTGACCAGGGTTTGGAGCAATAGCTCACACACATTCAGATACCTCAATGGGTCTTTCTACAGAAAGCTAGATCTTCATACAGGTAATGCTGAAGCTAAAGTTGTGACATGAACGACTTACTCTCCTCCAAACAACTGCATCCCCAGCAAGGCGAAGATGAGGATGAACAAGAAGAGCAAGAAGAGGAGTGACACGATGGATCTCATACTGCTGAGGAGGGAGATGACGAGGTTCCGCAGAGATGCCCAGTATCTGTACAACAAGCAAAGCGTCACGGCAACAGGCCAAGTGGAGTTCACGATTCGTACTCTTTCAACTCATTTTAGTGTTCTTGTGCAGGGTAATCAAATTCTTACACACTAGCTCTTTTGTAGGTATCAGGTGTTCATATCTGTGAATTACCTGTCTTGCAATACATGTTGCATGTGCCCAGGTGTTCATTATCACATGCACCAGTGTTCATACAGATGGAACGTAAAAGTATTTCCTTCTCTGCCAGTATGTAACACCTTACCAGTATGTGTGATGCACACCTTGGCTGCTGCACCTACTTTAGTGTTCCTCTAGCTTGAAGCACTGGGTCTCCGTTATTTACTGTTACTTACCTTGTGACTTTGAAGATTCTCAGCAACCTAAGAGCTCTGAGCACACTGATGCCAAAGGATCCTGACTTGAACCAGGACCACACGACTTCTATGATGCTCCCTACGATAACCTGGAGACAAACACAAGGATAACAACATGGCTGTACACCTGCCATTCAAACTAGTAAGAATTGGGAATTTCATCAGATCATAAATGTTGCACTTATCAGAACTGAAGATACTTTATCATCACTATTCATTGGGAATTTGAGTTTCTAATGATCCAAAGATGCAAAGATGCAAAGATGCAGATACACTTACCACACAGTCAAAGATGTTGAAAGACGATCTGAAATAGACACGCACGCCTAGTCCATACATCTTGATGAACATCTCAGAGATGAAGAGAGCCAGGAACATGAACTCCATGTAATCTACAAGAGAACAAGGAACATGAACGCTATGTATGAACCCTACATTCACGTAACCATTAACTGTTTAATTACGTCAATAATTTCCATTGATTATCTGCCATGTGTAACTATATATGCTTGTGAATTGCAGCAGAGACATTAGTCATGTTAATAAGATGAAGACTGAGGTTTGTAAGAGGGTTACCTCCCTTTAACCACAAGCATTTAGTCATGGACAGACGTACACATGTTTCATTTGGGCTGAAACATCTCAATTGTTTACAGTTTTTCAACCTTTAGTCATTCTTCACTCACAAACATAATTGGCAAAACCTGCAAACAACACACTTAACACATTTCTGAACATGTTAAATGAAGCATGCAGAATGTACTGACACCTATACATGCTATAAATAATACCCCAGGTACTGATACCTGTATCCCCATAGTGAATCCCCAGGTACTGATACCTATATCCCCGTAGTGAATCCCCAGGTACTGATACCTATATCCCCGTAGTGAAACCCCAGGTACTGATACCTATATCCCTGTATTGAATCCCCAGGTACTGATACCTATATCCCTGTAGTGAAACCCCAGGTACTGATACCTATATCCCTGTAGTGAATCCCCAGGTACTGATACCTATATCCCTGTATTGAATCCCCAGGTACTGATACCTATATCCCCATAGTGAATCCCAAGGTACTGATACCTATATCTCCTTATTGAATCCCCAGATACTGATATCTATATCCCCATATTGAATCCCCAGGCTCCTGTTTTTGACTCACATAAGAAGTCAGAGTGCCAGTCCGGTTGGCCATAGTGTTCCGAGGCTACACACACTGTGTTGAGGAACACAAGCACGATCACTATCCAGTAGAACGCTTGACTCTTCACTAACTTGCGAATAGAAAATCTGAAAAAAACAGAACATCATTTTAGTTCAAACTGGTACCTTAAATACAAAAAGAGTTGCAAAATGAGATTTGAATTTTCTCTATGGTCTGTATATTAAACATGTGTCATTTGTGATAGACAGAGTGATATTTAAAGATTCTAAATACATGTACTATTAGTTCTTATTTAGTGTTTGTATTTTCATTCATCAGTTGAAGTCAGGCTTACATGCATACACAAATGAATGAATGAATGTGTCACACGCTGCTATAACAACTCTCATAGTGCTTCCTGCATATTCCTGATACCTGAGTAAAGGCAAAAGAAACAAGTGCCATTTTTCCCTTATCAGTTGGGCCCTAATTCAACAATACATAATCGAAAAGGTTGTGCATCTAAAAATGTTGCAAAACCAATGTCAGATATTTTGCTGCTACGTGCATCCCCCATTGCTATTTGATTGTACAGGCCTGACGCCTGTGTCAAGTTGAGCTGATGCCATAACTACTACATACCTGATCCTTTTCTCAGCTCTCCAGAATGTTCCACATCTGCCATTCAATTTGCGGTTTTTAGCATTTCTTCCTATTCTATTTCCTGGAAAAACAATCATTATGAAACTAATGAAGATGACAGAACATGAACATAGACATGACAACAGAGTTAGTTAATGGTTAGCATGGCTGTAGTAATTGTAACAAAGTGTTTGAGTGTCTGTGCTCAACTGAGACAACAGCTCTACAGGGGTGTTGTACCTGGGAAGCCACTGAGATCCGACAGGAGATCTTCATCATTCAGCTCGTTGTTGTCGTCATCCGTTTCCTCTCCTTTCAACTGCTTCATTTTCCTGGCTGCTGCACGGCGGCGTGCTGAAATACATATATGTACATTTCACTCACAGGACACACACATAGATTTCACACACACACACAAACACAAACACACACACACACACACACACACACACACACACACACACACACACACAGAGGACACATAGTACATTTCACTCACAGGACACACATACATTTCACTCACAGGAGACACACACACATACATTTCACTCATAGGACACACACATACATTTCACTCACAGGACAAACATTCATTTCACTCACAGGACACACACATTTCACTCACAGGACACACACATTTCACTCACAGCACACACACATTTCACTCACAGGACAAACATACATTTCACTCACAGGACACACACACACACATTTCACTCACAGGACACACACATACATTTCACTCACAGGACACACACACACACATTTCACTCACAGGACACACACATACATTTCACTCACAGGACACACACATACATTTCACTCACAGGACACACACATACATTTCACTCACAGGACACACACATTTCACTCACAGGACACACACATTTCACTCACAGCACACACACATTTCACTCACAGCACACACACATTTCACTCACAGGACAAACATACATTTCACTCACAGGACACACACACACACATTTCACTCACAGGACACACATACATTTCACTCACAGGACACACACACACACATTTCACTCACAGGACACACACATTTCACTCACAGGACAAACATACATTTCACTCACAGGACACACACACACACATTTCACTCACAGCACACACACATTTCACTCACAGGACAAACATACATTTCACTCACAGGACACACACACACACATTTCACTCACAGGACACACGTACATTTCACTCACAGGACACACACATACATTTCACTCACAGGACACACACACACACATTTCACTCACAGGACACACACATACATTTCACTCACAGGACACACACATACATTTCACTCACAGGACACACACATACATTTCACTCACAGGACACACACATTTCACTCACAGGACACACACATTTCACTCACAGCACACACATATTTCACTCACAGCACACACACATTTCACTCACAGGACAAACATACATTTCACTCACAGGACACACACACACACATTTCACTCACAGGACACACATACATTTCACTCACAGGACACACACACACACATTTCACTCACAGGACACACACATACATTTCACTCACAGGACACACACATTTCACTCCCAGGACACACACATTTCACTCACAGGACACACACATTTCACTCACAGGACACACACATTTCACTCACAGCACACACACATTTCACTCACAGCACACACACATTTCATTCACAGGACACACACGTACATTTCTCTCCCAGGTAACACCCATTTCACTCACAGGACACACGTACATTTCACTCACAGGACACACACGTACATTTCATTCACAGCACACACACATACATTTCACTCACAGGACACACACGTACATTTCTCTCCCAGGTAACACACATTTCACTCACAGCACATACACGTACATTTCTCTCCCAGGACACACACATGTCACTCACAGGACACACACGTACATTTCACTCCCAGGACACACACGTACATTTCACTCACAGGACACACACATACATTTCTCTCCCAGGACACACACATTTCACTCACAGGACACACACGTACATTTCACTCACAGGACACACACGTACATTTCACTCACAGGACACACACGTACATTTCACTCACAGGACACACACGTACATTTCTCGTCACAGACACACCATATGTTATCAGTTCATGCAATAACAAATGTTGGTGTGTTAAATTATTTATATCCATTCTCTGAGCTCTACAACTGACTAAGGTGACAAAAGTAACAGAGCTCCTGTATGATTAACTTACTTTGGTAGAAAGCTTTTCTTTATAATTTACATTGAAATATATCCTAGCAATATCAATTATGTCAGGATTCCGAAATAAGTTATTGAAAGCACAAATGTGTGTCATGTAGCTCTGATATAAGTACAAATGTGTGTCATGTAGCTCTGATTCAAGTACAAATGTGTGTCATGTAGCTCTGATTCAAGTACAAATGTGTGTCATGTAGCTCTGATTCAAGTACAAATGTGTGTCATGTAGCTCTGATTCAAGTACAAATGTGTGTCATGTAGCTCTGATTCAAGTACAAATGTGTGTCATGTAGCTCTGATTCAAGTACAAATGTGTGTCATGTAGCTCTGATTCAAGTACAAATGTGTGTCATGTAGCTCTGATTCAAGTACAAATGTGTGTCATGTAGCTCTGATTCAAGTACATCAGCAACACGTGTGAGTGACTGAGATTTAAAGCCGCTTCAACAGAATACAAGTTATTTCACTGCATGTCAGCTTAATGTGAGACGTGATTCAGATCTCAGATATTTACCCCTTTGGTGAAACCTACGAGCCAAAGGTATGGTCCTGACAAAACCTGGTAACATAAAGGGGGTGAACCTGGATTCGAACCCACGATGACAGGTTCCTGGCATACCAAGGGTATGCAACTCTGCACAGCGAATTGCGGCGACTAAGACAAGTGGGCCACCTGAGCCCCTATAAGCTACATGCATACACACAATTAATCACATCATTCTAGAAACACCAAGTTGGTTACCTACTTTCCTGAAAAGTTATCAAAACATTGAATACAAAAACCATGCACATTCTGAAGCACACAGGGCAGATCCTGATACAGGGAAATACACTTATTCCTTCACAGAACAGTCCAACAATAATGTATTGCGGCTGCTGTTAGACATCTGACAGACATTCATCAACTATTAGCCACTCCTTCACCAGCAATCAAAGTGAGACCGGGTGCAGAGTGCCAGGGACTTGAAACATACACTCCTATCTGTATATAATGCCTGCTTGTCATCATGGCTATGTTGCATTCAAAGATTTCTGTATGAAAAGAGTGTCAAAAGTAAACAAACTTGTCCAATAACTTTCTATGTCAATACTTTCTATCTGATGAGTGTGGCATTATATGGAGATGAGGGTGTATATAAGAAAGGAGATTTAAAGAAGATGCTTTAAAAAAGGAACAGTAGAATTCAAGTTGCTAAAGCTACACAAGCAGGCTGCTTGCCACGACACTGTCCCTTGACCCCAACAAGAAGCAGAAGCGTGGATGCTTTCTATCTAGGTTATGTCCACCTTTTCATCTGCCATATGTCCACTGTCGAGCCCCATGCCCACTGTATACCCTGGGGTAGAGGAGACACATGCCCCCTGTATACCCTGGGGTAGAGGAGACACATGCCCACTGTATACCCTGGGGTAGAGGAGACACATGCCCACTGTATGCCCTGGGGTAGAGGAGACACATGCCCACTGTATATCCTGGGGTAGAGGAGACACATGCCCCCTGTATACCCTGGGGTAGAGGAGACACATGCCCACTGTATACCCTGGGGTAGAGGAGACACATGCCCACTGTATACCCTGGGGTAGAGGAGACACATGCCCCCTGTATACCCTGGGGTAGAGGAGACACATGCCCACTGTATACCCTGGGGTAGAGGAGACACATGCCCCCTGTATACCCTGGGGTAGAGGAGACACATGCCCACTGTATACCCTGGGGTAGAGGAGACACATGCCCCCTGTATACCCTGGGGTAGAGGAGACACATGCCCACTGTATACCCTGGGGTAGAGGAGACACATGCCCACTGTATACCCTGGGGTAGAGGAGACACATGCCCACTGTATACCCTGGGGAAGAGGAGACATGCCCACTGTATATCCTGGAGTAGAGGAGACACATGCCCCCTGTATACCCTGGGGTAGAGGAGACACATGCCCACAGTATACCCTGGGGTAGAGGAGACACATGCCCCCTGTATACCCTGGGGTAGAGGAGACACATGCCCACTGTATACCCTGGGGTAGAGGAGACACATGCCCCCTGTATACCCTGGGGTAGAGGAGACACATGCCCACTGTATACCCTGGGGAAGAGGAGACACATGCCCACTGTATATCCTGGGGAAGAGGAGACATGCCCACTGTATATCCTGGGGTAGAGGAGACACATGCCCACTGTATACCCTGGGGTAGAGGAGACATGCCCACTGTATGCCCTGGGGTAGAGGAGACACATTCCCCCTGTATACCCTGGGGTAGAGGAGACACATGCCCACTGTATACCCTGGGGTAGAGGAGACACATGCCCACTGTATACCCTGGGGTAGAGGAGACACATGCCCACTGTATGCCCTGGGGTAGAGGAGACACATGCCCACTGTATACCCTGGGGTAGAGGAGACACATGCCCCCTGTATATCCTGGGGTAGAGGAGACACATGCCCACTGTATACCCTGGGGTAGAGGAGACATGCCCACTGTATGCCCTGGGGTAGAGGAGACACATTCCCCCTGTATACCCTGGGGTAGAGGAGACACATGCCGTATGTATACCCTGGGGTAGAGGAGACACATGCCCACTGTATACCCTGGGGTAGAGGAGACACATGCCCACTGTATATCCTGGGGAAGAGGAGACACATGCCCACTATATACCCTGGGGTAGAGGAGACACATGCCCACTGTATACCCTGGGGTAGAGGAGACACATGCCCACTGTATATCCTGGGGAAGAGGAGACACATGCCCACTATATACCCTGGGGTAGAGGAGACACATGCCCACTGTATACACTGGGGTAGAGGAGACAGATATCAAAACATTTTCTGCATTTAGATAATCAACAAAAGAAAGTGTTTGAAATTTTGTTTTATACATCAATATTTATATCTAACCATTCCACAAAACCTTACTTTAATGACAAAAGTAGGTCTTGTTATTCCTTTGTCCGCGGGGCTGAATATATCCATTTATTCCAAAGAAAACTTGCATTTTTGTGATGAAATTGGGTAAGTCTTGGCATTTTGACTACTTGGAGGACAGGGTCCTACGACCCTGGAGTTCATTATGACTCTTGTATAGTCAGCAGTAAGATAACACAGATCAGGACCCTACAGTATTCTATGATGAAGGATGTTACTGGTTTGAACCCAAGCGTGTGATGGGGTAAGGCAGCGGTTCCATGGCGGTGGTTCTGGCACTCCCTCTCCAAAGCTCCTATTCATGGGTAGGCAAGGGTGGGTATGGATGGGGGTCAGGAGGATAGGTGTGTATCCAACCTTTGTCTGATGGCCTGCCAACCAGTCCAACACCACGATCGCTCATCAACAAGTCCACGTCTATACAGTTTGACAACTGGGGGGAATCTGGACAATTGTCAACTTTGCACACACCATACTCTTCCAACACCTCTTCAGGGACGCCATATTTCACGGTGGTGTTGCTACCAGCGGAGTCAGTGGACAACTGACCCCTGGTTGACCATGAACAATTTGGGTTTGGGTAACCAACATTACCGTTTGAATCTGTTTGTAAAATCAACTTGAATGAATGAAAGAATCATTTGTCAACACTTAAAACAACACTTAATACAAGTGTCCGATACCTGTAAATAATATTCAAAGTTCTAGGACACTTTTTGTCTAACATTCAAATACCATGTACAAGATTACATGCAAAGACATTGGTTTAAGTAGCTTTACAAGGGGAAACATTCCATGAACACAAAATGAAATAAAACCAGTACCATGCCACCAAGAAGCTGTACACACTGAAGCCATCCTACATAGCAGAGTCCACTCCTGTAGCACGTGGAATAAACTCGGCTTCCTACATAGGTGGGAAGTCAACAAGCAGGATGTGGTGATTAGGGGTGGTGGTGGGAGGTTACGAAATCATTTTAGAATTTCAATAATTCTTTCATAAGACAAAATTTTCAGATTTATCCAAAGACAAATACCATTATTTACACGCCCACATATATCCTAGGGTTAAAACTGTTGTTAGACACGCCCATATATATCTTAGGGTTAATACTGTTGTTAGACAGGCCCACATGTTTCCCAGGGATAATATTGTTGTTAGACAAGCCCACATGTTTCCCAGGGATAATACCGTTGTTAGACAGGCCAACATGTATCCCAGGGTTAATACTGTTGTTAGACAGGCCCACATATATCCCAGGGTTAATACTGTTGTTAGATAGGCCCACATGTATTCTAGGGATAATACTGTTGTTAGACAGGCCCACATGTTTCCCAGGGATAATACTGTTGTTAGACAGGCCAACATGTATCCTAGGGTTATTACTGTTGTTAGACACGCCCATATATATCCTAGGGTTAATACTGTTGTTAGACAGGCCAACATGTATCCTAGGGATAATACTGTTGTTAGACAGGCTCAGATGTATCACAGGGTTAATACTGTTGTTAGACAGGCCAACATGTATTCTAGGGATAATACTGTTGTTAGACAGGCCCACATGTATCCCAGGGTTAATACTGTTGTGTGACAGGTCAACATGTATTCTAGGGATAATACAGTTGTTAGACAGGCCCACATGTATCCCAGGGATAATACTGTTGTTAGACAGGCTCAGATGTATCACAGGGTTAATACTGTTGTTAGACAGGCCAACATGTATTCTAGGGATAATACTGTTGCTAGACAGGCCCACATGTATCCCAGGGTTAATACTGTTGTTAGACAGGCCAACATGTATTCTAGGGATAATACAGTTGTTAGACAGGCCCACATGTATCCCAGGGATAATACTGTTGTTAGACAGGCCCAAATGTTTCCCAGGGATAATACTGTTGTTAGACAGGCCCACATGTATCCCAGGGTTAATACCGTTGTTAGACAGGCCCACATGTATCCCAGGGATAATACTGTTGTTAGACAGGCCCACATGTATCCCAGGGTTAATACTGTTGTTAGACAGGCTTACATGTATCCTAGGGTTAATACTGTTGTGAGACAGGCCCACATGTATCCCAGGGACAATACTGTTGTTAGACAAGCCCACATGTATTACAGGGATAATATTGTTGTTAAACAATCCCACATGTATCCCAGGGTTAATACTGTTGTTAGACAGGCCCAAATGTTTCCCAGGGTTAATACTGTTGTTAGACAGGCCCACATGTATCCCAGGGTTAATACCGTTGTTAGACAGGCCCACATGTATCCTAGGGATAATACTGTCGTTAGACAGGCCCACGTGTTTCCCAGGGTTAATACTGTTGTTAGACTGGCCCACATGTATCCCAGGGTAAATACTGTTGTTAGACAGGCCCTCATGTTTCCCAGGGTTAATACTGTTGTTAGACAGGCCCACATGTATCCTAGGGGTAATATGGTTGTTAGACAAGCCCACATGTATTCTAGGGATAATACTGTTGTTAGACAGGCCCATATGTATCCCAGGGTTAATACTGTTGTTAGACAAGCCCACATGTATCCCAGGGTTAATATTGTTGTTAGACAAGCCCACATGTATTCTAGGGATAATACTGTTGTTAGACAGGCCTACATGTATCCCAGGGTTAATACAGTTGTTAGACAGGCCCACATGTTTCCCAGGGTTAATACTGTTGTTAGACAGGCCCACATGTATCCCAGGGTTAATATTGTTGTTAGACAAGCCATCATGTTTTCTAGGGATAATACAGTTGTTAGACAGGCCCACATGTATCCCAGGGTTAATACTGTTGTTAGACAAGCCCACGTGTATTCTTGGGATAATACTGTTGTTTGACAGGCCCACATATGCATGTATCCCAGGGTTAATACTGTTGTTAGACAGGCCATCATGTATCCCAGGGTTAATACTGTTTTTAGACAGGCTCACATGTATCCCAGGGTTAATACTGTTGTTAGATTGGCCCACATGTATCCTAGGAGTAATACTGTTGTTAGACAGGCCCACATGTATCCCAGGGTTAATACTGTTGTTAGTTTGGCCCACATGTTTCCCAGGGTTAATACTGTTGTTAGACAGGCCCACATATATCCCAGGGTTAAAACTGTAGTTAGACAAGCCCACATGTTTCCCAGGGTTAATACTGTTGTTAGACAGGCCCACATATATCCCAGGGTTAATACTGTTGTTAGACAGGCCCACATGTTTCCCAGGGTTAATACTGTTGTTAGACAGGCCCACATGTATCCCAGGGTTAATACTGTTGTTAGATTGGCCCACATGTATCCCAGGGTTAATACTGTTGTTAGACAGGCCCACATGTTTCCCAGGGTTAATACTGTTGTTAGACAGGCTCACATGTATCCCAGGGTTAATACTGTTGTTAGATTGGCCCACATGTATCCCAGGGATAATACTGTTGTTAGACAGGCCAACATGTATCCCAGGGTTAATACTGTTGTTAGACAGGCCCACATTGGTACAAGGGTCTCTGAGAATTGCATCTCATAGGTTATAAGTATAGTTTTTCTGTTAACATTATCAGGCTTGAAGTTGAGCATGATGACAGACAAACATAACGACAGACAAACATAACGACAGACTACAGCAACGAGGAGAGAGTAAAAAGGTCGACGTACCATACATACCTTCCATGATTTTTAACTTTTCTTCGTCTGTGGTTTTTTCTTCACTGAGTATCACCTCTTCTGGAGCGAAGCGAACATTGTGTTAGTGGTGAACATGGTGTTAGTGGTGAACATTGTATTAGTGGTGAACATTGTATTTGTTGTGAACATTGTATTAATGGTGAACATTGTATTTGTTGTGAACATTGTATTAGTGGTGAACATGGTGTTAGTGGTGAACATTGTATTTGTTGTGAACATTGTATTAATGGTGAACATTGTATTTGTTGTGAACATTGTATTAGTGGTGAACATGGTGTTAGTGGTGAACATAGCATCAGTGGTGAACATTGTTTTAGTGGTGAACATGGTGTTAGTTGTGAATATGGTGTAAGTGGTGAACATGGTGTTAGTGGTGAACATGGTGTTAGTGGTGAACATAGCATCAGTGGTGAACATTGTTTTAGTGGTGAACATGGTGTTAGTTGTGAATATGGTGTTAGTGGTGAACATGGTGTTAGTGGTGAACATGGTGTTTAGTGGTGAACATGGTGTTAGTGGTGAACATGGTGTTAGTTGTGAACATGGTGTTAGTGGTGAACATGGTGTTAGTGGTGAACCTGGTGTTAGTGGTGAACCTGGTGTTAGTGGTGAACATGGTGTTGGTGGTGAATATGGTGTTAGTGGTGAACATGGTGTTAGTGGTGAACATGGTGTTAGTGGTGAACATGGTGTTAGTTGTGAACATGGTGTTAGTGGTGAACATGGTGTTAGTGGTGAACATGGTGTTAGTGGTGAACATGGTGTTAGTGGTGAACATGGTGTTTAGTGGTGAACATGGTGTTAGTGGTGAACATGGTGTTAGTGGTGAACATGGTGTTAGTGGTGAACATGGTGTTAGTGGCGAATATGGTGTAAGTGGTGAACATGGTGTTATTGGTGAACATGGCGTTAGTGGTGAACATGGTGTTAGTGGTGAACATTGTTTTAGTGGTGAACATGGTGTTTGCAGTGAACATGGTGTTAGTGGTGAACATGGTGTTTGTAGTGAGCATGGTGTTACTGGTGAACATGGTGTTTGTGGTGAACATGGTGTTAGTGGTGAACATGGTGTTAGTTGTGAATATGGTGTTAGTGGTGAACATGGTGTTAGTGGCGAATATGGTGGAAGTGGTGAACCTGGTGTTATTGGTGAACATGGTGTTTGTAGTGAACATGGTGTACTAATAGTGGTGAACATGGTGTTAGTGGTGAACATGGTGTTTAGTGGTGAACATTGTCTTAGTGGTGAATATGGGTGAACATGGTGTTAATGGTGAACATTGTTTTAGTGGTGAACATGGTGTTATTAGCGAACATGGTGTTAGTGGTGAACATTGTCTTAGTGGTGAATATGGTGTTATTGGTGAACATGGCGTTAGTGGTGAACATGGTGTTAGTGGCGAACATTGTTTTAGTGGTGAACATGGTGTTTGCAGTGAACATGGTGTTAGTGGTGAACATGGTGTTTGTAGTGAGCATGGTGTTACTGGTGAACATGGTGTTTGCAGTGAACATGGTGTTAGTGGTGAACATGTTGTTAGTGGTGAACATGGTGTTAGTGGTGAACATGGTGTTTGTAGTGAACATGGTGTTAGTGGTGAACATGGTGTTAGTGGTGAACATGGTGTTAGTGGTGAACATGGTGTTTGTAGTGAGTGTCGGTATGTTGGCAGGGACTAAATATACAGCTGAAGTACAATGACAACCGCAATGAAGCGAAGCCTACCCGCTTTGCAGATCCACTCAAGGTATCCGTTCAACTCCCGTTCTATTTGTTGTTGTCTACGTAGCTTGAAGAACGCTCTACGGTTTTCTACTCTTTCTCTCTCTTTGGCAAATTCTCTGGAAGAAGGAAAGAATTTTGTGTCACATATGTCTTCATATTATCAGCAGCCTTTCTCATAAGTGAGTGTGTGAGTGAATTCTGCTTTATGCTACATTCATCAATATGTCCGGCTAGATCACAGCAGTCTATATCTAATAAAGTCTGCAACTGTAGTGAGCAATTAGTCCACAACATCAGACACAATGACTTGCAAAGAAAACATCAAATTGACTAAGCTTGACCACCCATTCCTCTACAGTTGGTTCTTATAACTAGCATTGGGTAATATTGTACAGAGCTGCCAAATACAAGTTTGTCCATGGTTTTCAAACCTTCCTTTGTGATGTGATAACTGCTAATTGACGTTTGTTTTCTTGATCCAGTCCAATATTGCAGATCCTTCAGAGCCACCCCACCATCACCCTACCTCACCCCACACAACCTAACCACCCCACCATAACCCTACCCCACCCCACACTACCCAACCATCCCACCCCACACAACCCAACCACACCACAACCACCCTACAACACCCCACACAACCCAACCACACCACCATCACCCTACAACACCCCACACAACCCAACCACACCACCATCACCCTACCCCACCCCACACAACCCAACCACCACACCCCACACAACCCAACCACCCAACACAACCCAACCACACCACAACCACCCTACAACACCCCACACAACCCAACCACACCACTATCACCCTACCCCACCCCACACAACCCAACCACCACACCCCACACAACCAACACAACCCTACCACCCGACCCTCACCCTACCCCACCCCACACAACCCAACCACACCACCCAATCACACCGAACACAACCCAACCACCCTACCATCACCCTACCCCACCCCACACAACCCAACCACCCAACACATCCCTACCACTCCACCCTCACCCTACCTCCCGACCCTCACCCTACCCCACCCCACACAACCGAACCACCCAACACATCCCTATCACCCTACCATCACCCTACCCCACCCCACAAAGCTCAACCATGACAAGTCATCAAACATGTATTTGTCCTGTGTGCAATATTGAACAATATTCTCTATGTATGGTATAATGGAAGTACTCAGATGATAGAGATGACACAATGTGACCTTGAATTTAGACAAACATGGAAGCAATTCCCCATCTAGAGAGGGGAAACGGTATGTGTCAGTCAGCAGGTACAAAGGTTGTGCTTGTAGTAATGAATACAACCTGAATAGTATCCATTACTAACGGGATCTGACGGTATTACAAGTATCATTTAGGGAGATCTTTGAATAATTTATTCACATACATACACAGATCAAAATGGATTCCCTTTCATGAGTGATGTTTATGAATTGTGAAACTGTTTCTGAATTTAATGGCATTACATTCAGTGTACACAGGCTTTCAGTTGGTCCAACCTTACAGCTTGGAGACAAAGTGGTTGGGAACATTTGGAATGAATGAGGCCTGCAGGTCATGTGATGCTAGTGATGTAAACAAGCTTGAGTATTGATCGTAGGTCTAACACTGCTTCTATTTGCTGACTTGCACGGAGGATGGAGCATCCAGCACTCCGCTGCTGCTGCTTCTGCTGCTGCTGCTGCAGTAGTATTGATTGCTGGATATCGATCCATGTTCAAAATTAGCAAAATCGGTCCATCGCACGTCTTGGAATGAATGGCTCACTGAAAGGCTCTGACTCTTTTTTTTATCTCTACACTCGTAAACGGCTGAAGTGACCCACTTCATCGCTATATTTACATAATTACATCCTAGTCTTGGACCACAGAGATTCATGTAAGATTGCAGAAGGCAGTCATTGCTAATTGCTCGTCAATTTCAGGCAGGGACCTTCTTTTGATAAACACAAGGGTCACGAACAAGTTGTCAACAACAAGGGTCATCAACAGGCTTCAATAACAAGGGTCATCAACAGGCATCAACAACAAGGGTCATCAACAGGCATCAACAACAAGGGTCATCAACAGGGGTTAACAACAAGGGTCATCAACAGGGGTTAACAACAAGGGTCATCAACAGGGGTTAACAACAAGGGTCATCAACAGGGGTCACCACAGGGGTCATCAACAGGGGTTAACAACAAGGGTCATCAACAGGGGTTAACAACAAGGGTCATCAACAGGGGTTAACAACAAGGGTCATCAACAGGGGTTAACAACAAGGGTCATCAACAGGGGTCACCACAGGGGTCATCAACAGGGGTTAACAACAAGGGTCATCAACAGGGGTTACAACAAGGGTCATCAACAGGGGTCACCACAGGGGTCATCAACAGGGGTCACCACATGGGTCATCAACAGGGGTCAACAACAGGGTCATCAACAGGGGTAAAAAACAAGGGTCATCAACAGTGGTTAACAACCAGGGTCAACAACAGGGGTCACCACAGGGGTCTACACAGGGGTCACCACAGGGGTCAACATCAAGGGTCATCAACAGGGGTCACCACAGGGGTCACCACAGGGGTCATCAACAGGGGTCACCACAGGGGTCAACAACAGGGGTCACCACAGGGGTCATCAACAGGGGTCACCACAGGGGTCATCAACAGGGGTCACCACAGGGGTCATCAACAGGGTCATCAACAGGGGTCATCAACAGGGGCCATCACCATGTTGTCAACACTTGGCTGAAGGAAATATTCCCTGGTTGCAAACTATCACACACAGCTATCAGCAGATTAGAATAGAACCTTCAGGAACATCTCCAAAACATGTCCAAAATAGTTTTATATGCAATCAAAGTTTTTCAGACATCAAGTGCCACTGGGTCATTTCCGACCACTCTTCTTAGCAATTCTGACCATACATGACTGCCTTTCACCTTGTCATGTTCCACAACAACATGATCTAGCATCATGTACCCAAATTTACCACAACACTCAGAAAATAGGATTGAAGTAACCCTCCATTTTGTTTGTTTTAAAATGACAACCTATTTTTAAGTTAGTGCAGAATCAATATGACAAGACTGTATGGCATCAATGTTTATTAAAAACTGCAAATGGATTAATCCAGTGTTTAAAATACCCACCCGCCTGACAGACTGAAATGGTCTATTTTGCTGATGGATGGTCAGTTTTGAAAAGTTGCATGCCCGATGGTCAGGCTATTCCCTAAATTACCTAAGCATCTAGTTTTAATACAGTGTAAGAGGTAAATTAACTGTAAACATTAATCACATTATTCAGTCACTTCTGCGTATGTTGATATCAAGTTTCTGTTCTCATACCATGCTTATGTTTATCCTTTTGTTACTTCTGTTCATCAGTCTAGGAAATTCTGGGATGGAAACATTTTATCTGGTCTGGTAACTTTGCAAAGTTGCCACTCCGGTTGTCAGACTGATATTTTGGGCAATGTTATTCACAAACTTGAGCAAACTCAAAGGATGATGTATTCAAGTTGTTAAAATGAATTATCCCATGGCGAACAGGCGTTTAGATTCCATTTCTATTCAGCCATCCAACCAAGGTAGAACTGATATGATCAAAAGGAACATAACAATGACTCCTACGAATCATTACAATATCAACTTCTCTGCCTCTATTTGAGGATTTGAAAAACCAAACATACGTCAATCACCACATAAAATGGTATACAGATTCTTTATGAGTTGTTTTCCTTTTCAGTTCATGGTAGAAGTTGTACTAATCTATACACACAGTGCCTATATTTACCTATCAAAAGAACATTGCTTCTTGCAGTTCACAAGATTGTTTTCATCTACTATGTACTCCTATTCTCAAAGCTTCTGGTGTTTGGTAACATCTATGTACATCATCATAACGACACATAGTTATGATGATTGTGTGTCATAACTAAAAGCAACAGAAGGTCAAAAGTGGGCAAGCTGGAAAACTACAAAGACATATTGAACGTTATAGGGCATGAAATTTGCCAAAATAATTCCTCCAAGCCTTATGTCTCCTGGTAGACTGAACACTAGAGATGGCCTTGAAGGGTATTGCTGTGTGGTGTGGGTGTGAAAGGTGTGACCTGTATACAGTGTTGATAAAAGATGAAAACATAATACCTACCCACTGAGGACTCCCAGTACTAGATTCAACATGAAGAATGATCCTAGGACGATTAGGGGTATAAAATATAAAAAGTTGAAAGTGCTCCCTAAGGCATCATTTGTCTGAAAAAGAAAATAACATCATTACTATTTGGAAACATATAAGTAAACAGTTCAACAGTCACTGGAATGTCATTAAACGAAGGGGAGCACTGAATCTAGGTATCTGAAGTTGCATGTTGACAATATTGAGATAACTGAGTTTAAATTTTCTGTTGGAGTGAGTGAGTGAGTATGGTTTTACACCACTTTCAGCAATATCAAGGTGGTGGAGACCTAAAATGGGCCTCACACTTTGTAACCATCAGGGGAATCAAACCCAGGTCTTCAACATGATGAGCGAACGCTTTAACCACTAGGCTACCCCATCGCCCCTTATTGGTTGGAATAGGGGTGGAAACAAAACAATGTTAACTATTCCATCTTCTGAGATGTCAATATCAGTGAAAAGCCAACTCATGTGGCTGCATCTGTAGAGAATATTTGTGGTTACACATGTAACAATTCAAGACCAATGTTCAGACAACATGGGTTACTTACATAGTACAAAACTGTGGTCCATCCTTCCATTGTTATGCACTGGAACACTGTCAGCATGGCATAGCCAATGTTATCAAAGCTGGTGATTCCAAAGTTGGGGCCCTGCCAGCCTTCTTTACACTCAGATATATTTAATTGGCACTTAAAACCTCCCGGAGAATTGGGATTTTTTGCACACGGTCGTATATCAGGTTCATCCCCATAATCAATGTCACCTGGAAGAAAAATTAAAATGTAAGTTTACAACTTATGAAATATCAGAAAATTGTAAATCATCCATTACAATTTAATTACAATAAAATTGACATCAGCCAGCATTATGTTGATATTGGCAGATAAAAAAATATGTTAAATTGCCATGGACAGTTAAATAAAACAAATTGAACATATTTGCATATTATATATATATAGGAGTATGTTTGCCTCAAATGTGCCAAAATAATATGACATGCTCCATATATCAACAACAATGCATTCTTGCTACTTTGATTATCATTTTAATTCCATATAACAGCAATGGCTGCAATATCCATGACATGACTGCCCAGATAATGTCATGATAAGACGCTTTCATATTAAAGAATTCCTGCAAAGTAGGATTACTTGTCATGTTTTACTATTGGAATTTTCATCTGTCTTGATGCAATAACGAACATTTACGAACAAGCAGTTGTTGGACAATAGAATTGATGGTCAACTTGTCTGGTCCGAGAGCCTGTAAAGTATGTCTATCATTAACCTGACAGCCTACAAAGCACGCCGATCCTTATCCAGACTCTTCTCTGGAATCGCAACAGGTTGAGGTCATCTGAGTTTACCACAAGTATTCTGACAGGCTGACAACCATTTCATCACATGGGCAATACGACAGTTCTGTCCATTACAGTAACTATGTTTGAACTAGAGCTTCAGCAAATGCCCTTCCACAAAGGTAAGTGATACAAATATAAAACTTGAAGCTATGAAATTTTGAAGTCGCACTGAGAATTGGCATCAAAGAGCATCTAGTTTGCCATTCAAAAAGTGTCAGTTTGTCTCATGGAGTTCTGGTCGATGACACAACCGCCAACTGGAATCCTGGTGGATTTACTATGGAATAAGAACTTTCTTCTCTTTCCAATGCTAGGTGGCTTGGTTTAGATGGCCTGCCATCTTTAATAATGTGTCCATCAATAACCAGCTGTAGATAACAATCTCTTCCTACAGAACAACCAATTCTGGAAGTTGGTGTCACTTCACATTTCTTCCAAATTACTACCAACAGGCTGTGAAAAAATTATTGATTTGCCACTTATTACAAGGAGATAACCTATATTAACCATCCTTATGACAGCTGACATTTGTTGTCAAGGATGTGTCTATTGTAATGACATATATGACAAAAGTGACCCTTGACATAACAAAATGCACAGAAAATGTTCATCCGTGTAAATCTAAGAGTCTGGATGTTTATTCAGCTGGGTAAAACCCAAATTTATTCATAATTGATTTTTAGTCAGAAGATAAATTATTGATAGAAATAATCTGTTTATCTTTGAACAGAACATAATAATACTTGATTTTGTGAAATTTCAACATGCCTAAGCTTTCTAAATATGGTTTTATTGTCTTAAATGAATCATTGAAGAAATGTTTTCCAAGAAAGAATTAATATTTGCTTATCTCTATATATGTAGTTTTATACCTTGTACATTAGATCAATGTGCTACCATTACATGAAGTACTAAACAATTGTAATACCTACCTAACGTTCTACCAAATTTGTTTTTGAAACAAGCGTTGTGGAAAGCACCCGAATAGAACTCCAGGCCGACGATTGCGAAGATGATGATGGCAAAAAGCACCAATAAACACACTTGTAGCAGTGGAGCCATAGCCCGAATGATGGATTTCAACACCACCTGCAAACCTGGAATATACAGTCATAGGTTTCAATATGGACACTCATTTCAATGAAATTATTCACAAATTAGTCACTATGAAGTATGACAACTTACTTTTGTTTTATATGAACATTACAAATTTCATAAGGAAAAGTGTTTTATACAGATGACATGGGTCTATTACAATTTGAAATTAACATTTTCAAAAATATTAAAAAATTTAAAATATGTTACAATATTAAAGAAAGATTGAAAATCATAATGACATGTGGTATATAAACAGAACTGCTTTTAAAAGACAAGGAATAACAGAAATATAAAAATGTTTGTGTGATACACATACATTCAAGGCAGACACATACAAATAATACTCTGTCAATGCTGTGTAGTTTGAATTTTTGAAACACATTATGAAGAGATCATCACACGTAGAACAGGTTCATTGGTAAGGAGTTTCTTTTTTCTAAAAAAACATGGGGTTAGGAAGGAACAGTTTGTTAGGAACTAGATGGCCCGTGTGTTTATCAAACTCCATGCTTGAAATGTAATTGTAATTGCAGAAGATAAAAAATAACATTGTATGTCCAATACTGGCTTCGAGAGTGCCCTGGTGTCATAATCTAGAATTGAGAACTTCAATCTGTCATGAGTTCATGTGTATAGTGAAGGTGATGGTTTAGATGATGTATCTTCGTTAACTAATCAGTGAATCTTTTACAAAACATTGACAGAGAATGTTCATATTCTTGTCTCGTGTATTAAAAGTCAATTTTAGTCAAATATTTAAGCCATCAATAAGCTTCTTGCACAATTACAAGTAAATTATGAACATCTTAAAAAGTATATATATATATATATATTTATTTATATATGCTTACATCTCGATAGAAATGTTGACATAAGTATGGATATATGAAATATTACATTGTAAATGCATTTCATAATTAAAACTAGTGGTTTAATAAAAAAACATCACATATAATTATGATAGATCAGGAAAAAATCATGCATCAAAATGTGTTACAAAACTGAAACATGTTTAAAAACATAACATAAATAAGCATGCTTCCAAATACTAATTACATTGATAAGTGATTTACCAAACACAATAGCTAACAATGGCTTGAAACTGAGACACAGCACACTGGAGATGAGTGATGTAATGACAGACACATGATTGACAGGTGGTGGCATGCATTTCCCCCCTCCCCATATCAGAGAAATTAGCCACAATGTCAGCCACATGCACGGAAATGATCTCCTCTACCCCGTCTCAAACAACAATTTGGAGGAAACTTTATGCCAATTTGCTGGGATTTTGAATCTAACCTTTTGCCTTCATAAGACTAAGATACCGAATTAAAGCAGTTCGTTCTAATTTGCCCCCAAAAGATGACAATTTACAATTATTCTTTTCCAGATCCTTTGCAAATTGTTAAACCATCTAATTATTTGATAGAAATGTGGAAAAGAAAGGATTTTGATTTCAAAAGTACAAGTGTCATCTAGTCCAGAAGGTAATGTTTCAGTGTGTTTCATGTAGGAGACGGTAGATGATGTGTGGAGATCATGACTAGCTGCTGCCACCTGAATGATAGACACAATGAGCACCGCCACATTGGTGACCAGGCCACTTGGCACCGACCACAGAGGGTACATACTGGGAATCCCAGACACTAGTTTGAGGGGTCGGAGAACCCTAACGGCTCGGAGGGTACGCAGGTTGAAGGTCGTGGACCCCATCGAACTGAAGTATGTCAGCAGGCTGCAGGACGATCAGAGATCATATCAGGTGATGGATGGATTGTTTGGTGGGAGACAGATGCAGGAGCGGTGGATGGAGATGGGTTGGTGGTGGACAGATGCAGGAGCGATGGATGGAGATGGTTTGGTGGGAGACAGGTGAAGGAGCGGTGGATGGAGATGGTTTGGTGGTGGACAGGTGAAGGAGCGGTGGATGGAGATGGGTTGGTGGTGGACAGATGCAGGAGCGGTGGATGGAGATGGGTTGGTGGGAGATAGATGCAGGAGCGGTGGATGGAGATCGGTTGGCGGTGGACAGATGCAGGAGCGATGGATGGAGATGAGTTGGTGGGAGACAGATGCAGGAGGGGTGGCTGGAGATGGGTTGGTGGGGACAGATGTAGGAGCGGTGGATGGAAATCGGTTGGTGGTGGACAGATGCAGGAGCGATGGATGGAGATGGTTTGGTGGGAGACAGATGCAGGAGGGGTGGATGGAGATGGGTTGGGGGAGACAGATGCAGGAGCGGTGGATGGAGATCGGTTGGTGGTGGACAAGTGAAGGAGCGATGGATGGAGATGGGTTGGTGGGAGACAGATGCAGGAGCGGTGGATGGCAATGGTTTGGTGGGAGACAGATGCAGGAGCGGTGGATGGAGATCGGTTGGTGGTGGACAAGTGAAGGAGCGGTGGATGGAGATGGGTTGGTGGGAGATAGATGCAGGAGTGGTGGATGGAGATGGTTTGGTGGGAGACAGATGCAGGAGCGGTGGATGGAGATCGGTTGGTGGTGGACAAGTGAAGGAGCGGTGGATGGAGATGGGTTGGTGGGAGATAGATGTAGGGTAAATTGAATGGTTTTGGATAGTCACAGGGTAAATAGAGGAGGGTTGTGGGTAGAAAGTCACAGGGTAAATAGAGGATGGTTGTTGGTAGAGTCACAAGGTAAACAAACAGAGGATGGTTGTTGGTAGAGTCACAAGGTAAACAAACAGAGGATGGATTGTGGGTAGAGTCACAAGGTAAACAAACAGAGGATGGATTGTGGGTAGAGTCACAAGGTAAACAAACAGAGGATGGATTGTGGGTAGAGTCACAAGGTAAACAAACAGAGGATGGATTGTGGGTAGAGTCACAAGGTAAACAAACAGAGAATGGGTTGTGGGTAGAGTCACAAGGTAAACAAACAGAGGATGGATTGTGGGTAGAGTCACAAGGTAAACAAACAGAGGATGGATTGTGGGTAGAGTCACAAGGAGGTAAAAAGGAAGAAGGAAGGACAGACAGATCTACAGACAGATCTACAGACAGATAAGGATGACCATGTTGAATATAAGATGGTCATGGTGAAAGTGACAACCCATCTGATGACAATGATAACCAATATGGTGATACGTATAACAGTCTAAATGCCACTCCTGTGTACAACCCACGGCTTACATCTGTCAGTCATGATGAGGATACTGAGGAAGGATGTGGACATGATGCTGCAGATGTAACCTGTGGCTGCGACACTGGAGAAGCGGCCTCCAACATTGTGGAGATACTGGGATAGTCTTGCCGACACGCCACACCATTCAGGGCAATTTGCAAGGTAGTTTCCCACGTGTCAGCAACATTACCCCATGATGTCAATGATATATGATCATGTATACACAAAACTATCAACAATTGTACTACCACTTCAGTTGGTGTCCCTTCTATGGAATCAAGTTCATTCAGCTAGTCTAGGAAATGTGTTATTCAAACATGCAAGAGTAGACATGTTAGAAGAGGTTATAGTGTCATCAATTCCTTCTCAACATGACTTGAAAGTCCTCAATGATGGCGAGGTGCACTCATGGCACGAGAGACTGACCTCAGTCTGGAGAATAGGCTAGAAGTTCAGAAACGGACAATACACAGACCACTGGGTTTTCGAATCATGTATGGAAGAATTGTTGACAATTTCTGGTATGACACAAACAACATAATCAAACCACAATTAAACTATAGGGCCTTCATGCAAAATTTTGATCCCAATCAAGGGTCATACTTGGGATTCCAGACACCAGCTTCAGGGGTCTTAACACCCTGACAGCTCGGAGGGTTCGCAGGTCGAAAGATGATGAGGAAGTGCTTGTATGAAGAAGGGTTATAAACCTGCCCGGGGTAAAATAAAACAAGTAGATAATAACCCTTTACCAGTTGGGGATATCTGAGTTGTGCTTTGAAGTGAAGACCATGGCATAGCTTTACACCAGGAACAGGTTCAAGCTTGAGTGCAAGGTTCAGTTTTTATGTGTTTTGTTGGACATTGGGAAGTTAAAAAATAAACATAGGAAGAAGTAAAGTTTGAAATGAAATAGTTCGAATAAAATTTGAAAGGTTTTGTACAATCCTCTTTCTGTGAATATATAAAACAATTTTAAAATTTGACATCAATGTTTTATTTGGTTTTGACACAAATCATAAATTGAAAACTAAACTCCAAATGATTTTCTACCAGCAGAATTTCTGCAAACTAGATTTGCATAACAACTAAAAGCATACTTTTGAATTATTAATGTGAAAACAGGAATAGTACTGCAAAATGTAAATTTGTTTCCAAAGTCGCGTCTCCAACCAATTGAAACCATAAAAGGATAAAGGTAGGTGATGTGAATATAGGTATTAGAAAGGATAAATTGATAGAAAATGCAGCGGCTTATATGAACAATTTCTAACACAACTCTCGAGCTGAAAATACAAGTGTTTAACATGTGTCATACATAAATACATACTGAAGTCAACATTAGCATACCAGCACCATGGAAACAAATATTTCTTCAAAATCATGGGAAACTAGCAATGAAGTTCCTGCAGGAAACTGAATGACAATATGCAAGTAGCAGGGGTGGGCTGGCAGGGGAGATATATTGCCGTCAAAGTAAATCTACTTTCTTTCTGATGTTACTCTTAGTTTCTACTTATCTGTTAATCAAATTCCAGAGTACCAAACCATCAGTAAGTCAGTTATCAAAATAATTTTTAAATTTTTATTTAATGACCAGAAAATGATGAGAAAAATGTTCATATTGATAATTACGAAAAGGAACATGTTATGTTTATTAACGTTAATAAAAAAATAAGGGAGAAGGGTATAGGGTGGTAAGCTGTCTACAGGGGGGCCCGTCAATCACCCAGGTCCGTTGGGAAAGGAGTAAGGGCGTTAATCAATCACCACTCCCATGTCTGATGCACTCACTCTCTATCCCTGTAACCAATTTCAAGGGTCTTAACACTCGAAGTGATCTTATTAGTGACTGGTCCACCAGCGGAAAAACTAAACCAATGGTTCTGTGAAAGAAAACAGGAATCTGTGACAAGTGAGCTGTTGATCATGTTGGAATCTGTGATCAAGTTTTTTAAGCGGTTACGACAGTTCCAGTTCTGTCAACTGGTTCGTAAAGTCAACACTTACACATGGTAAGGGCACTGTTTTGTAAAACCAACTGTTACACATGATAAGGGCACTGTTTAGTAAAACCAGTTGTTACACATGGTAAGGGTACTGTTTTGTAAAACCAACTGTTACACATGATAAGGGCATTTTTTCTTAAAACCAGTTGTTACACATGGTAAGGGCACTGTTTTGTAAAACCAACTGTTACACATGGTAAGGGCACTGTTTTTTAAAACCAGTTGTTACACATAGTAAGGGCACTGTTTAGTAAAGCTAATTGCTACACATGGTAAGGGCACTGTTGAGTAAAGCCAATTGTTACACATGGTAAGGGCACTGTTGAGTAAAGCCAGTTGTTACACATGGTAAGGGCACTGTTGAGTAAAGCCAGTTGTTACACATGGTAAGGGCACTGTTGAGTAAAGCCAGTTGTTACACATGGTAAGGGCACTGTTGAGTAAAGCCAGTTGTTACACATGGTAAGGGCACTGTTGAGTAAAGCCAGTTGTTACACATGGTAAGGGCACTGTTGAGTGAAGCCAGTTGTTACACATGGTAAGGGCACTGTTGAGTGAAGCCAGTTGTTACACATGGTAAGGGCACTGTTGAGTGAAGCCAGTTGTTACACATGGGTTTGTCAGAACAAGGATTACACTGAAACCAGTTATTCCCATCCTCCATGGTAGTTTAGGGTAAGAGCAGTCATCACTCTCAAAGGATGGAACTTGTAATTATTGTAATAATTCTCTTTTATTTGGGTCAGCAGTCAAAGTATTATTGCCTGTCAGTGAGACACATAAATGAAACATTGAGTCGCATGAGAAACCTACAGACATTCATCATGTACAATTTCTGAAGGTCATTAAACTCCATTTCGACATTTCAATGGTAATAATAATGACCCAAGTGTTTTACTAAACCATTGATGAGACATTGTGTCGTTACTGTTGACTGACTTTGAGACAGACAATGTAACAAACTGATCACTTACCCTGTAACAACTACGATGAAGTCCATTATGTTCCAGATGTTACGTAGATAGGAGCCTTTATGAAGTACAAAACCTAGAGCTACAATTTTTAGTAAAGCTTCCACACAGAAGATACCCAGGAAGTAGATTTCTGTATCATCCTGAAACATAACAACCATGGGATTAGAACATGGGGTCATGTGACATCTTCATGGCATCGACGACAGACACATCATTCCACTTGCTCAATAAGCAAATAGTGTTTAACTGGAGTTGGAAAACTGTAAAGAATGATTATCAAAATGTATTCATATGATGTAATAAGTTATGATTACATCATATTATTGTTACATTTCTGGAAAATACATGTGGTTTAGAGATTAGTTTTTAATCGTCAAAGAATTAACACATATTAATTCAAAAGAAAACTTATTTGTTCTTCTTTATTATTAATGTTTTTGTTATCATAGTGAGCTTTTCATTTTATGTTTAGTGCTAAATATTGAATATAAAAAGTTGACCTTTTCACTTATGAATGATTTTACACGGGGTTCAAAACCTTTGTTCAAAACCTTTACTTAATCCTGCGTGCAAGTATAATTAGATTCCGAGCCACAGAAGTTGTCACACTAGACTGTATACAACAAATGTGTTTAACTCATTATAATAATTGATAAATTGATATTTCTATCATTCCTTTCTACTACACATTACATTCATATACAATTGAGGTGTGTTCTGATTAAGACCTGACACCAATGTAACTTGTTACTACCGTGGCCACGTAATGTACCACTGCCTTTATTCTTTACATTACACTGCAGTGTGCAGCATTGCTCTCACACCTTCAGCAGGAGTAGTGCAACAATGGCAATACTGATCAGTGTCTTCTGTCAACACAATGCAATTAACTCCACCAAGAATGAGACGTGTGCAACTGACACCCGCCTGGGCGGCACACTACAGCTTGTGTGAAATCATCCAGCATCAAATTCAGTAACAGCATCCATTTCAAGGATGTTTAAAATGATAACAGGCAGAGGAGAACCCACGCACAGGTACAGGCTGGCCCACTGCAGTTCAGGCTTGAGCCACCATACACAATAATGCCACGTTACCTTGGTTACAAGTAAATCACTTATAAATCATACATATACTGGCATCCACAAAAACAGTACCTAATGTTTAATTTATGAAATTATATTGCTGAAACAAATTCTGATCGAATGAAAATGAATCTTCCTAAGAAGGTTAGTTTGGCGCCGATTATTTGATATTCTGGAAGGGCCTGGGATTTTGTTTTGAGATTAGATTTCTTTCAGCTACAACTACAAAACCAGCTAATTTCTCATTTAAAAACTATGAGCCTGACTATTTTTTAAAGAAAATCACCTCTCAACAATGTATTTTTTGTGGCATGCAATTACTTTTGTATTCTGAAGCATAATTATTGTCTTCACGAATTTTTGGTGAAATTATTTTTGGAGAAAAGGAAGGCTAAATAGTCAGAGCATAAGAAGGCTAGATTGTGAGAGCATAAGGATAGAGAGTGAGGTCATAAGAAGGCTAGATTGTGAGAGCATAAGGCGAGAAAGCGATAGCATAAAAAGGCTTGATTGTAAGAGCATAAGAATGCTAGATAGTGAAGGCATAAGGGTAGATAGTGAGAGCATAAGAAGGCTTGATGGTGGGAGCATAACAAGGCTAGATAGTGAGAGCATAAGAAGGCTTGATGGTGGGAGCATAAGAATGCTAGATAATTAGAGCATAAGAAGGCTAGATAGTGAGGGCATAAGGGTAGATTGTGAGAGCATAAGAATGCTAGATAGTGAGGGCATAAGAGTAGATAGTGAGAGCATAAGAAGGCTTGATGGTGGGAGCATAACAAGGCTAGATAGTGAGGGCATAAGAAGGCTTGATGGTGGGAGCATAACAAGGCTAGATAGTGAGAGCATAAGAAGTCTAGATTGTGAGATAGTTATAGCTCTTCCATGTATGGGCCTAGCTTTGTTTGTTACACAAGTGACTGTCAGTAGCTGTACTGCATGACCTTAATATATTATGTTTGGTATGACTAATATCTTGTTCCTCATCAGCAAAACACAGAGCATGTACAACAACCATGACTAAAACACTTTCATTTCCAGTTCAGCCATACGGAACCGGTAACTAAGTTGGAGTGAATCACTGTATCAGGCTGTTGTCTACTGTGCACAGTGTCCTTCACAGCTTTGAGCAGCTCATAGGTGACACAGAGGTTTGTAACAAAACAAAAAGCAGATATCCATAGCTTTGAGTCTATTTGCACCTGAATTAGTTTTTCGAGTCATATTGGTTTCAGTTTTCTGAACACCAGCATCCATGTACTGAGAAGATACAGTCATGATTTGTCTTCATGTACCAGAGATGATGATAGAATGATAACAGTCTAATGGATAATGATTCTGAAACATAAAGAAATAGACGGGGCTACTATTCAGTTAATCAAATCACTAGCTAAATAAAATTGGGTACGGAAACTTATTCAAAATTATTGGGCAAACTTTCTATATTTCTACTGACATTGTCTATTTTATAATAGAATTTAACACATTCTTAAGGAGATTTGAAACAACAGTTTTATTGCTTTTATGGTCATTTAAATGATGGTGACATGAAATAAGGCTGGTCCTGTATTTAGGATGCATAAAATTGTCACACTGAAAGGGTTAGTTCATTGATGCTTGAAATTGACACATTTTGATGTCTATTTCACCAATCTCATAAATTGCAACTGGATAATGCCATCAAAGTGACAGAGGGTAATTCTATGTACATTTTATTGATTATTGATACAGAAAATCTATAGCTGGCCTTTTAAATACACATTGAGTTGACATCAGCACAATGGTGCAGCTGTTCCTATGACAAAGCACAGCTTGAACTAGCCAGCAATGTCTGTCCTTGTGAAGCAGTTTAATCTCATTGCTAGTCATTAAAAGATTGACCTAGTTAATACATGCCAGTAATGAATAACTTTTTCTCACACGATCAACAAATAGATCAATACATATACACTATGACGGATGCTCATAATATTACATGTGGCTCCATGTTAAAAGTGAGTACCAATCGGTATAATTCATACTGCATTTGTACCATCAATAATATGATCAATAGGGGAGGGGTATTTCAATATGTTTGCCTTTGATTGCTGATATTTCTAACCATATATCCTGTCAAACTAAAGTTTGGGATGAATTTAAATGTTATATAATAATTAAAAGAGAAATATTGTTAACACAACAGAAAATGTGTTGACTTGGATGTTGGCTCCGTCCAACTGGGAACTGGAAATATCTTGAGAACATTAGCTTCCTAAATCTTGATAAGGTATAATACAATTTACAATGATAGAATACAGCTTTAAAACCATTTATGTTAATATCACTGGTGTTTTAATCCACGTTTAGAAGGTTAACCTCACAATTTTAATGTTGAAATATTTATAATGCCTGCTTTGAAATAAGGCACTGGAAACCTTTAAGATGGAAGATGATTCGTGTCTGTCAATGGGTCAATTTGTCAATGTGGGACATGTGGTGTGGGGGGAAGGGCATCGGGTGTGGGGCGTGTGATGTGTGGTGTGGAGCGAAGGGTGTGGGGTAGGGGCGTGGGGCATGAGGCATGGGGCATGGGACGTGGGGCGTGTGATGTGTGGTGTGGAGCGAAGGGTGTGGGGCGTGGAGCATGAGGTGTGGGGCATGGGGCGTGGGGCGTGTGATGTGTGGTGTGGAGTGAAGGGCATGGGGCGTGGAGCATGAGGTGTGGGGCATGGGGCGTGGGGCGTGTGATGTGTGGTGTGGAGCGAAGGGTGTGGGGTAGGGGCGTGGGCCATGAGGCATGGGGCATGGGGCGTCGGGCGTGCGATGTGTGGTGTGGAGCGAAGGGCGTGGGGCGTGTGATGTGTGGTGTGGAGCGAAGGGCGTGGGGCGTGGAGCGTGTGATGTGTGGTGTGGAGCAAAGGGCGTGGGGCGTGGAGCGTGTGATGTGTGGTGTGGAGCGAAGGGCGTGGGGCATGTGATGTGTGGTGTGGAGCGAAGGGCGTGGGGCGTGGAGCGTGTGATGTGTGGTGTGGAGCGAAGGGCGTGGGGCGTGGAGCGTGTGATGTGTGGTGTGGAGCGAAGGGCGTGGGGCATGTGATGTGTGGTGTGGAGCGAAGGGCGTGGGGCGTGGAGCGTGTGATGTGTGGTGTGGAGCGAAGGGCGTGGGGCGTGGAGCGTGTGATGTGTGGTGTGGAGCGAAGGGCGTGGGGCATGTGATGTGTGGTGTGGAGCGAAGGGCGTGGGGTGTGGAGCGTGTGATGTGTGGTGTGGAGCGAAGGGCGTTGGGCGTGGAGTGTGTGATGTGTGGTGTGAAGCGAAGGGCGTGGGGCGTGGAGCGTGTGATGTGTGGTGTGGAGCGAAGGGCGTGGGGCATGTGATGTGTGGTGTGGAGCGAAGGGCGTGGGGCGTGGAGCGTGTGATGTGTGGTGTGGAGCGAAGGGCGTGGGGCGTGGAGCGTGTGATGTGTGGTGTGGAGCGAAGGGCGTGGGGCATGTGATGTGTGGTGTGGAGCGAAGGGCGTGGGGTGTGGAGCGTGTGATGTGTGGTGTGGAGCGAAGGGCGTTGGGCGTGGAGTGTGTGATGTGTGGTGTGAAGCGAAGGGCGTGGGGCGTGGAGCGTGTGATGTGTTGTGTGGAGCGAAGGGCGTGGGGCGTGGAGCGTGTGATGTGTGGTGTGAAGCGAAGGGCGTGGGGCGTGGAGCGTGTGATGTGAAGCGAAGGGCGTGGGGCCTGGAGCGTGTGATGTGTGGTGTGAAGCGAAGGGCGTGGGGCGTGGAGCGTGTGATGTGTTGTGTGGAGCGAAGGGCGTGGGGCGTGGAGCGTGTGATGTGTGGTGTGAAGCCAAGGGTGTGGGGCATGGAGTGTGTGATGTGTGGTGTGAAGCGAAGGGCGTGGAGCGTGTGATGTGTGGTGTGGAGCGAAGGGCGTGGGGCGTGGAGCGTGTGATGTGTGGTGTGAAGCGAAGGGCGTGGGGCATGTGATGTGTTGTGTGGAATGAAGGGGGTGGGGCATGGGGCGTGGGATGTGGGGCATGGGATGTGTGGTGTGTGGGATGTACTCACCAGCTGAACAGCCAGGGGGGTCTTGTCATTCACTGGCAGATGTTCCTCCAGGCCCAGCACGATGCAGTTGGCGATGATGGTGAGAAGTACCATATACTCGAAAGGCGTGAAGTTCGTTAAGGAAAACTTTGGATTGATATCAAATCACAACATACATTTATGACATAAAACTGTACATGAAACTAACTGGAGAGCAACACTTACTAATGATGACGTGAGTTGGAACAGTATTTCAGTTATATCATTGTGAGTCAGCCTCAGGTGGGCAAGAAGCCTGAAGTGATGCAGGTCACAGTTGTTGGCCAATCTGGTGAAACCCACATATATGGTGCTGACAATCATGGATAAAAACAGGGTTTATTCTTTGAACAAACAGGATTCTGGTACATCAAAGGGATGTAACTCTGTATTGAGAATTACAGTGATATAAATGATCAACCAGGTAGCCTGCAACTACACACTGGTGTAATGCCCACGAGCAGTCCCAACGGCCATGATAACATACTGGGCATATAAAATGGCAGAAAATGTGAGAATTGTTTCACAATGTGCAGTTTCTGGTTTCAAACAAAATGTTCTCCCTTATATATACCATACTTCCCAGGGACCAAGAATGCAAACTAAATGACACTGGTTCCTTGATGGGGAGATATTTGCAAGCACATTCACCCTTTTTTGGGGGGAATGAGTGTTATACAAATGTATTATTATTATTATTATTATTATTATTATTATTATTATTATTATTAGAAACATCAATAAAATATATTTGTGTCTTGCATCAACAGACATTGAACAAGATGTTTACAATGTAGAAATTAAACCATTAAGTATGTGGTGTGTATAAAACAAGTTCCGTAAGACCTTGAAGCAGGGGTAAGATTGTTTGGGTTGTATTCAAGACAGTCAATGGTCTCAAAAGTTTCTTCTTGATGTAAGGTTCTGTAACAACCATCTACATACTCCTCCAATATGTAATACATACCAATTATATCAAATAACAGATCGTTTCGTAATAAACTTGATTTAGGACGGGCGTCCCGTTCTACAAAGCGCGCTACTGTCATAAGGTTATTTAATATGTTGAAGAATGAGAGTTACAACCACCTTAGCGCTAAGAATGTTTTGTGGAACGGGCGCTGATTTATAAAACCATTTTAAGTTTACAATTTTCTATTGTTCCTGGGTGGTTCACTTGCAGCAGGGAATGTCCTTGTGTTGTCATCCCAGCTGTCAACAGTTATACGTACACATGTTTCCTTATTAACTATTCTCTTTGATAAAAACAGGGATGATCAGTTCAGTGTCGGACTAGCAGCGGCAGTCGACATAAAAGAATGATGGCTGCATTTGAGATTCTTTATTGCCTTTCTGGTAATGACAGTTCAACAATTGCTTCTGGGACATAGTAAAATACATCGTTGTCGTTAGCAACCAGATACTGGAATCGATTGTGAAGCACCCATGCGCACATGTCAAGTTCATGGTAGGTTTCAGGCTTCGCGTGCAGGTGCAGGTGTTGTCTACTCTGGAGTGGAACATGGTATATATAGGAAAGTGTTGCATCCGCACATCAGGTTCTAGACTTATTGTATCGTGATCGGGGGTGCGGTGCATACTGAACCTCCACGTTTCCATATAGCTTTGATTATTGATGATCAAGAACCACGGGCGGATCCATTATTTAAAAATGTGGTTCTATTTGGGGCATATATTTATAGTTTTACTTTAACAACTAAATCAACATGTTATCCCAAAAGATTAATGTCATATAATTTCTTAATTCCTTAAATTTTTGGGCAGTAATTGGTCCGCAAATTTCACAGTTCAATCTATAACAGCACTACTTATCATACTTTGACTTACTTTAAAACAAGAAGAAGTGTTTGAAAAGTCTTCATTGGTGTGTTTGTATTGCTCAACAACTTCTTGTACTGTGCGTTGTTAACGTTGTGCAATGGTTTTATAATGTGTGGGGTTTTCTTTCTGAAAATGTCAACATTGTTACAATGAGGTTTTCGGGTGCTGTGTGGCTGTATGTTTTAGAACATCACGAGTTACGCTATTTTTTGTCTATGTTAATTGTTCCCAAGCATAATAAACACTTTATTTCCCCCACCAGAATAACCAGGTTAAAATGTAGGGTAAAGGTCTGTTTCAGAGGTATACGGGAAGTAATTCTTTCGCTTGTCAGTTCGTGTCCTGACAGACCACGAATGAGCTTGTTTTGAAATAACACATTATCAACTGATTCTCCAACACAGCACTCTTTTTCGAAGGCTTTGTAATGATGAGATAAGCAGATGCAAACTTGACATTTCGTCATCAATGTGTTGGAAATATTGAAAGCACACCGGCTCCCCGCGTCTTCCGTGAATGCCATCTGCGTCTAACTTGGGTCATCCAACATGACAACCACCACTTCGATCATGCATACTTGTCATAAATGTATGGACATACGTTCCGTCAGATAAATTAATTGTATGACGTTGTTATAGTCGGCAACAGCTTAGCGACATCAATGCATTAAAGCCTTCGAGTCGCTACACACTGGTTGAGGTAGGCTCAATTCTTTAATCTTGGTATTCCGGATATGGTTCATCGAACCGGTTTTGCGCTCTGCTTCCTGGTTAAAGATGTTCAATTAATCCAAGTATCAAGAGAATACCGCCTTGAATACACAATTCCTTATTAGCCACACAACTGAATTCAAACAAATCTCCTTGGTTAAATTATCGAGAATTACTTCCACACCGTTTTTTGCAACCGGTTTTCGATTGTTTCGGCGAAAGCATCCGCGCGCATACGATTATTTGTCGCAAAGGTCGGGTGATATTGAGCTGGATTCGATCAAGAGGGTGTTAGCATAGAAACTTTTAGTCACCAAGGATGCTTACAGCTTCATTTATATGCCAAGTACTGCTCTTTTCCTATTTAATGGTCGTTGCATTCATCAGCCGAGTAATCTCAGGGATGTAGAAGCGAGGAAGATACGAATAGCAAGAGGTCAGATTGACTGCATACGACATTCTGACATGGTCGTTGTCGATCTAACTGCGTTCGGTACGGATTCAAAGTGCTCACTGACAAAATCTGGCCTGAAACAAAGTTGGGACGGATTTGAAACAGCTGAGTTTAGAGCGGAATGAATCTAAACATTCGGGAGCCATGGCACACAAACATCAGTCCACAAAACCCCGTTTCAAACATCGACATCAATTTTTAAAAAGGCTGAAATAAGGTTAATTTCCCATCCCTTTCTTTGCATCTCCTGCAGCAAATGATACCATTGCGATAAATACATGCTAAAACTCTTATTTGTTTCACGGAATATGCTTCATTATAACACTTTGGACGTTTGGACAAATAATGTACTTGTTTCGTACATTTCTCTCAATTAGGTTGTATTTTCATTTTGTTTACATGACTACTTCACGTTTTTAGATGATAAAACTAATAATGGATACAATTTAGAAGACTTTTTGAAAGAACAATGCCTTGGCACTGACACTATTAGTTGTCTTTGCCACGAAACATAACTATGTTCTATTGCCAGAAAATTACGATGTCATTAGATTGTTTCGAACGGCTGTGTAATTTCAAGATGAAAGAGTTACATGATTGGAATTTTGTCAGCTTGTCAGAGACAGAACAAATAGGCTAAACTCATCACAAGTTTGCCGCTCCAGCCAGGACTGCGAGCTATGTGGAACGTCTTTGAAGACGGCAGCGGTCACGTTGTGTGCAGATCAAACATGATGCAATGGAATGCACAGGCAATTAGCAACACTCACCACACTCCACTCCAGGTGGGTTGTTGAAGGTATAAGATACCCGTGTTTGACATTTCTATAGTCCAGTAAACATCTCCGCACTTATGCAACACGCTACTGTAAGCTAGGAAGTAAATATTCACAAACGAATGGGAAGCACTTACGAAGGTCCCTTCAACTTTGACTGTAATACTTAACAATTTAACCAGATTCGCTTCCGAGAAAAAGCAAGCGCAGAAATTCTGCATTTTTCTGAAAAGATCCATACAGTCTTCACAATGATTCTAATACCAAACAAACGAACCAGTGGACCGTTCCACAAACTGATTTTAGGGTTACGACTGGACCGACCGTCAAATACACACCGTGCCTTCTGGCGTGTAGGCGTAGATGTTCATATTAAATTTGCTATCTTAAGCTTTCTATAGGAACATCTCCAAGAATATCCTCCACGTGAAATTAAAGGCACACACTGATGAAAGCGTGGAAGCCTGCCCCCGGCTGTTCATTGCGTAACATCAAGAACATCATGAAGACAGGACGGTAGTTATTGAAAGGATTATATAATTACCGTCCTCACCCACACAAATACAAACCTGGAACTATGAAAGTGTATGCACATGTGTATGAACTATGCCCCCCAACCCCCCCACCCCGACCCCCGCCTCAAGTCTCTCAGCAAGCAGTCATGTGAAAATGGCCACGTCCTGTTTTCACTTCTTCAACCAGTCATTGTGCTCTAAGCCGCACAACCAGAGACAAAACTTCAGAACGATGTCCTAGATGTCTAGACGCGAAAACACTCAACTTCATGTTCGATCCCGTTTGTTTAAGTGTGGTTACAGGGTAACTATTGATGATTTATGGAGAAACTGTATGTCAATATATCGAATGTGTACCGCTATTCAATTACACTTGCTATATCATAGCAAGACGTAGAATTTACTGTTGAAATTACCGCATCAACAAGATATATGAGATTTGGAGTGTACGAGTAACTAAAGTACGATTTTGCCATTCAGAAAATCAATATTACGCATGATTCTGCAGCTTTACACTTGGTAACGATTTGACAAAATACGGAATACAAGTGTAACACTCCGTGATAATAGCTGGCCTATAATGAACTACCGTGGTGTTAGTGTCATGCCATCCGGGCATGTTACACGCTCATACGGACTGCCAGGTCTCTCTCTGTACGATGTGCGTTCAATGGAACACTGGTCTGTTTTTCATCTTGAATCATTTACATTCATTGCTTGATGCAAATTAAGTGCTTTGCCATCTTTCAGCGGAAGAACGCTTCACACATCAATACAGGTTATCTGAAGTG